GTAAGATCTTCATTCAGCATCAGCTTAATTAGATGAAATGAAGTTTTAATTGGAGGAAAAGAATGGAGAATTGACAAAACTAAATGATTAATTTAAGAAAGTAGATGAGGAGTCTAAGATGATGGAAGCTGTTTTATAATTGAAGGAGAAGGAACTAAAATAACTATAAAAGAAGAAAGAAAATTTAATTGATGAGTTAGAGAAAATAAACAATGATGTTATTGAGGCATAGAAACAATTCGCAACAAAAAGGAAGAAGTAAAGATCATTAGAGCCTCAACAATAAGATGAAGATATGGAAGAAGATATCTAAGACAAGATTACTTCTTTGAATTCACGTAATAATAATTTGAAGGATGATCTTTAGAAATTGGTAGAGTAGAGTCCAGACACAACAGAGAAGAAGGCTGAGGAATAATAAGTGAGCAAAGGTATTCCTGCTTCAGTTTCGCAATTTGATACAAATAAATTCTAGTAAACTTTATAAGACAGAAATAAAAAAATAGAAATATTAGAAATGACCATTTAGACATTGTAATAGCAACAACAAGAACGAAATAGTATGATTCCTTCAATGCTTTAATCCAAGATGTCAATGCAGCCAAGTTTCTTTATGGATGACGATCCGTTGCTCTTAGAATTACAAGATAAATTCACTAAGGAAAGTGAATTGTTGAAGGACTTACAAAATAAAATTAAGTCGACTGCTGAAAGCCACTATGCTTTATCTTTATAATTGAAGGATTGGGCTGAAAAGGAAAATAGATTAGCTAAAGAATTAGACTCAAGAAGATAGAGTGTAGAATAAATTGAGTTTGAACTTTAAACTATCTTTGGGAAATAGTCAGATTTAGAATCTGAGAAAGTTAGTGTTTTACAAAGAATTTATTAGTTGGAAGTCGAAACACAAGAACTCTATGAGTAAGAAGGCAATACTAGAAACAAGTTGAAAGAGAAGAAAGATTACTTATAAACACTTTACAAAAATCTGACTGAGAGTGATCAAAAGCTTTTGCAATTAAGAAATAGAATGGCCTTATATTCTCAAGAAGGAAGATAATTGGCTGAATAAGTGGAGAATTTAGAGAATGAAAAAGAAAATAAATTATAATATTTATAAGACATTTAGGCAGATTTAGAGCATGCAGAAATTGAAAAGAATGAGAAGTAAGCCTTAGTTCAATCTATAGCTAAAGAAATAAGTGGAACTTAATAAGAAAAAGATCGATTAGAAATTCAGTATGCCACTGTTCATAGCAAGAATCAATAATTGAAGAGTTAAATTGGATTTGAAGAATCTCTTTATTAAAAATTACTTCAAGAATTAGAAATTGCTAAAAAGAGAGACCAAACCAAATTCCAAAATCTCTTTTCTGATGGATCTACTCAAACCGAATATGACTTGGAATAATTCGAAATTTTGTGCAACAACACTCAGATGTTCAAGATTACTAAGGAAGATGCATTTTAATTAAAAGAAAGTTGTAAATAACGATTGATCGAAATATATACTAATGAGAATCCTAGTATCTAATAAGCTATAAGCTAAAATCAGCACTTAAAGAAGTTGATCCATTTACAATAAATGCTAATTCAAATATAAGAGAATGAAAACTTAAATTTAATTGAGTAATCCTCCAGAAGGTCATCGAAATTAGGATTCAAAGTTCTAGATGAATCAATTTATAATGCGAGATTAGAATTGGAATAAGTATGTCAATTTAATATATATTCTAGATTGATTTTATGATGACCAAAACTAAATTAGTTGAAGTTTAAGTGAGTGATCACTAAATTATAGTTGGAGATGTCAAAATAGCAAGGCAATGGATCATAGATCGACAGTTTGATTGTGATAATTAGTTATATCCTTTGGGGGTGCTGAACATAATTTACAAGGTATTTCAATTCAATCTATTTAGGTATCTCTTTATCAAGTGATCAATATTTCACTAACTGGAACAAAAGTATTAAACTTATATTAATCTATATTGTGAGATCAATAAATATATATTTATATTAAAGTAATTTTAAACATTTTTAACTTTCTTGAATAAAACAGGTTTTAAATTAGTAAAGAAAATGTTCTAATTTGAAATAAGCCAATTCAAGAGTAATTCGATTCTTAATTTTCTATATTGATAAAATATACAATCATTAATTACTCTATAAAAGATATAACATCAAAATCTAAGTTTAATTTATATCACTAGGTAATTTTCTGTTGATTTAATAATTTGCTAGTTAAGTTAATAAAATATTATATTAGTTAAAAAATTGAGGTTTTTTGGATTTTATAAAAATGATCTTATCTATTCTGATGAATTTAATTTAAAAGGAGCAAATTAAGTTTATTTGTATTTATTAAGTATAAAAATTTATAATTATTCTTAGGAACATACTATTTATAGATAAAACAAGTTGAAAAACTAGATTATTGATAAACGAAATAACTAAGTAATAAACTTGCAATTATTTAAAATATAAATTATATATGGAATTTAATTGAGAAATGGTTTGAAAATTTATTTTATAATATCAAACAAATGAGAGTGATTTATGCACTTATAGCTTTGGGTATATTACTTGTTTTGATACCTTTGTTCTACGACAATACTGACTCTGCCCTTTGGTTGGAAAAGACAGAAGCTCACACTTTTTTTATAACCTCTTCAAATCGACGATCGCTTTTACAGGATAAGTATCAATTAATTACATGAGCTAGTCATTTAATGATGAAACAGTAAATCGAAGCTGAAGAGATAGAGAGAGTGCTTAAACTGTAATCTTTATTTGCTGAATCAAAAAATATATGTTTAAATGGAAAAGATCCTAAAAAATGGAGCTACGAACAGATTGTTAATGAATTCATAAAAGGTCCATGCGCTCCAGTCATCTTAGTTCCAGGCTTGGCAGGAACTTCCTTAGAAGTATTGATTCAATACTATGGTAGATTGAAATTGATTGTGAAAAATTATAGAAAGAGAGTCCAGAAGTATTTGAGAGTTGTGGTTGGTAAACATGTAATTCATGGTATTTTTGGTATTCTAAACCTGATTTGGAATACAGACTTTGGATTTCCACAACAACAAGCACCGTTGGTGTGATATAGACCAGTTCTAAGGATCATTGCTTTGGTAATTTGATGGAGTTGAAATATGATAGTGCAACTCAAAATCATAAAGAAACTCCTGGGCTTAAAGTATAAATCATCATAATAACTAAGGTGACTTACTATGGAAACACACCTAGTACACAGAAGTATAATGAATGTGGCTTAGGAGGAATCAAAGAGATGACCGACGATTATTTAATCAAATACATGATGTGTGATTATAAAGGATTTCTCAATATTGGAGATTTATTGAAGAATATGGGATATGTGAGCGGACTTCTATTCTAAGCTATTCCCTATGATTATAGAAAAGGTATTTAGTAATCTGAGGCTAAATAATTAATTCGACAGAGCATATCAAATCTAAATAAGATAACAGGAAAAAAGGCTATTATTTTAACCCATTCTTTGGGATCTCTTCATACTCTTAACGTGCTTGGAGAGATGACTAAACAAGAGAAACAGGATTCAATAGCCACTATTATGACCATGGGAGCACCTTATTTAGGCTCATCTAAAGCAATCAGAGCTCATTTGGGAGGTGATCCTTCCTTTTTAGATACATTTTTAGGAATGACAGTTGGAATTAATTACTTCAACTAAAATAAAGCAATAAATTCAGCTTCAAGTTAAGTTGACATTTATCCTAAACTGACATTTTTCCAATACTAGAATGAACCCTGGATGCAAGAAATTTTGAAAAGAATTTAATAAGAACAAGAATTTATTTAAAATAAAACAAATAACGTTACAGCTTTGCCTTGGTTCCCAAATCCTAAAGAATTGTGTACTAATTTAACTGACTTCTAATCTGAATGTTTGATTCACATGTAAGATTTGAAGGAGTATTTTATTGAAATTGAAGATAAGAAGTTTACTGCTTAAGATATTGAGGAATTGTTAGCCAATTATACTATTAATGGTACATTAATATCATAATATTACTAAAATTACTAGTCAAATGCATTGAACACCTTATAAAATCCTGAGGTTCCATTCATTGTTTTATACGGAGGCTTTGCTTAGACTGAATATTAATTCAAATATCAAAGGAATCCTTATCATGAAGTGCTAGAAAAATAAGACTTTTATTTCCCCAACTTTACAAGTTATGCAATTGGTGATTAGACTGTTTTGACTTCATCTGCTCTTACTCCTGCCATTAAATGGATTTACGAACATCAAAATGGCATAACTGAAAATCCAATAAAAGTTATTCAATATTGTTCTAATTACAAAGGTTCATTATAATAGAATCTATTTGATTCTGTCATCGATGGTGAAAAATAAATAACTCAAAGCGGATACATTGGATTAGAATGTGAATGTTTGAAAAAAGGAGCAGTAATTAATTTAAATTTATAAATAGGCCATAAGTGACTGCAAACATTCGTGCTTAATAAACGACAAATTTGTTGTTGACATTGTTTCATAACTAGTACGTAACAATCAAAAAGCTTCAATTGATAAAACTCCATTAAATAAAAATTAATTAGAAGATTTTGTGAAACAATGCTCAAATCTCTAGATTTGATTAAGTTTGATAAGCAAATGTTTTATTAATTTACATCAAAAATATAACACAAGATTTTCTTAAAATTACTCTAAAATAATCATATTTTTACAAAAAAATTAATGTAAGGTTTACATCTAAAAAATTACCAATATTTTTAATTATAATTTTAAGTATTTTTGGTACAATAATTCTATTTTCTATTTCTGAGTATTTTAATCAAAAATTAAACTCTATTGTTTAGTCAGATTCATATAACAAATAAATAATATCTAACTAAATCAATTAACTTAATTAGAACTCGAATTATATATAAGCCTTTAGTTTATAATATGATATTTTGATTGTTTTATTTAGTCTACGAATAATATATCATAAGGCTAAAAATAAGGCTATGATGCTGGTTACTAAAATTAATGAATAAGTTGGTAGAGGTTAACAAAATCCTCCAACCAATAGATAAGTATCCTCACACTCGGTACATACATCCTTTGCTGAACAAGTGGCACAATTTGCAGGACAACCTATACAATACATTGTCGATTCATCTGCAAATGTATTTGATGAACAACTCTAAACACATTCAATACCGTCTCTATAAGTAGTGCAACTTTTTTCACATGCTCTTCCTGAATAACCAGCTATACAAGTGCACTAAAATATTAAAATTTAAGTATATTTACCACTCCTCCTAAACAAAATCCCTTTTTATTACACTAATTTGGGCATTCGCTAGCTGATTTGCATAATTCCATTGGATTATCGGGACAAACAATGCCTGACTTATATTGTTCAGTGTCATAACTTGGAGATGAACCTCCAACACTGCAATCATATTTAACTCCATCAACAATGATGGTTAATGAATTATTCTCATCACAAGAGTACTAATAACAACTAAATCCAATGTTAATGGCTTGTTTTATTGCACTTACCAAACCCCCTTCTATGCACATACTATCATATCCAAAATAAAAGTTGGATCCTGAAAATAAGGTCTAATTATAGTTAGCTGCATCTCTGCAATCTAAATCTGGAATCACATAATAATAAGGACATTCTACTAGTCCATCATTCATACAAATTCCTATTCCAGTGTGTGTATAAGAGCAGGATAAATGGTTTAATGGATTATCTGATTGGTCAGTGTCATCATAAGGATCAGTACAGAATTCTTTGTATTATTAGTCAGAAAAGCATTAATTCTTATAAAAATCGCATCCCTTATCCTTTCCCCACAATTGTATATCTGAAATATGCTTGGTCACTCGATAAAATCTGAAGTCAAATTACATATTTATACCCTGTATCTTCTAAAAGACCAAATGTAAATTCAGTAAAGAGGGAATTGCCAGTCATCAATGCACCTGTCATTAGTTCATTATAGAAGATTGATCTCTCTAAATGTGATCCTGCTGTTCCTCCTCCCTTCTGATCTTCCATCTAATTATGAATAAGATTTAATACAGTTCCTCCCACTACTTTAGAGCATCCAAAATGATTCTCAGCTAACTGAGTCAATCTTGGAGTAGGCAAATCAATTTGCTAATTCACTCTTTAATAAACTGTAAAGTCGTATTTCTCATTACTCGAACTATTATAATAGTTTGTATAGAGATTATCAGTGAATCCCAAACCATGAATGGATTCATGTAGTACCACTTGAACTGCAGCTTCAAATTTTGCATCTGTTCCCTTTAAATTGTAATTGTTTTGATACCTAAAATTCTTTCATGTAGTAATTGTTCATTTGCATAATTCCAAAAATTGGTCTTCCTGTCGTTTCATCAAAGATTACAGGAGCTGCCCTTGCTATGTATTCTACGTTTTGATTATCCTCTTAACCCACAAAGAATACCTAATTATATTCTGGATATCTACCAAGTCAGCATCATAACTTTTTTGGAGTGAAGCAGGAATAGTCAGTATTTGCCAATCAGTTTCATAGCTTGATTTCCATTCTAAATTTCCAGTTTGTCTCTTAACCAAGATAAATCTTCCAAAAAATGTCTTAACGATATTTAGTACTGTATTAGTTTATTCTTAAACTTCAGAAGGTGGAGATTCCAAGAATTCAAAATGTATTCTTATTGATTCCCATTAAGTTTTCACATCCTCAAGCTTTCTGTCATTACGTTTTTCTCTTAACTTTTATAGTAACTTGACTTAGGATGGTAATTTAATATTCCAGACATCCGAATGAGCAAAACAGACAACCAAGTAGAATAGTATAAGATAATTCATGTGTAAAAAATAATATTATAAATTAATTGATATTTTAATACTTAATAAATCTCTAAAGCAATTATAATAATTAATTACAATGTCCCAAAATTCACATACTAATAAGTAATTTTCTTTCCACTCTACAATTAAAATCAAAAGATTCCCCATGTTGGAACCCTTGTTTAAATAAATCAACCAAGTTGTTCCCTTAAATACTCAAAGGGGAAGAAGCTTTAAATGCTATCTATTTAACACAACTGGAGGATAGTGCAAGTTTAGAAGGAAGACTTGTACATGTTCTGAGTGTGGAGGAACAAATATCTTCGTTGAAAAATAGAATGCTTTATAACCCATTACCTACATCAGAGCACATCATGTAAAAAAAAGAAAGAGGAAGATGCATCGTAATAAAGGAGGTGGCAGACAATTATCAGCCATGATCACTAGAGTGCCTCTTAAGATAGAGGATATTACCAATCTGATTCCAACAAGAAAGGAAAGAAAAGCAAAAACATTACTCCAAAACTAAATTATTGAATAAACATTATTAAAATGCAAAAGACTACTCACTAAAGATGACTCCGATATTGGGTATGAATATTTCTTTGCCAATGAATTGAAAATTGCTTATTAGACTCAAGAATTTATGACGAATAGTACTTTTGAAAAAACTCCAACTTAAACCAAGCAACCAAATGGCAATTTTACGACGAGTCAAAGAACAATTGATGAATCTCAATTGACTAGTGCTTAGAATTTGAATATTAATTAGAGTCAAGTCTTAATCACTCAACTTCCTAGAGTCAATTATAAAATTAAACAAAAACCTTCGCTACATAGTCCTAGAATCTATCAAGATATTATTTAATCACACAATCTTAAGCCCAATCAGACTGTGGATAAATATGTATCTCAAAGTGCTCATTGTTCGCCAATGAATATCAAATTACCCTTGATTAGTTAATAAAAAGTGAGCCAAACCAAAAGAAAGAAATCAGAACATGTTTATTTGAAAGGATCTCCTTTGAAATTACTGCATGAATTAAAATCTTAGATTTTATTATAAAAAAAAATGAGCAAATAATGAGTTTTGTTTTTAACGACTATTTAATACCATTAATTATTTAATGAATGCCAACTACCCTATTTACCTACAAGAAATTAAAGAGAATTGTGCACCCTTGAAAGACATTTAACTGAGTCACAAGAAATCCCTTCCTCATATTATTGAATCCATTACCTAAAAGATTCCTTAAGTCAAAAAATAAAGCATCCACAAAATATGTTCCCAACAAGTAAGCTAATCTATTTAATTTTATAATTGCAGGAATAAAGAATATATTCTAATATTCACAAACTCAAAAAATATAATCTACTCAAAGAAATTGGACATGTGAACCCTCAACTTCACCAAGAATTGCAAAACACTCGAGATCATCAACTCCCTTACAAATTAAGTAAAATTACACTTTAACTCCACTAGTCCAATATCAGAAAATCAAACAGTTATAGGGAGAGCTGATTACTGAGAATTAGGAGTCGACTAATAACTTAAATGATTGCTATGGATAGGATGATATCATGTGTTCAAACAGAAAGATACTACTGAAACCTTGTATGCGAAACATCATGGATGACTACGAAAATCGTTATAATGAATATAGCGACTCTTACATCAATAAATACTTGGATCTGAATTGAAAACAAATAATAGTTATATTTCTTTATTTTATTATAAATTGTCTCAAAAATATGCTATAACTACATAGAATTAGAGCATCTTCAGTTCAAGAACAAGGAGAACAAAGAGCGAAACTTCCGAATATACTTACACCTACTTTTGCTGATTGGAAAATTATAAGTGACTCTAGGGCTCACCCGAAAATATGCAGGAGGAATCCTCTTTTTAAATTTGGTTTGATCCCACCAAAAAAGGTTGCCACTCCGTCATCGTCTGCTCATCAGAATCCACAAGATTTTAGAGGACTTAAATCAGAAGAACAAAGTCAAAGATTGAAAGACAATATTGTTGAAGATAGAATAAGCACAACAGAAACAAATACTGTTTAATAGTTCGAGTTAGATAAAAAATATATGTAATTGCGAAATAGATCTGTTAGCGGATCAAAATAAACAAATCAAATAGTATACCTTCCAATAATATATCTAGCTACTTGAATGCAAATAGTTATTTGACAATCAAAAAAAAGCATTTGAGGATATATTGAAATCAAACAATTTATATAATAAATATTCTAGAGTAATAGATAAGGAATAATCAATAACAAATTAGAAAATTATGTAAATTTTTAACTTATATAAATGAAAATATATATGTAATTCAAATTAAGTCATTCTCTGTAATAGTTTTAACGCATCTTACCCATTTTCAAAGCAAAACATATTTAATGAGATTCACCATTATGTTATTTTAAATTATATAATACATTTAAATTTTATTATTATCAACTTGAATCGTAAGGATTTCAAAGTGTTATTTGGGATTCATTTTGTTTCATATTAAAAGCTCAGGAAATTGCTTTTAACTATAATCATAATTGAAATCAAGTATGTAGTCTTGATCCAAGTGAAGTTTTGATTGAGATTTAAATTTTAGTTATTTTATAATTTTATTCTTATTCATCTAATGACACTAGTTTCAGTTCAATATTTACAATATTTAAATGTAAATTTTATCACTATAATCTGAATAGAGATATAGAAATTCAAGATTTGAGTGAATTGGATAATGTAAACTAAGCAAAATCACTTTCTTTTTACTTATTTTTAGATTTGAAGTCTTTTGTTAAAATGAAGTAAAATGGTTTTATGATTAATTTTTATTGATAAATTTCCCCTTTCAAAAATGGACTTAACATTATATATTCTAAGTTATAATTTGTATATATAAATCAGTATATGGTTTGGAAGAATGGATTTGGCTTTTGATACTCCAAGTCGACGGCTTTTCTGGATTTGTTATATTTACCATAATATTCCATGCATGTGAAAGTAAATCTTATATATTAAATTAGATGCATACCTGATGTAGTTTCCAAATTTAGCTGTTCGTAGATACTCTTTTGAGATGCCTGTCTTAACAAGATCATCAGCATAAACGAATAAATCTGAGCCATCAGAGTCCATAACAATAAATCCATAGTTTTTGTTCTCATCAAAGAATTTTAGATAACCAGTGCTTCTATTTTTTTTGGGCTATTCAAGCGCAAGTTCTTGAAGTAGCTGTGTGACGGAAACTTAATGGTCCTAAACAAAGCGATTGCATTCCTAAATGATTTGATCACCTTCAATGTTGCTTTCTTCAATTAGTTGTTACTTATACTAATCAAATAGTGTCAATTGTATACATAATTTCTGGGGTAAGAAGAACTCTTCTTTATTTATGGAGGTTTATGGACTTGCTCTAATTTGAATGAATCAAAGTCCAAATCACTTTCACTTATGTCAGTGGAGAAATCCTTGTATTCCGATCTAGATGGAGACAATTACAAATCGATCAACTTCACAGGGAACATTTATAGACAGATAATTAAAATATTTATGAATAATTTTATTTATTTCCCTTAAATACACTTTGGATTGAGCAAGCTAAAATCAGGATAAAGAAATTATAAGCTTTGATTAGAGGTATCACTTAACTTCAAGATATCAGAGAATGGATGTTTCATAGGAACTGAATTAATTTGCAAATTTTAAATATACAAAATATAATTAGTTAGAATACTTGGTTATTATTTATTTCTAATATATCTACCTTATTTCCTTGATTGTTAGCCATCAATACTCTCTTAGTTCATAATTAAAGTGAAATCAATTAAAAGTGATAAAACGGATGAATTACTTTAAATTTAAATAATTATTTATATGTAATTTTTTAAAGAAGCAACTTACACTTTCAAATAAAAATTTGGATATTCCCAAGATGAAAAAGCTATTAAATTATTCGATTAAGCCTATCATTATCAAAGCACCATACTTCCTATAAATATTCTAGACTAGATAGCTGAACTTAGTTTTCAAATGTATAATTTTATATTTTAAAACAAGTGAACATTATCCGAAAATAATAAATGAAATCATTAAGTAACTCAATACATCCAATAACACAGCCAATAATATTTTAAAAGTACCTTTCATTTTCAAAATAGACACTTATCATAACTGATTATTTATTGAAATATGGATGTTCAGGGATAATTGATGATTTGAAAGAACGCATAGGTTTGATTAGACATTACTCAGAATATAAGTCAGAATGTCAAGAACCACTATTCCAATCTAGTAGATTCATTTATATTATTTTAAAGTTAGATCGAAAGCATAAAATATAACAACACAATTAACAAATAGAAATCTTTTGTATAAAGAAAAGGAAATAGCAAAATAGATGAAATTAAAAATTTAGATGAATAAACTAAAAATGTAAGCCTAATGTAGTAATCTTAATGATGAGACTCAATCTAAATTGGATGATATGTTGGAAAATTATATTTACAAATATATGGATAAATTTCATGATAAATTAGAAAGTTGGGGAGATTAAATGAATGAAAAACTTGATAGTTTAATTAACAATGTGGCCACTAATTCTGCATATAAGAAGGATGAAAATGGATATTACTACCCTGAATCTTGCATGGATGATGTTATGGTGGTTCAAAGATATAAGGATAGAGGATAGGATTTCAAATAAAATAGTTAAAAGTCATAAATGACTAATTTAAGTAGTATATTAGTTAATATTTAGATGTTGTTGATTAAGAAAATGTTTAACCGAATAAATAAGTAATTAAATAAAGGATAAATTTATTAGATTGAATATAACTTAAATACTAAAATAAAAATTAATCAAAATAATTTTTTTTTTTTTCTTGTTTGAATTTCTCTAATCTAGGCTATTACTTGTTGTGGAAGTTAGTCTCCATTTACTATTGAATGTAAAAGGTTGGCCAATTTATCAGCCAAATCACAGACCTCAGATTTTGGCGGATTAAAAATATAAGCATTTCTCCTAATCCTTTCAACATCATTAAGTATTTGATCTTTACTTCTATAGAAATCATTTTCTAGTCTTTAAAATTAAATGGATATAAATACCTTCTTTGAATAAGTGTGATATAACTCATTAAGGGAACATAATCTAGGTATTCTGGATACTGTTGGACATCAACTTCATTGGAAAAGAAAAAGGCTATCTTAGTTTGCTTTTTGATCATTGCATTAATATCTCTATTAATTTATTAAGCCTCGTTTGTAGTCAAAGCAGATTATAAGGAAGCACCTTATATTTCAATCGATTTATTAGATTTGTGCATCATTGAGGCAATTTCCCAGAAGTTTAAATGACAATAAGCTATCATGCTTTTTTGATTCCTTAGTTGATAGGTTTCATCACTAATTCTTTTGCATTTCAAAACTTACCAATCACTGGCATTGAGATAATTATCAGGAGTTTCTTAAGCGATGAATTGATATTGATGACCAAAGCCATTATCTTTATCAGCATCAGTTTAAAAACTAATTTATTGTTGATTCAAATATGGTCGAATTTACCTGACACTAGAAGCATAAGATTCCTCTAGAATAAGATAAGGATCACAATCATAGGAATAAAAGCATTTAAAAGTCAGATCCTTAGTTTGAAGTTCGAAAACTTATAGGATATAGGAGTTTTAATTAATTTGTCTTTTAAAGACAGTATTGATGACAGGAAAAATGTAATTTATATTGACTACTCTGCAATATACAAAATTGGCAGATTCTTAATCTGTTAGAATATCTCCTGGAAAGACTATAGTTTTTTTTGATGCAGAATCAATAGATAATTCTGATAAATCTAAATTTTATAGACATTTTTAGAGGTATTGTTCATATCCTTTGGTAAAGAAGATAACATCGTCTCCAATCTGAGGGGAATTGGTATCATCAGTTAAATACTTGTCTCTCAAGTGATCTCCTTGTCTAGTTTGGGCTTATTTCTTTCTTTAAAATTATGCCATACAATTAATACAAATTCTTTTCTGAGTTCCAAAATCTAATTCACATAAGAATAGACGAATTTCACTGCATTCTTAATGGTAAGCTGATTTGCATTCTGGACAACGGACAACATTATCCATCAAAATTCTGCATCTAGTACATTATTCAGTGACTTGAGATCTATTACGTCTTAATTCATTTTGTTATCTGTGATTGTTAAGGATTAATAATCTTATCTATTGGCTTCTTTGATTTCTTCTAGATCTTGTTTATAAGGGAGATTATTCTATTTGAACATCTTCCTTAGCATTTTAAATACTCTACTTGCTTATTTCTTCTTCACTTTCACTTTCAATTACTTTCTTTCTTCTTTAGCTCTATTTTTTGGATTCATTAATAATAATCACTGATTATTGAGGTGCTTATTAAGATACTTAAGGACTACTATCTTCATCTTCTTTAATTAAAGCTCTCTTAATTAATTCTCCTGACTTTTATTCCAATTTTTTGATAAGTTTGGAGTTATGATTTGAAGGCGATCTCTCTGAAATTGGTTAATTAGCTACTTCAATAATGTCACCTTCTAATTTTTAAATCCTAACTTAATCTTAAACTTTCATTAATTCTTTGATCTCGTGAATAATTTTAATTTCCATTTACCTCATCTCTGCAAAATAACCCTAAAACATCTCTTCATTCTTCATGTTGTCTATGGCAATTCCTTTGGACATTTGTATATATGTAAATAACTTAGGCTTTTATAGATTGACACTCTTTTTTCCTTGATGATCTTGGGATATCAGATAAGGAAAGAGAGTCTTAAAGTTATTCTAGAAATTATAATGATATGGCATTCTATAGAAATTACAAATACTTCCTCTATCAACATAACAGAATTCCATATCAGAATCTAATGCCATAACTCGAAATCCATCAGATTCATCTATTATTGGATGTTCAGAGTCTGAAACATAAAACTATTCAATGGGAGTCTAATCGAAGATTTCTTGGACTCCAAAACCATAAATAGAAAATGATCCATAATCTGTGGATACTACAAAAGACATTCCATTTGGACTGAAACATCCATCTTTCAATGGAACCTCTAAGTTTGGTAATTTCAAATGATAACCTCTTTCATGAAATACTTTTAGAGGCACTCCTTTTTGAACATTCCATAAAATAATTAATCCATTTTCATCAGCTGACAATGCCACTTCCTCAAAAATAGGATGAGCTTCCAAAAACACAACATGAGAATCCAATTTTAATTAAGGTAAATTTTCTTGATCCATACAATGAATAACTTAATTTTCATGTGTAGAATAAACTTGAATTTGAGTCTTTGATTTTTCCTCATCTCCTTTTTTCTTCAATTTCTTACTAAATGAAGCCAAAGCATAAGTACTTTTTGTAGACCAAGCAATAGCAAAACATTAGATTTCTCCGACTCTTCTCCCTTCAGTAGATTTATATTTTAATAAAACTTAAGATCTATTATGTTAATTAGCTGCAATTCCTCCTTCTTACCATTTCCATAAACGAGCACTTCCATCAAAAGAAGCAGTTAACAATTAGTCACCATCCTTTGACCAACGAGCCAAATGAACAGTGGCAGAATGTTCTCGCCATTCCACCTTATTGATTGCTTTAGATAGATTTTCTGGCTTATCAAAGATTAATATTTCTCCTTGATCTGTTCCCATAGCCAAATAACCCTATTTGTTGAATTCCATACACAATATCCCATTCACCTTACCTTTATTTGCTTTGTTATAATTCACATTCAATCTAATGATATCTGCTTGATGTTTGATGGCAGATTACTTAATTTTTGAATTGAACTATGTGCCCAATATACTCCCATTACATTTAATTAAATCCTAGACGTCGTAGATATAAACATATCCCTTTTCACTAGCTACTGTCAAATAATTAACATTTTTTGAACTACTTTGATAAAATACCAAAACCAGGATTGGATCATCTTATGCTTCCTAATTAGATAGAGGATTGTTGTACTTTTAATGCTGCCACCGGCTTGCCTATCTAAATATCCCATACGATCACCAGACCATCATTACTGCAAGATGCCAAATATTTGTTACAATAACTTATATCCATTGAATTAATTGCCATTGTGTGCCCTTTTAGTGATTGCAATAGCAATCCATTGGATGCTGACCATATCTTTATTAATCCTAAATCATCTCCAGTCAACAATAACTGACCAGTTCTAATTAGTCTACATAACATGTTTTTACCTGTCATATATTACATTATACACTGGTATGTATGGATCCTCCTAATCTTAATTGTCTGGATGAAGAGCATGTCCGAAACAAGTCTTTAATTTTCTCATGTATTCCACTGGCGATATATAATCTTGGCGCAAAACTCGACCACCATTTAATTATTAAAGGGATTATGATTTGCTCCTTACGCTCTCAAACCTCGATTGTCGTTTGGGCTCAGGTGTCTCACGTGCTATATACTGTTGAAGCATCTTCTGGATAACACTTTCATAAGAAGGACTCAATTTAGTAGAGATTAAATTTTTAAGATTCAAATCTAGACAGATGCATCACAAATTTAAGTACCATTGGCCTGTAGAATGTGCCCACGCTTATGGCCATTCTTTAGATTGAAGAAATTCTCCAATCCCTCTAGAAGATGTTTTTCACATTGAAGCTCGTGCAAGTGATTCAGGATCATTTAGGCACAGATTCTCTGCTGCTGACTCTCTAAAATAGTTGACTTTTGCAGCTTCTTCATATAGTATGATATCTATTGTGCTTCAATCAACTTTTTTCCTTGGTTCTCTTCAAAGCTGTTTTACATTCCTAAAATGCATAATTCTTACAAAAACTAATACCTTATTCTAGTATAAAAAATTAGAGGCTTTAAATATGATATTTTAATCAATTATTTAATCATCGATGTAGGGGGTTTAAATACAAATAAGAATGGTTCCTAACTAGATTGGAAATCATCAACATAATATCATCAAAAACAAAAAAAACACAAATTAGAAAAATAGAACATTTCCCTGCCGCCTTAATTACATAATTTTTTATTATATATAAACTTTATAAATAATAATTAATTTGCCAAATTTTCTGATTTTCTCCTCCAAACTCTTCTATTCCAGTTAGAAATCCCTGGATTCCCATTATTCCATAAGAAATTCTTATTTTATCCTAAATTAAAAATTGATCGTTACTTTTTTATTTTCACTCTTCTTGGGTGCCTAATCCATTAATATGCTCATACAATATCCTAATATCGAATTATGCATGTGATTCTTGATTGCTTTTAATGCTCTCTCAATATTTAATTGGAAAAACATTTTTAATAAGCTTTACTCTCAAAAATATATAATGAATAATGATAAGCAATATGCAATATTCTCAAATCTCCTTGACATCCTTTAGATCTATTTCCTGATATTGCTCAAAGAAGTCACGAGTGATCTGGTCTTTGTTTCTTATTTCTTCAGGTAAAGATGTCAATAAATAATAGATAAAATGCTCCAAAGGTTTGCTTGGTCTTTTGGTTATGAGTTCTTTGTAACCATTTGAGATGATTTGATTAAACTTTTCTTATTCTTATTAGTTCATTTATAATTATAATTAATATAGTAAGAATATATATGACTTTTCAAATAAAACTCCAAACTTGAGTTTTCTCAGTAGTGGAATTGTTTTTCCAGTTTGAGTATTCCAAAGAAAGTTATGCAATCTAAGTATAAGATTGATAGAACTTTGTACTGACTTCTTCTGCTAGAAGCTCTTCTCTTATTAATTCTTCAATCTGAAATGCTAGTCTCTCCATTAGATCCAATAATAAGCCAATGGTCACATCATTCATTTAATGATTTGTACTTTAACCCATTAAAATTTGATTAATGGCTTTTTGTAACAATTTTATCTGAAGTGTTCTTTCACAAGAGACCAATTAGCTTAGTAAATTGTCCATTGTGTACCAAGTGGTTAATATCTTGGTTTAAAATTCAGACAATGTGAAAGGTTTAGGGATCGTATTTTCATTTTCTATTTTTATTAGACGTATCAGATTTGATGGCTTATCCTTCTTAGTTTTAGTAAAACAAATGCCCATTATAAAAGGATGAATAAATATTATTGCAAAACATCCATTTATTAAGTGACTTTTATAATTCAAATATAATATCTTTGGATGTGATGTATAATTTTAATGAAAATATTCAGAATACAAAATTAAACATAGAATTCATTGAAATTGCTAAGGATTAATTTTCGATGGTGAATTCTGAGGATTCTGGTTCCCAATCTTATCAATCAACATTTTATAATCAAATTATTTTGAACCGTCAAATTCTCTAAAAATAAAAAACCCTAAAAACTCCTTTTATCTTTCATCCAAAAGAATATTACTGCCCTGAATTGCATTTTTGAATTCCCCCTCATCACACAACTCATTATACTAAGAGTTAGATCTCTTTGCAGTAATCATTTTGATTTACTCAACAATCGATTGTCTGAATTTCCAAATTTATTGGCTAATATTTTACATAATTTGACATTCTTATTGAATATCAAATAATTAATATTTCCCTATGATATTTTTCAACACACTTTTTATCACACAATTATCATTAGTTTGTAAAGGGGTGAATTCAACATAAGGCTGCGTATTATCTTCGATCAAATATCTGGCCAACAGCAAAGCCTATTTCTGATGCTGCATACAAAAGGGAGCCCCCTGCAATATATCGACTAATTCAAGTATGCTTATTTCTGATTTCTGTTCAAAAAATTGATTGATCTATTCAAAAGGTACTTGCTAATACATTAGTTGATATTTCAAACGCTTTCCAATTTCCTCCACATCTATATGATTAACCCTTGGTAATTTCTATTTGGTCACTTCAATGTCAGGTATGATTTATAAACTTTAAGCTTTTGGAGATTTTTATTCATCTCTAGCTGAATCCATGCTTAATCTATTTTACATAATATATGATCTATCCCTATGATCCTCCTCTAATACAATTTTGGTTTCTGATTGCTGTTTATAGGAATTACTAAGATCATCATCACCCAATACTAAATTTTTATTTACTTTTTCATCCAATGCCTCTTAGAATGAAGTGTCTGCCTCTTTCTTATTTGTCAACCATGACTTTTTGGTTTGATATTGATCCTCCAATTCCTTAAATTGTCTCTACTTTTAGAGGACTAATTATTTTTATTTTTCTATTTCCATTTACATTGATTAAATGACATTCTACTTATTAGATAATTATTAATTTAAGTTATCAATAATCTCTTTATATCTTGTTTTCTTCTGTATTTCCTATTCATGATTTTTCTTATATTTATCAAAATCAACTTAACACTACTCTAATTGTTTTCTATATCTATCCTTCATTGCTTAACAAGTTAATAATTCTTATCTCAGACATAGAATTTTTCGCTTCTACTTTTGATTGCTGTTAGACAGAATTCTCAATTTCTCCTCCAATTCTACAGTTTGGATTGTCAATTTATGGAATTTATGAACATCATTTTCGGTTTTCAAGATTTCATTAATTTGTTTGTTCAAAATCTCAAACTTAGATTTTGTGTTGCCTAACTCCATCTTACAATACTTATAAGCACAATACTTCCATTTCTTGCAGTTTCATATAACGGGTGCTCTTCTTCAAACTATCTATCTCAGCCTATCTCTCCTATAACAGCATTCTTGCTTGCTTAAGTTTTTCGACCAATCTTGAACTTTGATTGTAATTGATTTAGTCATCAGATACCTCTTGGGTTGTTCGTTTATCCATTTGTTCCTTCTAATAAAATATGTATTCCTAGTTACCTCATCAAGTTTAATTTAGAACTATAGTTACTTATTTTAATCTTTGAGTCTCGCATTCTCTTTCTTCAAATAGATTATTTCCTCCTTTAATTATTCAATGTCTTTTTGATATGGAAGATGTTATCTTCCTGATTAAATTTCATTAATAGGTGACTCATAAATTTTTTAAGTAGGCCTCCTCCCATAAAACTGTGATATACACAAATTCATATTTTCAGGAGTCAAAGCTGGCAATCCATTAGTCATTGACTAATTTAAGGAATAAGTAGCACGTTAGTTTTACCTAGCTATTCTGCTCATTATATAAATAGTATTAATAAATTTTAATCAATCCCTTTCTCAACAAATAAAAAATATAAATTGCAAAAGATAGATTAATTATAAAAGTGCTCAATTGATAATGCACACTTTTATATGTGGGACGGAGTAAATAGATATCAAATTTCATTTCCTTGTATAATATTGCGAATTGCACTTAAAAAGAAACTGACTTCACTCGTAACTTGATTTTAATATCTATTCTAAACTTAAATCCAATCAATACTCTAATCTGTTCAATATATTCTTATAAACGATTCAAGTAGGGATATTACATTATCTTTGAAATTAAATTATTATAAAAATCTAATTAGGCTTAAATAAATAACAGCATTAATTGAGCTTATGTTACTTATATTGATGTAAACTGCAGAGATTACAGTTTGTACATTAATTTGAATATTTGTCAAATGTTAGAATAAATCGATAAATATCAATAATTATAATTATGTTAAACAAAAACGGAACATACACAATGTCAAAATATAGTTCTTCGATGAGTGTATCAAGTATGGATAACAGAGTCAGATACTCTTAAGCTCCCGAGGAATTAGGAAAAAGAGCTAAATTACCACTCGATATTACATTGTTCGTAATGGCTGTAGAAGTCGAGAGATTGCAAAGAGAGAATGCGTAGTTGAAATCAGAGCTACAATCAAATAGTGATTCCAATTTGGATAGAGTCCAATATGAGAGTTAGATTAGGGATTTGATGGAAAAGATTAGAGTGTAGAGCAAGTATTCATTTATAGTTACTAATATGTTAGTTCTTAGAGTACTCTATTGATTGATGTTGAAAAATTACAAAAAACAGTTTAGGATTTGGAGGATCAACTGAGAAGATAATAGCAAACATAAAAAGAATATGATCCAAATTGGAGAGTTAAACTGAGTTAAGCTGAACTTCAATTGGCATCATTTTAAAAGCAATTAAACTAATAAGCTAATCTATTTGGTGGGTAAAGTGCAGATTAAGTGATGAGGGAGTTAGAGGAATTGAGGAGGAAGAAATTGTAATTCGAAGATATTTCAAGACAAATGAATGGAAGGAATGTTAGTAATAAAAGTAAATAAAAATAGATGAATTGCTGAGGGAATTAGATGATTTAAGGAGGAAATAGTCATCCCTTGAAGACACCAGTGTGTTAAGATAGTAATTATAGTAATCTCAAAATCGTGTAAGACTGTTGGAATAAAAACTGTAAGAAATGGAATCGCATCTAACATCAATGGAATCTGAGAATAAGAGATTATCAATAAGCATGAGTTCAAAGATTTAAAGTGAGAATAATGAAACAGCTTTATTAAGGAATGAAATCACTAAACTGAATAAAGAGATTAGTAAATTATGGGCAGATAATGAGACGCTTGTTTCTGAAATAGACTCATTACAATTGAAACTGAGAACTTTGAGTGAAGACGAGTTGAGAAGATTAAGAAATGAATTGTCGAGAATTTAAGAGTAAAATAGCCAATTAGAATCTTAAATTGCACGTTTGCAATCTTAGAACCAGTCTTTAATATCTGAAATATCTCAACTTAATATGATAATCGAATAAAATCAATATGCCTTGAGTGATGCAAACAAATAGAAGTATATCTTCGAGGAATACAAAGAAAAGATTAGGCAATTTGAATTGAAATTCCAAGAGCTTCAATTGTAAAATGAGAGATTAAGACAATAAGATCATAAAGTGTCTGTTTTAACAACTGAAATTGAGAGATTGAATAATTTAATAAAATAATTGAATACAGATGCAGATGAATGGAGATAAAAGTATTAAAAAATGGAATTGGCTATGTTGGATTACAGGTAAATAGAAAAAACAAACAGAGATGCAGCCACTAAAAATGAATTACTCTTAGATGAAATTGAACGATTAAAGAAAATATTAGAATAAAAGTAATATGACATGGATCAATTAATCAAACAATTTGATGTCATTCAATCTCAAATCAGTACTTATTAAATAAATGCCAATTCAAGTGTGAGCAGAGTCTAAGACTATGAATCAACATAAACATCAACAATCTTACAAGAGAATGAAAGATTAAAGAGATAACTTTAATAATTTCAATAATAGGTTTCTACTTTACAAAACCAAGTTTAGGAATAGAATACGAAGAATCAATAATTAATTGCTTAACAATAGCAAACTTACATGATGAGCAATAATAACAATAATGCAGAAGTAGAAAAATTGAAGAGACAAATTCAAGAATATGAGAATAAGATAGCCATGTTATCTCTTGAACTTTCTAGAGTTAGAAACACCAAATAGAATTTAAATTCATTTGATAAATCAGATAAAGTTATGGAACTCTTAACAATAATTGTCATGATGTCGGCTGAACTTGACAATCTTAGAGGCATCACATTTGAAAAGAGCACTGCGTAATCATAGAGATTACAAGACAATACTTCACAATCTGTTCGTTCTCAATCCATAAATAATTAACAGGCTAATTATTCATACAGTAGTTGGAGACAGAAATGAGTTATATATATATATAATAATAATTTTATTTAAGTCAGCGCTGTGGAGAGAAGAATCGTTAATCATTTCTCTAACTCCTTTTCATCATATATTAGGTGAAGGTAAGGATCACCTACTGATGAGTAAAATTATCATCAATAATAAACCACTATATAAACTGATATTAAAACCATGATTTTATGGGTTTAATAAAATAACATCACAATTTAATAATTATATATGGACAATACAAGTGAAGTTTATAAACCTCTAGATCTTCATTAAAATGGATAACTTATTCAATATTAGCATATTCAAACTTAGAATATTGCAGATTTGAGGAGGCAATTACATAATTCAATTTTTATTTGGATAAATCCAAAATTAAATATCATACTTCAATTTTTTGTATGAACTGCCAAGATAATTCAAACTCAGAATAAATCAATAAATTTATAAAATCATTGCTTGTTTTCAAGCTAATAAAAGACTTCTGCAATAACCTCCAACTTTATTGGTTTTGGCACGAAAGCATCAAATCCAAATTTTTCGCATTTCTCCTATTCATCTTCATCATCAAAACCAGATAATGCAACCAATTTAACATCATCAATTTCTCTATCATTGATCTATCAATAATACAACCATTTACCATGATTCTAATCTTTTCAGCAGCCTACCATCCATTTAAAATTGGCATATATAGATCCAGAAATACATATCTGATGTTTAAACTCTTCTGATTTTGCAATAGCTAAAATACCATTTGTTAAATTACTTTATTAATCGCCTGCTATCCATTGTAAGCTTCAATAATATCTAATCCAGTTATCATGTCCTGAAGTAACGTCTTAAATGCCATCAAGTTGAAGATTTGATCATCCACCAATAAAATTCCGAATTTCTTATTTTATAACACTTTTCTTAATTTTTTTCTTGGATCCTAGACCTCTTAAGAATCTCTAATTTTTGGATAAGTTTTTTGTTTAAATAATTTTTAACCCAAAGATTTCAATTAAATTATATTTCTTGTCTTCGTTTAATCAGGATCCTCTGAAGATGGTTCATTAATATCATTTTCAGTCTTTTCTTACACTTTTGTGTAGATTCTCACAAGAGATGATCTCACTATTACTTAATGATTATCTTTCCCATTCGATGAATCATCGTGTTACTAAATACTCAGATATTACGAAGAGTGTTCCTACTTAAAACAACTGATATAATTAGCTGATTTCATTGATTTGTCCTGCAATTTCGCATAGATTTAAAAAGTCATCTTCGTTCCCACATTTTATTCACTCCAAAGATCTATGTTTTCTGACGGACCAAGTAAACCTACAAGATTCTTACAAACCATCAATCCAATCCCTGTTCCACTTTTATTCTCAATCTTTTAATTTGAAAAAGTAGCAAACAAATTGAATAGTTATGGTTTGATATTATCAGGTATGCCACAGCCAGTATCTTCAACTGATATTGAGTAAACTAATCTATTGATAGAGCTTTCCTAATATTTTCCTTGTAACGTTTTTCTAATTTGCTAGACAGTTTGATCTCCAACTTAATACTGTATGTTTTTGGAAGTGTTACTACGTTTAATATGTTATGACTTATCAGTATTGAGTGATTGAACTGAGATTGTGATACTACCTTGTTCTGTAAATTTCAATGAATTGGACAGAAAGTTCATTATAATTTGTTTAATTCTATTTGGATCTGAGTGAATTTGATACGAGGGAATGTCATAATATGTTTTTATTTCAACTCCTTTTTATTCTGCTTAAATTAAACACATTTCAACAACTTCATCTATTATTTCATTGATATAAAAATCAGTAAGACATAATCTCAATTGTTTCTTTTATATTCGAGCATAATCTTGGATGTCATAAATCATATAAAGCATTAAATAAACGTTTTTCTTGATGATGTTGTGATAATATTTTTCCATTTGAGTGATTTCACTTTTACAATCTAAGCTCTCCAAAATGGACACAATGCCGTTGATTGGAGTTTTAAAATCATGAAACACTGTTGCCAGAATCAAATCTTTATTTTCACTGATTTATTATTATTAAATCAATTGTTCCTATAAATTGAGCAATTATTTGTCAATCTCTTTACTTTACAATATTATCATGAAGGCTTATTTGCCAAACCATAGGCAACTATTTAAATTAATTTTCAACTTCTTTTTCCTTAATTAAACTAAACAAATCGTTTTTTAACTTTAACTTTTCATTATCAATTCCTCTATTATTTTAGATTTCTGATATTTAGGAGTCTCCTCACTTAATAGGATTGAGGGTCTTGAATGCTGCTTGTATTTTGGAGTTTCAATAACAATTTCATTTTCATTCTTGTGTTCTCGTTCCTCGTTGAATTCATCTTCAGGGGAATCAAATTACCCTGAGATCTTCTTAAATAGGGGACTCTAAGATAAATATTGACAATTGTCCAATATTTCGGAAAATAAAATCTTGAAATGTTGATGTGCACTATACATATGTGGAAGAAAACTATCAATGATACTTTGTAATTTGATTTTGTTTTCAGAGTAGAAACAATGAAGACATTTAATAAATTCATCAGAATGAAGGATTTCATATTTAAATTCAGTTTCCAGATTTTTGGTATGATAGAGAGGCTTCTTTGATTGTTTATCAATAACGAGAATTGAAGTAGGCAGAGTTTCCTTCAGCATTTCCAGAAGTTCGTTAGCATCATCTCGCTCATAAATCTAAAGCTATGCTTGGATTTTACAATAATGATTGGTGCAAAAGCAATTCCAATGTATGAAACAACATACTAGAATTAATTGAACCTTACTATCAGATACGTAAGTCCGATAAAGAATAGGAGTGATTAAAGTAATTATATTTACAAAATCTAAATCAAGGCGAAGAGTTTTAGTATAATGTAAATAAAGGATCCCTTGTTATATAATTTAAGAGCAATACTTCATGTGCAATCTCTTTCAGCATCTCGATCTCAATTATGATCATTATAATTTGAGTAACTCCCAAGTAATAATCGCTCGTTTGACTTATGAACTTTTATTTCCATTCCAAAATCAAGAATATAATCGAAAACAGCAAGTCTAATATGAGGAACAACCCAGAATTTGAAATGGCTATCGTATGTGTCAGGCCCAGTATCAAAATCATGAGTGAGGCAATAATATTGCAAACAGTAAACTTTTGCTAAGCACCAATTTTCATCGAATCAGAAATAGGTTTATAATATTAAATAATGATGATAATAACTTTACAGATTTTGGTTTAAATAAATTTATACTTAACCATTTTTATTAAGTAAAACAATAATGTCAAGGATTATCAAATAGGTCTTCAGATCTCCTCCTTAACATGATCTTAATCTATGTGTTCACCATCAACATTTTTCATATTTCGCATATACTCTGTCTCATCTATACAAAATTCATCAATGTCATTATCGTAAGAAACATTTCCAATTTTTGAATAAAAGTTTGTTTTAGTCAACGGCTTACTATTTTATGAGGAAAATCCCTAAAATGTAAAAATGTCAATACTTTCACTGCTTTGTCAATAATACACTTGTGACGAGCAGTCAATATCCTAGCTGATTCTGGATAGGATGGTATAACAAATCTAATTATGTATTTGAGAACCAAAAACGAGACTAATATCACTGGAAAGATGAGTTCTTAATTTGTAGTAAAAAATCCTGATGTAAACACTATCAACCCTGCATTAACAAATATGCCGAAAAAGGTTATGATATCCAGTATTATTAACCAATTTCCAATGCTCGATGCTCCTTCAGGGAATGGTCTTCTAACAAATTTTAGGAATCTCAATTTGTCGACTTAAATTTTTAAAATGTTCTATCCAAATGCCATGATATAGCAAGCTGGAAACGATACACCAAATAAGATTAAATAGGAAAATTAAATAGATATCTCTAAATAATCTAACACACTCCCATCCACTTCTTCCTTATCATCTTAATATGGATCCAATCCTAATTAGTCTTCAATCTAAGTATCAATATGCTTGAAAGGGTGAGTATTTTGTTTCTCTACAAATAGCTTATTTTTTATTTACTAATTATTCATTAGGATAATCATACTTTCATTGAAAATTCTTTCACAAATGGCGTTATTAGTTTAGGAATGCTCCCAGTCAAATTAGAAGAAAATATAGTACTTAGCTAATTAGATAAGAGCAGGAAACAGTCATTTGTTATTTCTTCATTCACCTTACAAATGTTCAAATTAGGAAAGAATCCTGACAAAAATGATACAAGAAAGAAAGAATTAAAACTAAAATATTCATTTTAAATACTTATTTACAAATCTAAATATAAAGTTCTTAACCACAAGTGAATTTTCAAAGGATTATAAGATTTTATGATTCTCCAAAAAATTGAATATTTTAGCCACATTCGCATAAACAGTAGTGAATATATTGATTTAAGCTGACATCATAATACCAGGCAATGTTTACGACAGTAATGCACCCTAATTTTCTTCAATCATTTTATTCTTAAAAATAAATATTGCTATAACACATCCTACAACCATTCCAATGATTAGCAGACTTACACCAAAGGCACATAACTTAGTCATCTACCTCTTAAATGGAGAATAGAAACGCTCATTTAATGAATCTGAAGTTATGGATCTAATAAATTTGCCCTGAAATGCTGGTCTTTCAGCTGCCACCTGTTCAATATTTTATTAACCATATTATAAACTAAAAATCACTTGCTCTTGTCTCCAATATTCAATTAAAAAAGTACTCCATATAATAATTAGTGATGAGAATATAACAGTAAGTGTATCTGATAATCCTGGAGTGGCTAATGATTGCAAGCCTTAAAATATGACACCAACAACAGATAAATACCATAGTTATTTAGTGTAAAAAGTTAAAAACAAAAAATAAATAGCAATTTTTTCTCCAAAATAATCTCGATAAGTTTAAATAGGTACATGCCAAGGAATTCTTAAATTGAAAGCGCTGTCCTCTTTTACAGATTTACAATCATAATCAGTTGATTCTGCGTGAGCTTTCAATTATACTAATACCTCATCAAGCTTCTTCTCTCCTTAACCTTGGTCGTTTCTACGTTTATTGATGTATTCATTGTCTTCCAAAGTTTGAAATAACTAATTTTTAGGTTCTCCATTTAATTGATATGGATCATGAATAGGAATGTAGAATAAAGCTATTTAACTTTACAGCATTTTTTAAATGTTGATATGTTTCAAAACTATTGCATGAGTTAGTTTAATCTTTTCCATATTCAAGAATTCAGATCTCTACTTTTTCTCATTGAATTCATATTTTCTCCACATTTATCTAGCATATTCCCCATGTGGAATGAAAAACTCTGTGTAAGGAGCAGTTGGGTAAATCTCCAATCTATCCCAAATGTTAAACAATATATATCGATTATTACTAATGTCTTTCCAAATGGTTTTGTACTTTTTAAACCAAAGTTCATTGGCGTCACTGATGGCTTTACGAAAGACTAGTTTATAGAGAAAAGCTTCAAATTCTTTTAATCTTTCTTTGGCTTCAGAGGAACTTCTTTTAATTGATTGGATCTGTTTGCCAAAACATAGTATGCATTCAAGATAAATAAAGTATGATTACCATTCTTGTATTGAGATAGGTTCATCATTCAATATTTCAGCTTTCTCTTAGCTCTGATCAATATTTAAGTCAATAGCCAAAGGTTTTAAGATCATATCAATTTCTAATTGCTTTAAGATGAGATTTAGTCTAAGGTCGAAAGCCTTCCATTGAACCACTTTATCATATAATTATTCACAATGAGTTGAGATATTAGTTAATGAAATGATCTTCTCTTCCTTATTTGTTTGATTACTAAGTTCTATCAATTTAGCTTAGATTTTTTGATCCTCTTCAGAATTAGATTAATACGACCTTAAGTACTTTTTTAATCTTAATGGTCTTAATTTATAATCCACTGGCTCTAAACTGAATAGATCTGCAAAGCCTAATTCAAGTTATTTAACAACTTTCACTTTTTAGGCTTGTCTCATGACAACTTACTTTGTACTTTTAATAACTAGAAATATTTGAGCACCATTTGAAGAAATAAATTATCTACAATGTAAAAAAGCATTACGCATCAACTTTTCTATGATAGTAAATCTAATCAAAGTCATAAAGTCTTTAGGTTGTTAATTATTACACATCCAAATTTCTTCATTTGTATTTTCATCCTTCACTTTTTCCAAATATTTACCCAAGTTAACTTGTTTCTTAACCTTAGTAAATTATTTGGCATCAGTCAAATTGATTTTAAACAGTTCTTTGATAGGATCCATGTATTATGTATCATCTCCAGCAACATGTTAAGATTTTTACTAAACTATTTGGTTCACACTAATATCATTCTCAGACACAGACTTATCTTAATTGACTTTCCTATAAGTTTAACCTTTCATCTTTCTCTTTTATGCTTCCCTTTCTTCTTTTTCAAATCTTTCTAATTTCTCCTACTCTATCTTCTTATACTTTTCCATAAATTACAAATATTTCTCATAACTGTTTAATTCCTTTTTTGTTTTCTTACCTTCATTTTCTTAATCTGCTTCATTTTCTTAGACCTCTTCTTTTTGTTAACCATCTCCATTCACCTCATGCAATTCCGAATCCTCCATTTCAACATCTATATCAAAGTCACTTATGTCCATATCCATATCTCTTTATTTTGTTTAAGATTTCTCCTAATTTGACCCTTTGTTTTCCTTCTGAGAATGTTGTGAGGGAAGGTTTTATCGTTCAGTTTTTTCTTTTTGAGAATGTTAAGATACAGCTGCTTTTTCTCTTTTTATCTAAGTTGGAGTGGGATTAGGTTTAAGTTATTAAGTTTTTTTCATTTTTATTTCTGATACTGATTTTTCAAGATGGGGAGACTTATCAATGTGTGGGGATTTTGAATCATTCTCTACGGAATCTTAGATCTCCTTTTTTGCAGCTTCTTCCTTTTCTTTCTTCTTTTTTTCCTCTTCTTCTTTAAGTTTTTTTCTGGTTTTATCATCTTAATAGTCATCCAACATCAAAAAAGCTAACAAAAATGCTTCTTTTTCTTTCTTTAATTATGATTCTGAGACATCATCATTTTTTTACGCTAAAGTTTCATCATAGAATTTCTCTGCTTCTTTATATGTGATCGGTGGATTTTTAACTCCATCTGCATCAGGATTAGGAAACACTATGACTAAATCTCCCATATTATAATCCTCATAAATATCCTACATTTCATTATATTCATTTGGATTTAGGAAATCATCCTGATATTTCTTTTCTTGCTAATTGGAATCAACAACAGCTTTCATTTTTTATAAAAACTTTCGAGCATCAACTTGATTAGTGTAAAAATTTAAAATTTCTCTCAAATTCTCCTCTTTCTTATTCTGCATCTTTTGTTTCTTGACCATTTTGGTATTAAGTAAGGGTTTCTTCTGCTTGGGTTTCGGCTATTCTTACGGGATTGGCTAATTCTAATCATCCATTATATTATTGTTATTTATATATATATAAAATAAATGAATACTCAAGGAAGAAGGCTTTTTACAATTATACGGGATATTTTGCTTAATTTATCTACATTTCCATCTCCGAAATTCATAAAATCACAAGCAAATATAACATTATTTTCTAAATATTGGACTGCATCATCAACATTAAATGGCAAGGTAGAAGCAAGTGGCCATGATTCTAATAATTTTTTGAATGCAGGTATATTTAACTTTCCATCTGCATGAAAGAATTACTTTAATTAGAAAAGACTTCTTTCTGTAAAATGAGTCATTACTAAATTCTTTACATTCAATTAGTATCCATTGAAGAAAGCTTATAAAAACGTAGAATGTTTAGCAGATAAAGCTCTATAATAAAATATGGAAATTAATTACTTTTCAACCATCTCATCAGGATATGTGCATTCATGAATTAAAAGATCACAATTTTTTGCAAATTTAGAAAATTTGGTACCGAATTTACTAAGTTGTCCCTAGCGATCGCTTGAATAAACTAACGTTTTCCCATTTGAAGCCAATTTAATTGCAGTACTATATTAACAATGCTAAGTCATTTCTATATCTAATTGTATATTTTTATACTAAAGAAATTCCTAAAATTCTGTTTTATTTAAATTATTATCAAATTTAAATAAGTAATTAATTTCAGGAAATTCCTCAGATTCTAACTGATTTACATTAATCGATTTTTTCTATTTAGCTTAAACCTTTTCTTAAACATTTGAACTGATTAAAGCATCTGTGTATACTATTTTGATTTAATTAACATAGCTTTTCATCCCAAATTCTTCTTTAAATAAGTTTGTAAATAATTAAGAGTACCATAAATAAATTGGCTTTGGAAGCAACAAAAAAAATGGTTCTTTTGACAAAGCACACTTATGTTTAATAAAATCATATAGACCTTAATGGTGATCATTATGAGAATGAGATATATAAATGACTTATACATCGCTTATTTTCTATTTGAAATCTTCATCATCCTAACAACTAAAGTAAAACTAATTTAAAGTATTCTATCCACAATCCATCAATATTCCAATATTATTGAGTTTAACATGTATTCCACTCGCATTCCTTGATTAATTTTCAATTGAAGATGATGTTCCTAACATCAAAACTTCATAGCATTTATTTTAGGTTTATGAAATGTCCTTACATAAACTAATTAATAACTACTTCTCTTCTTTTTACATTGAGTAAGAAATCTATCTCTTGACTTTCAAGTCTTCATAATATAGGGTTCCACTGATAATCTAAATTGTTTTCATTCTCATAGGAATATATTTTGACTCTTTTGGCCATAATGATTTGAGATTTGTCATATTTTTATTAATTTGAAATTGATTAACTTATTCTTATCCTCTAAATAAAGCAGGCAAATTGGTTTTCATAAATTTTAAAAAATCTAGATAATAATATCCAAAGTTCTCTCTGCCCAAGTCCATTTTACTTACATTATCCAACTCACAATAATATTCTTGGGAAGTTATAATATGGACTAATTTATAATCTAATTTCTTAAGGTTTTCAATTATATTTTGATATTTCTCCGAATCCAACAATTGCTTATCAGCATAATGAACAATTACGAGTGTCTGATTCAAATCTGGATTCTAATTGTATTTATTAAATTCTTCTCTGTATATTTTTAATTCATCTCGTAATTAATCAAAGATGTTTGAAGCAAAGTCTACAACTTCGTCTTCAGTCTTAAAATCCAAAAGGAGTATGGCTTATTACAGCAATTAGGGATTAATTTTATTCAATTCTTCGAATTTCACTAATCTGTTATTCAAAGAGTACCTTCCCTCTTTTATATCAGGAATCCGACTCAGTGGGATGTTCAGATTTCTACATTTTTCAAAATCTATTTGTTACTCAACTTTAAATGTCACTAGATATTGAGTAAGATTAGGACTAGAGGGATATAGATATAAGTTTTTACTTATTTCCAAACAAGGATTTTACTTTAGAAAATTGCAATGCTATATGTTTATTTTAATCTACGAATTCTTTTGGAACCACATATTGATGAGTTTATTCTTGAACAAATTAATTAATTGACTTCAAATTAGGAGTCTGGCTCTCGACTGAAGTTTTGATCAAATCCAAGAATTACATTTTATTTCCTATTCCAAATTTCTATTGTGTTATTATCATTTCCTTATTCAAATCCATTGCTCCAAAGGCTAGACATCGTACTCCAAGCATATATTTGGTTTACATGATAAACTGAGATATACCAGGAGGTCCAAAAAATGTCATATTGGTAAATTGATTTCTATAAAAAGCGTAATACATGATGGGGATAAGACCTTAATAGACTTCCTGAGTGTTCCTATGAAGAAAATAAAAAGCTTTATTAACAAACAAGTTCAAATCATGAAATGACACTAACCTATTGGATGGTTCCTCACATGTCCCAAAATACAAACGTTCATTCCCTTGCTGATGGTCTAGACATATTGAAATTATTGGAAAGCGTTGTAATTTGTAGGTTTTAATGATTTACAAGTTAATACGCTAAATTTGCTTATGACCAGACATTATATTATTCTGTGAATTTAGAACTGAAAAATAACTCAAAAAATAGCAATTCTTAAATATCCGTGAACCTTAGAGTATGATTAATATTTGCTCAATAAATGTAAATCGAGTAAGACGAGAACTCTCTCTACAATATGTTTCTATAAAACTTTACCAAAAAAGTGAAATTGGGGGAAGGAACCTATGGAATCGTTACAAGAGCATTTGATAAGAGAAAAGAACAGTACGTTGCTTTAAAGAAAGTGAAGTTAGATAGTCACCATGATGAAGGCGTTCCAAGTACTACTATCAGAGAAATAGCAATACTATTAAAGTTGAGACATCCAAATATTATAAGGTATAATTGAATTGTATTTTAGTTTGTTTGAGGTCAAGTACTTTCTTGAAGAAAAGTAGATATATCTAGTTTTTGATTCAATGCAGTGTGATCTAAGAAATTATTTGGATAAAAACAAGGCTTTCACTTTAAATCAGTTAAAACCAATCATTTACTAAATCCTACAAGGCTTATCATATTGTCACAGTAGGAGAGTTTTACATAGAGACCTCAAACCGCAGAATATTTTAATGGATGAAGCCAAGTAAATTAAATTGGCAGATTTTGGACTCTCCAGAGTATTCCCATTTCCTATGCCTAAATTCACAAAGGAAATCGCTACACTTTGGTATCGAGCTCCTGAACTCATGCTTGGAGATGACAATTATGGAACTGCTGTTGATATTTGGGCAGTTGGTTGCATTATGGCTGAATGCTTAACTGGTGCTCCACTTTTTCAAGGTGATAGTTAAGTTGATATGTTGTTTAAAATAATGAAGGTATTTTTTTATATTGATTCATATCAAAGTTACTTGGAACTCCAACAGATGAGACTTATTTCGGTTTGTCTAGACTTCCAGATTTTACACTCAATTTTCCAAAATTTAGAGGTGAATCATTGACTTAAAAAATTCCACAATTAGGATAAAATCACTAAGCCACTATGGTTTTATAATCTATGCTCTAATTTAATCCAAATAATCGCCCATAAGCAAAAGAATTATTAATGAATTAATGGTTCGATGATATTAGAAATAATAATTTTTGAGTTTCTAATAATTAATTTTATCAATTTTTTCTGTTATAAAATCTATATTAATTTAGCTAATTGAGATTGAATTTTATGAATAATTCTAATAATAAATTGCTTTATTATTTTAAGTATTTTTAATCATGATAAGAACTAATTTTGTAATTCAGAAAGTTGATACTGCACAATTAAATGTCTCAGAAATACTATTCTTTTCATAGTTAAATAATTTAAGTACCCGCTTGTTTTAGCACTCAATTACTATTATTCTATAATACACTTACATTATCTATAAAATTATTTCTTATATAATCATAGAGAAATAAATTTCTTCATTCTAATATTTTGAAAGTAATTACTTTAGATATTTCTATTAAAATTCCGAAAGAAATTATTATAAGGAATTACTTAAGTTTTAAGGTACAATTTTACTGGATAAGAGAATTATAAAAAATTATAAATCATTAAGTAACCCATTAGGATGAGGATTAAATTTGAGTAATCTTACAATTATACGAAACTTATAATATGGAAAATATTGCCAATTAAGAATACGCCTTACAAAATGGAATAAGATAAAAAAATTATTAACCCTGAAAGATGAATACATTACACCTATATTCTGAAAAAATATGAATAAATGTGATTCTTACTCTAATTTTATAATTCTTTTACTTTTGTGGATAGTTAGAAAAAATGAATACACAAAATTAATATTAACATTAATTTTTAAAAAAAGTGGCTGAGAGTGGAAATTTGTAGTCTCTAGGTATAATTATCAATTGTTTAAGAGACTTATGAGATATATTATAATTATATTTATAACAAATGAAAAAAAAATATATTTATATAATTATAAAAATAATGGCCTTAATTCATAATCAGAATGATATACAAAACATGTTTAGTAAAGCGGGAAAGATAACTTCAGAGAAATATATAGTTTTCCAACGAAAAGAGGAGATCATTAACAATAGGCCCAGGTATTTCAAAGGGAAATCTTAATCGGCAGCTTCTTCAGAAGAGGTTAATCAGTAAGTAGATAAAAAAATGCCAGAAATATCAAATAAGAAATCATAAGAATAAATAACAGAAGCAGAATTGATTTAACGCAAAAATTAAGTCAAACTTTCCTAGCCATTCTCAAGGCAACTGTCCAGATAAGTAGGCCATTATACAAAACTAAGTAAAGACAGCAAACCATCTTGTGGATAATATCATGTTAAATACAGTGAGCTCGATAAGTATTAATTGAAATAATGATTAAAAGAGCAGTTCACTCAATTCATGATTATGACAAATCACTCAAGTAAACAATTCCTCTAGAGGTGCCAGGAAAGCATGGAGAGCCAGAGAATATTGAGTAAGTAATGAATAAATACATTTATAGCAAACCAATAGTAGATAGGCCTCGATTTTCTAGAACCTGTTTTCTTGATTTAGTACGATAAACTTAAAGGTATAAATTTATGTGTTATAATTAGACCTGACATATTTTTTGGAAGACCAACACCGCATCCTGATAGATTTACCTATTTAAATGTAACGGATTCATGGAGCAAGATTCCTAGAACACCATCAGTCTAATTAGAGAAATAATTGTCTAGAGATCAAATGATTATTTATAAAAAGAAATAATTTGCTCCTGATTATCATCCAAATTTTGAATTTGGTAAAAAGTATATGAATAAATTAATAATTAGATAATTGGGTAGTTGTGGGGCTCCATTTGACAAATTAGAATAGAGAAAGGATATTATGACTAAAGTACCACCTTATAATCATGAAACTTATTTTGAATTTGATGTTTATTCGAAGGATCCAAATAGCAAGCTTTTTAGAACTCCCACAGCTCCAAATTTCAAATAAATGTTGGATAGGGAATAGGATGGAAAATCACTTTTGCCAAGCTTTATGTAGGTAATGAAAATTTTTGACTTATAAGAAATATTCAAATACTCGTATGGGCATTACTCATTTGCATTAAAAAATGTTAGAAGTGAACAACTTTAGAGATGGAAGATTTCAAACAGTTACTTCAAGTTTCTTACCAAGTAAAGGTTTCAAGAAAAGGCCGCAATTGGATGAATCAAGTGAAGAGATTGAACAAATGGAAGATTAATGATGATTTGTATTATTTAATAATTATATTATGATTAAGAATCAAAACTTGTTGATAACGAGTTTTTCTATTAATTAATTTAATTAAATATTATTTATAAAATTAATAATAAAATTACTACCTTAATCCACTCTCAATGTGTTAATATTTGTTTTATATTATAAAGTTTTTATTATTAATTGATATAATTTCTTATATGAATTTAATGATATCATTGAAAATGTTAATACCAATTAAATTCTTTATTAATACAATATTCAATACAGTATCTAATTTCAATAAGAATATAACACAAGTTTAATTATACCTCTAATTATCTTTTAATTACTAAAAAATTAATGAATACGCTAAATCCAAGCAGTTTAATAAGCATAACTTTTAATCTGAATGAGATATCTACTCATGTAGCAGAATAAATAAAAAACTAAAGTGAGTAGATTCATGGAATATATACAGAAAAGTAAAAAACTTTGGAAATATTACAAAAACAACTAGAGAAGATGAATCAACTAATTTCTAAAATATCTAACAAATAACCTCCTCAAAGAATTGACTAGATTCAAATTCTCAAGAATCAGTAATATAAATATGAGCTTTAAATGGAAGAAGATTTAGAGCTTCCATGTTATAGAAACAGAATTTTTCAAATCAAACTAAGGCTTGTTTAGAATGAAAAAACAATAATCAATATAAATAACCTCCTTGTTGAATTACAAATGTAAGTATAGCAAGTAATATTAGTTGGACTTATGACAAGATTCCTAAAAAGCTCACTCACAATAACAAAAACCAATCAATCTTCAAAGGGTGTTAATAAACGATTATAAAAAAAGGTTATGGCAGCTTGAGCAGGATTTAGATTAAGGAAGTTTCCTCCCATTTTCCAAAAGGATCATTTCTAATGATTATATTACCGATAGACGACGGCGCAATTATTGGGGATGAGAGGTGACAATCTACTTTATATTGTAGTAAATTTTTAATAAAAAAAGAGTGGATTAAGCCATTAATTATAAACGATGTTGCTATTAAGGCAAAAAAGTTTTCTGATCGACACAACCCTTATTATGTAAAATCAGATGGAACAATAAACATTTTGGAATAGGAATGATTGCTATTTTATTTGGATATATATAACATTATAAATATTTAAACATAAAAAATATGTTGAATTCATTGAGAAATAAAATTTTTCCTAAAGACTTTTTGAATCTCGAGTATTATTCCATTGTTCCCTGTTTTAAAAATTTTCTTAGGTTCATCTGACCGATATTTTCATAAGGAAAGTAGTTGCTAATTCTACGCTGAACCTCTTCCTTTTGCTCTATAAAAGTAATCATAAAACTTAATTAAAGTTTAAATTTATATATTAAGAAAAAATATTGTAAATAAGCATAAAACTAGAATTATTAAACGTAATCATCAATTATTCATTAATAATTAAACAAATTAAGGTTTTAAGTTTTAAATTAACAATATAGCCAAATATTCATTTTAAATTAATTGCCTTCGTTAAATTATGTCTTACCCGAAATTGAGTTTAATTGAGTTTAATGTGGATTAGAATATCAAGATGGATATTTTTCGGTTCTATTAATACTTTTAATTGAATCCAAATTTTTATTTAATAATTTTTATATATTTATTATATTATAATTTCTTAATGTACAGAACTTTAAAAGGCACCTAAATTTTTTCATTTATTTTATTAAAAAATAAATGGAAGATAAAATACATAAACTTTTTGCATTATTCAATGATTTCAAGAATCAGTAACTCTTTAGCTTGGCTTTGGCTCAAATAGTGAATGTATATAATGATTACCCTGCATGTCTCTATTAAATATTAAGAAAAACAAACAAATTAATATATTCAAGAGCCCAAGATCCTCGTCTTCGTTTAGAGCATTCTTAGATCGCCGCTGCAATAATCGAGAGAACCTATAAGATATACAAGTAATTTATTTCTGAATAAACATAGCGAACGACTTGAAGAGTATTTATTATCATCATCTAATGACTCCATCCCTGAAAATTTATTTCATTTTGAACCAATATTAGATTAATCGGTTGATGATACAATGCAATAAGAGTAAATTTGCGATTACGAAGAAATAAAATCAAACATTAAGCTAAAAAGTGAATAAATTGATTTCATTCATCTCATCAATGATGGAAGTGCAATTCTGGGGAAAGACATGAAGTATTTAAAAAGATCATAAGAGAATAAAAATTAAAAATTAGATGATGAAACACTTGACATTAAATAAGAAGAAATTATGAGATTAATGGGTTTGTCTGGGAATTTTAATCTTTCAAATATTACCAGATTGTTAGAATTTATGTAAGGAGATGCAGAGATACCAATTGACATGCATTCTTCATCTGAAGAGATCGTTGAGAGTTCTAGTGATGATGATGCAGTAGGTTAATACAGGAAAAGGAATAAAACTAAAGCCAAATAACCAGAAACTAATCTAAAAAAGAAATCATAGGTATAAAAGAAGAATTAAAATGCGAAGTATTGTGTAATAAATCCTTTTAATGTCATTTACAATAGAGCAGTTTATGAATTAATGAATCATAAATGGTAGGAAAGACATGCAAGTGCTCTAGTTTTGAAATCGATTGTTAGACAAAAAGGATTTTTAAATTTAGGATTTAGTTATTTAATAAAAGGTGATGAAAAGGAAATTAATGCCATTTTGAGAGCCAATTTAATAGAATATATTAGTGATAAGAATGGTTAATTAAATAAATTAGAATATTTATTAACAAGATGTTGTGTATTAATTGTGATGGATCGATTTGCAGACTACTTTGGAAATCAAACTATCATGATTGTAAGAGAAGCAGCATGTTAAACTGCTATCACACTTTTAACAGATAGAAATTACAACACTAATATTTGGATTCATTATCCTGATAGTTTTATGAAGTTTGTTTTATTATTGAAGGATTTCATTGAGGAAGGCTAAAGAGTCTAAATATATGAAGTCTCTTAAAGTGCTTTATTCTTAGTTAAAGGTTTATTGAAGGATCATTTGTAAGTGATTTTTGATAATTTCTCAGAAATGCTTTTGTAGGTTGGTTAAAGAGACAATGAAGATGAAATTCTTGAATTATTGGCAGATATATGGAAGGAATTCCTATAGTTAGGTTTGAATCAAAAATATTTTACCACTGTTTATTCTATTACCATGAAGTAACTAAAGAAATAAGATGATATCAGTTTTGCAGGCAAATCAATATTCTAATTTTTAAGTTCACTTTTTCAAGCTGGTTTTAAAATACAGAAACAGTTTTAAGGGGAAGTTGAAATTCTGAAAATGTTCTTCTTTCATAGAATTGTAGAAGTCAAAGAATCCTTTTATTAATATTTATTAGCTTTTTCAAAGTAGTAGACTTAAATTTAAAATGATTCTAGAACCATAAACTTCATGAAAATCATATTTTAGACTGGAGTGTTTGAAGAGAAACTTGAGACCTTCCAAACTTTAATGAACATCCTTGAACAATTATCCAAACATTTAGAAGAAGAATAACTATATGAATTTATTTAATTTGTCCACAATTTCTCTACTGATCATCAATTTAAGAAATATTTTTATCTCTTTGATGGTATGAAACGAGAATCCATAGATATACACTATCCAAATCTAGTTCAATAAACTTAAAATCCTATTGATAATTAGACTTATAGAATGATAAAGACTGCTTATTTGATAAAAGATATCAATTATAATCATTAAATAACTGTTGATTTAGATCCGATTAATTTTATATACACTTTCAAAAATTACATAAATAATAAAAAAGAGCTAAATCAAGAAGTGGATATTACTCGTTAAAATGGATGTTGTTTTGATGAATTGGATCTCAAAATTCAAGTATCAATGTAACAGTTGAATATATTATTGAAAAACTATATGTAAATTGAGAAAGAACAAGAATATTTAGCAATTATATAAGGATTTGTAAAAATTTATGGAGATTTCGCAATTGCCCCAGCTCATTCACCAAAGCTGAGATAATTATATCCTGTTATTCTAAATTAACTTAAGTAGTTGAGTCAAATTGACTATGAGATGGATTAAGAATCGATATAGAAATTATAAGATGCAACATCAGATTTAGTCTAGAGTCTATAATCGTTTACCAAATTGAGCAATGAGTTAAGCTTGAATTTTAAGGTATTAACTTCAGATCACACTGAATCACTAATTTAAAGAATAAGGTAAAATAATTATTTATTTAAGAATAGACAAATTTCATTTAATATAGGATATTGCATCAGAAAGATTATCCAGATAGATGTAATTAAATCCAAACTGTTGTGATTTAACATCTCTTTATGTTAAATAGAGTACCTAATAAGCAGTCTAATATATCTTATCATAGAAAAATGAATTGAAAAGTATGATATAAAATGATATTTTTAGGAAAGGACTATGGAAGAAAAAGGTTGATTTGGCATTTGCTTAAAAATTCAGCTGATTTCTAATTTTGGCATCTCTTCTTTGAGAGGCTTTTCTTATAGCAATTAAATTATATACCAAATGATCTAAGATTTAATTCAACTCTAATAACTTAAAAATCTAAATTGACAATAAAAGTAGAGGATTTGAAATACAGTTTATGGGGAATAGGTCTGATATAAAATGCGTACTCATTATTCATGTAAAACCCTGAACATCCTGATTTTGACAAATGGGCCCAATACTTATTGTCAAAATTATTAAACTATTTACCAGTGTTAAGTAATATAAGTGATGACGATAATAATAAAATAATTTTGGATGATCTGAAGGGTGGAATATTACTAGAATTCGATTAAACATTTAAAAAGGTAGCAGTATTAAAAAATACTTTACTTAAACTGTGTGCTAAATTTATTCATTTCCTATCTGTTTCAAAGAATATTAGTGTATTCGATCAAGTGATAATGCAAATAAATTAACTGCTGAAAAGAAATGAAAATGGGATGTATGAGATTTTGAATATAATTTTGAAAGAATATCCAATCTCATTAGCACCTATTAGTGGTTTTCTAACTTTGAAAGCTATCAAAAAGTTGACTGCGAAAGACCCAAATACAGCCTAAGCAGCGAGCAAGTTGTTTGGATTTTTAGTGCCCATATTAACTATAATGGAAGTACCATATTCTCCAACATCCCCATAATTAATGAAAAAATTTTAAAAGGCTAAGGAATTTTAATTAGGATTTGGTAAGATGACCAAAGTTGATTATAAAGTTGAAGGCGGAATAAAAGATCGTAGCATTTTAAGAGATTATTAATGGGACGGTATAAGATGGTTAGGATTTTTAATTAAATATAATCTGCATGCTGCCTTATGTGATGATATGGGATTGGGGAAAACAATTTAAACATTAGTGGTTTTAGCAAATGAGGTTTTTAAAAGAAGAAATGAAAACTTGGTGTCCCTTGTTGTTGCACCAAGCACAGTTGTGGATCATTGGTATGCAGAAACAAAGAAGTATATAAGTAATGCTGTTCTGAAACCTCATATATATGATGGAATCTTCTCAGGCAATTTTATTATGGTGTCTTACAATTAATTACTAAAATTAAATCAAAATTTCCTAAATCAAGAATTTTATTTCCTAATCTTAGACGAAGCTCACATTCTAAAGAATAGCAAAAATAAGACCAGTAAGGTAATACGGAGTTTGAAAGCAAAGCACAAGATAGTATTGTCTGGAACTCCTGTTCAGAATCACCTATTGGAATTGTGGTCTCTTTTTGATATTCTATTACCAAATTATTTAGGTGATGAAGAATATTTTAAAAAGAATTTCTCTAAAGCTTTTCACACTAATATATTTTCATTAACTGAAGATGAAATTCTATTTGATGAATAACAAATCAAGACTTTAAGATTACTTCACAAAAAGGTTTTACCATTTATAATGAGAAGAACTAAATAAGATGTGCTACCACAATTACCAGCTAAAATTATAGGAGATTATTATTGCACTTTATCAGAACCATTGCAATCTTAAATTTATTAAATCTTAGAATCTAATTCATTTTCTACTGATATTGAATAATAGATTACTAAAACTTAAGGAGAGTAAAAAAATAAAGTTTGTGAATCTGTTCTGAAATTACTGCATAAATTAAGATAAGCTTTAGATCATCCAATATTAGTCAGAAGTGTGATTTTACCAAACAAAAGACCAAAGAAAAAAGTGAAAACAGAAAATATTGAGATGTAAGCTGAATAAGAAATAAATTAACTGTTAGACAAACAAGAAAAACCTGATAGCTATTCTCATTCAGGAAAGATGATTGCTTTGAAAGATATTTTATAATAATTGGGATTTTAATCAACAGATGATGCTCCATAACAATAAACTCAAGGAGATTAGATTACAATTTATACTAATTTTAATAAAGTCTTGGTTTTCTCTAGGTTCAGAGCTGCCTTGCAATTAATAGCTGAACAATTATTAAAAACTTAGTTTCCAGGATTATAATATTTAATTTTAGATGGAAGTGTTCCTTAAACTTAAAGATATCCTTTGGTAACTAAATTTAATGAAGATCCAGACATCAGAGTGTTACTTCTTACAACTTAGGTTGGTGGTTTGGGATTAAATTTAAGTTCAGCAAATATTGTGATAATGTTTGATCATGATTACAATCCTGTAAATGATCAATAAGCCATGGATAGAGCTCATAGAATAGGATAAAAGAATGTTGTTTAAGTGTTTAGATTGATTGTTAAGGATACTCTGGAAGAGAAAATTATGGGAATTTAAAGATTTAAATCAGCAATATCTAAAGCAATTGTGAATTAAGATAACGCTTCATTAAAACAAATGGAGAAAACTGATCTATTATCTATGTTGGAATCGACTGCTTAAGGTAATAATAAAGGTAATATATATCTTTATATTCAATAGAAAAAAATACTGAGGAAGAGCAAATTGAGAAATTAAGTGGTCCATACTCAAAGATATTAGGATAACTTAAATTGGATTTATTAGAACAACTTAATTTTGACAAAGAGTATTGATACTTTACATTTATTGTATGTTTCATATTCTTATTAATAAAGTTTCTATTATCTCTTATTAAAGTGTGGAGCATTTTCGAAAATAACTATGGAAATATATTGTTTTTGGTTTATAATTAATTTAAGTTTATAGTAAAGAATTGTTTTAATGTAAATAAAGTATTTATTTTATATTACAATATCACAAAGTAAATTTTGTACTTTCTGAGAAACATATCAAATTGATTCCTTTGATTTAATGTGAAACTTAAATTAAACTTGTCTAATGTTTTCAACAACATAAAAATTTAGAATTCCATGCTTAAGATTATATATTTAATATTTAATTGATCTTGAAAATAGAGGATGCTAGAATAATCAGAACATACTAAAGTTCATACAGAATGTTTTTAAACCGTTTTTGAGTTCGACATCGAAAGTTCGCAAAGGTTTAGCTTGTATCTAAAAATTAGAAGACCAAAATCAAGTTCTTAAGAGAAATACAGAAAATTATTTGAGATAGCTAAGGATTACTCTAATTCAAAAGTACCATAAGCCCACTCAGATGAAGTTCCTGAATTTGATTTTTTAGAAGAATCCTGTTAAATTAGACCTTCTATCTGTACGAATAAATCAAGCAAATAAAGTTAAGAACGTGAAGAGAAATTATTTGAAAAAGAATTATTATCACTTTTGAATGAGGATGATGATCAATTAATAGCAAAGAGTGAAAAAGAAAAGTTAAAATTACCATCAATTATGATGAGAAATGGTGGATGCTATACTGGATACTGGTACAAAAAAAAACCTTAGGGTGAAGGATAATACAAATTTGCAGATTCTAGCAGATATGAAGGTGAGGTAAAGAATTTTAAATTATATAAAGTGGATTAATGGCTATGCTAGTGGAAAAGGTAAATTTTTTGATTCGGAAGGAGGGTATTATTGTGGGGACTTCCATTTGAATTACATGCATGGTAAAGGAGTGTATTATTATGCGGACGGCTCGATTTACGAAGGTATAAAATTATTCATCGCTTTAAAGGCTCATGGTTCAATGATAAATACAATGGATATGGTATTGAAGTGAAGGTTGATTCTCATTATAAAGGTATAATACTAAAAACAAAAGTAGGGCATTTTCGGAATGGCTTAAAACATGGGCAAGGAATTTTAATATTTAATAATAAGGAAAAATATGAGGGCTAGTTTGTAAATGGTCAGTTCGAAGGGAAAGGATAGTTTGTAGTTTTATAATAATATTAAAGATATGGCCTGATGGAAGAAGATATTAAGGAGACTGGAAAAACGGAATGATGCATGGATAGGGAATCTTATCCTGGACTGATGGTACTATTGATTATCCAATTTAAGGCCGAGTTTATGTTGGTTAATATGAAAGCGATAAGAGATAAGGTTTCGGAACTTTTTAATTTGCTGATGGTCGAAAATATGCTGGGTAATGGATGAATGGTTTGCAACATGGGACTGGGGAATTTACAGAATCCCATGGACATATCACCAAGGGAGTTTGGAGAGAAGGTAAATTATTTTCTCTTGTTTGATTAAATAATACTAATTTATTTCTCATATATTTGCTTAACTATACTTTTCTTTGTTTTTCGGAAGCTGTAGCAGTATTTAAGGATAAGTGTAAAGAGAGATTGTTATAAAGATATTGTAGTTCTATCATATAGTTTCTATTTTCATTATTTCTTTTAAGAAATCTTTTAATTACTTATATTTACATATAATAGTGACATTAAATAACATTAAATAGAATATCAGATCATAATAAGTATTGTTTATTGATTTTACACAATACACCTAATTAAATAAGCAAGATAGACTTACTGGATCTCATTTTTAAGAGAATATTAAAAATTAGAAATCCTTGATTTTTAAGAATTAAGTTATTTATACTACTCTATCTAAAATCTTCTCCTTAAATTGAATTGTATATTTATTTCATGTTTATTTAGTTGATTTTTTTATGCCTGAATATTTTGAGTATTTTGAGTAGTTCTGGGAATTTCAAATGAATTTGTTTTTGTTTCTAAAATTTGAATATATTTGGCTCTTAAAAGGTGATATATGTTCTTTTACTTATTTTCATAATTATACATTCGAAAAAATTGAGAACAAGTAATATTCCATCAAAAACGAGATTTTAATCAATATGCAAATAGGTTGGGAAATCAGAGGCCATTACTTTGGTTATATGATTCAAATTTTATCGGATATCATGAAAATAGAAATTATAATAAATTTAATGCATTCTGTTTATTGGTTCTTTAAAATAAAAATATGATTTAAAGCTAACCTTAACAATCTTAATTCTAGAGGAGAATGTAAAAAATTAAAGGGTTTCTAAATTCTGAATCGAATTTTTCTCCAGTGGAGGAAAGTATCGAGAGGAAAACTAGAACTCCACTTTTAACTCAATAGCAAATGTAAAGTTCGGACTTAAGCGATCATGACACACATTCTAATAATGTTGAGAATAATCAAATTGGATTGAAGAATAACTGCTTCTTGGATGAATACACGTTGGGAGAGAAATTAGGAGAAGGAACAAATGGTATTGTGTGGTTGTGTTGGCCAAAGAAAGATGATTAGACGAAATACGCAGTTAAAGTTATTCCAACGGACGACGAGGAGATAATTAGTATGGTGAAATAAGCCTTTATCAATTCACAATTACTAAAAAGCCCGTTTATAGCGAAATGTTATAAATTGTTCATTGAATAAACAAAGTTATATTTGTTAATGGAATGGGTCCCTTGTTCTAATCTGGAGACCCTCCTGAAACAGAATCAGAAATTGAAAGAAAAACACGTGTAACAGATAGCATTGACATTGTTGAAGGCTGTGAAATGCTTGCACAAGGCAGGAGTCTGTCATCGAGACATAAAACCAGACAACATTCAAGTTTGCATGTAAGTCGTACTCTTTATCCACTTAGGGATTACAAGATCAAGTTGATTGATTTTGGAGTTTCAAGAAGATTTGTCACCATTAATTAAAATACATTAAGGTACAACCGGAATAAAATGATGACAATTACTGGGAATATTCATTACCGAGCACCGGAAATCTATAGAGATTATGGTTATGATTCTTAAGTTGACTTATGGGCGATCGGTGTGGTGATATATTAATGTCTAACTGGAATATTACCTTATTCTTCTGAATACACTGGCGATCTAATTGAGATTCTGTCACAAAGGTATAATCTTTAAGTCTGATATAGAGAACCATCATTGGACCCATTCCACAAGTAGGTTTTCTTAGATTTGCCCACTAGTTGTAGAGACTTCATAAAGAGACTGATGATGTGGAATCCTTTAAAAAGATTGAATGCTTCAGGTATCTACCTGTTCTAACTTAGAGGCATTGAGGCACATTTGGGTTCCATCCTACACATTTCCAAACAAAATTAAAATTGTGAAAGATGATATTGATGTTAGTAAGAGCAGCCAAAACAGTGATCTGTACAACAAAACGCTGATAAATTCTGCAATGATGCTCAATTAGGAGTTAGCCAACACTCTGTTAAAGAGTAGGAGATTCGATGCAATTTAGGAGGAAGATACTCCAAAAGAGATGAATAAGAGTTTGGAAGTGTCAATAAATGCGTGTAGCTATAATTAAGATAGTTTAAAATAGAGATTAGAATAATTTAAATTATTGTCTTCGACTTAGATACATCAACGAATGGGGAACAAGAAGGAAACCATCAAGTACATCAACACGATAACCATTTTTGAGAGTGAGAACAGCATTAGCGATTTCAATTCTGGAATGGAGACTTCCATAAATGTTAGAAATTTGCAGGTACAAACTTCGAGTAAGAATGTGAAAGATTTGTTTGGACTAAATTTGTGTGAAAGTTAAGTCTCCTTGACACAGATTGAAGACATTCCTGAGAATAATAATATTCAATAGCTTCAGAGCAAACAGATTGATGCTGATCTTTTGTAATAGCTTACCTAATTTGAATAATGAAATGATTATATTTTTATAAGTCACTATTTTAATAATATATATTGTTAAGATTAAAATGAAAAGTTCAAGAAAATAACCCCAAAAAATGAAAGCCTTCAATATCCTCCATCTTGAACATGTAGCAAATCGAATTGATCAATTACTCAATCCTACTTAAAGAGAGTAATTTACATAGGTGAGACAAATCAAACCAGGAATCAAATTTGTCATCAACAATAAATTGACTCCCTATAAGCATAGACAATCAGTCTTTGAATAAATTCAATCTTCTCGTTCCAGTATCATTCAAACTCAGGATAGATAAAGAAAGTCAAATAACAGCTCTTCTAAAAGTTCATCTTTTTTGGAAAAAAAAATAAATTAATTAAAAAAAGAACTGGGTGATTTGCAAAAGGCTCGACTATTTGAAAAAAATAAACCCATTCATTCTGTTCACAAGATGGCCCTCTATAACAATCTCTAAGAAATCCAATAGGATCATAAATTATTGATTATAGACAAGAAACCGTAATCAGCTAGAAAAATTGTCGATAAATCAATAGAAGAATTAAACGGGCCTTTTAAAAAGAAACCCTAATAACATATGTTTTTACAGAATTTAGTAATCGAAAACTCCTCAAATCAACTAGAACCATCTGTTATTAGCATTCCCAGTCCAGAAATAAAAGCAAAGATTAAAGTAATTCCTTCGCAATAAAGGAGTGTTAGTTAAGGTTTGATAACCTAATAAAAAAGACCTATAAAGATATGGAACAACGATCTCATTGAATTCAAAGGTTGGGACGTTGAAGAGGAGGATGATTACTTAAGATTAGGATGAATTTTAATATTATTTTTTTAAATAATGTCATACGACACAGCACTCACAGTATTTTCTCCAGATGGTTAATTATTTTAAGTGGAATATGCTATGGAAGCAGTTAAGAGAGGTCTCTGCTGCGTTGGAGTAAGAGGAAAAGATGCTATAATATTGGGAGTAGAAAAGAAAGCAGCATCAAAATTGCAAGATGTTAAAACAATCAAGAAAGTATACCAATTGGGTACTTTAAGCATTTAATATCCGTCTAGATCACAATCTTTGTATGACCTTTTCTGGGTTGAATGCAGATGCAAGAATCTTGGCAAATCAAACTAGATTGTAATGTTAGCAATACAAGATCTATTACGAGGATGATCCTTCTGTTGATTTTATTGCCAAATTTACCAGTCAACAATAGCAAAAGTTCACTTAAAGAGGAGGTGCTAGACCCTATGGAATTTCAACTCTGATTGCAGGATTTAGTAATAATAAACCAAAACTCTTTTAAACTGATCCTTCAGGAGCTTGTTCAGAATGGAAGGCCACCTCATTGGGGAAGAGTGCCAAATAAGTGAAGGACTTCTTAGAGAAACATTGGAGAGAAGGATTGCATGAGAAGGATGCTCTTTTACTTACTACTAAAGTATGTTTATTGATTTGATCAAATAAAATAGGCTCTGATGGATGTGGTTGAGAGTGGCAACAAAAATATCGAATTATGTGTTATTAGAAAGAATGAATGTTGGTTTTTGAATGAAAATGAGGTTGAAGAGTTAACTAAGATAACAGCCTAATTATAATGAATTGATATGATCATGTTATTGAGAACAAAAATTCATCTTTATCTACTTATGTATGTTTCTTCAAATTAATTAAAAAATTAAATTTTCGCTTAATTAATAATTCTAATTTGAGTTGACCATTTTTGATGTTTGTTTTCTAAATCAACAGGTTCGCCAGAATCGATTAAGTTTGATATACATTTTGTCTTGTGCCGAATTCTCAATAATAATCAAATTGTCTCTCAAATTTACTTACATTATCTACTGAATCATATTGCCATAAATTTAATCTAAGAAAATGTTTTTATAATTAGAAAATGATTACAGTTTTCAATAATTTTGAAATTAGAAATATTATAATTAATGAAATAAGAGTCTTGGGATGATTTGCATTTAGCAAATGAAAAATCTATCACAAAAATTCTAGAGCCAGGTGAGCATGTTTTATTTTCAAGTTTGCTCTACAAATTTAATGAAGTCAATAAAAGATAAGAAAGAACGATTCTCATTACAACTCATAATCTATATAATCTATCAAAATTGACGGTAAAGAGAAAAATCCCAATTAGAAGAGTCTATGCCATAACCATTGGTTTGATTGGAACAGAATTTGTAGTGCATGTCCCTGAAGAATATGATTATCGATACTCAAGTTCAGAAAGAAGAGATTATGCCGTACTGAGCATAATCAAAGCTTATTGCTAATAAAACAAAGGAGCTGCACTTCCAATATTCTACAAAGATGAACTCACTCTCACAGCCTACACAACTACAAAAGTTGATAAAAAAAAGGGAATCAATAGGTTACCAACAACTGGATCAGAATTGATGAACGAGGAATAATTCAGAAAGAGATTAGATTCCTAGACTGAAGAACGATTACAAACCAGAGCAAAGACATCGACATTGTATGCAAAATAGAAAGGAGAAGTTGTTACCATAGATGATTTTGACTTAATCAAAGTATTGGGCAGAGGAGCATATGGTAAAGTGATGTTAGTAGAGAAAAAGAGCGACAAGTAATATTATGCTATGAAATCCATTCGCAAAGAAGATGTAGCAGATCCTGAATAATTGGAGCACACTAAGACTGAAAGGATAGTTTTATAACACGTAAATCATCCATTTTTGGTCTCTTTGAATTGGGCATTTTAGACACCTGAAAAACTATTCTTTGTGACTCAATTCATGAAAGGGGGTGAATTGTTTTAACATCTAAAACATGTTAAAAGATTTGAAGAGAATAGAACTAAATTTTATGTCTCTGAAATTGTAAATGCTTATCTTTATTTTTCAATAGATTTTGGCATTAGAACATTTGCACACAAAAAACATTATATATAGAGACTTAAAACCAGAAAATGTCCTATTAGATGATCAAGGTCATGTTTGTTTGACAGATTTTGGAATGTCTAAGATATTAAAAACAAATGAGTTGGCTAAATCATTCTGTGGCACTCCTGAGTACTTGGCTCCTGAAATTCTTCTAGAGACTGGTCATTCAATGGCAGCAGATTGGTGGGCATTGGGCATACTCACCTATGAGATGTTGTATGCACTACCTCCATTTTATAACAAAAATCAAGATCTAATGTTTAAATAGATTTAAACTAAGGATATTAGTTTTCCAACTACCCCTTAGATTTCTAATGAAGCAAAAGATTTTATCCAGAAAGTAATACTACTTCTCTAATTTTAATAGTTAACAATTAAGGATGCAAAGCAAAGATTAGGATACAATAAAACTGAAGATATAAAAAATCATCCCTGGTTTAAGGGAGTGAATTGGGATAAATTGTTAAAGAAGGAGGTCGAAGCTCCTTTTAAACCATAAATATAAGGCGATGCATGGCTTGAAAATTTCGACAAATAGTTTACTGCTGAAGAAGCAATAAACTCTTATGCGCCTGAAAACAATTTAGTCAATTAGGATGAATTCAAAGAGTTTGACTATTATTAAAAATGAAATATATATTAAGTAGAAATTGAATCATTAATTAATTATGAATTAGTGTTATAACAATAGCATGGCAGTCGGTCTCTATTTATGATCCCTTTATAAACAAAGTCTAATAAATGATTGTAGATCTTGATCTAAGTCGTCAGGTATTAGAGGAAGTGAATTATCAGTGATAATATATAAAAGAGCACTCAAAGGATTATCGAAATTGTGTTCATACCATGGTTTTTTTCCTGTGGCCATTTCCAAAACAGTACACCCAAATGACCAAATATCGCTAGCCCTGCAATTCTCATCTTAACTAGCAACCTAAATTGACAATATCACATTACCTCAGGAGCCATGTATGGAATACTCCCTTTGAGAGAATGCAAGATTTCCCCACTCTATTTAGAACGTTAAATTGTTTTCTCTTTGATTTTACTGCATCCAAAATCTCCTAATTTAATTTCGCCGTCAACTCCCAATAACAAATTGGCTCCCTTGATATCTCTGTGAATAATATTATTATCGTGTAAATAGGCTATAGCTTGCAATATTTATCCAGCATATGATTTAATTGTATTTAGTTGAAGTGGCCCAAACTTCTCGATTAATTAGGTCAGAGTGCCTAAAATACTGAATTCAATTACCTTGAGATAAATATTCCAAATATAATAACCAATAATCTTCATTTTCACAATTCCAAACGTAACGGATGATATTTTTATGTTTGATTCTTTTAAGTAATTCAATCTCACTTTTCAATCCTTTCAAATCCTCCTAATCAAAGTCTCCCTTTAGATTTATCTTTTTCACTGCATAAATCTTGCCTGTTCTATTCTCTTGTGCTATGTATACCTATCCAAATGAACCAGCACCAATCATTTCCCCTTCTGTGAAGGTGGGCATTTGAGAGCTGAAATCAAACTAAGAGTTAGAAGAGGAATCTTAGACTTATTTATTGGAATTTGAAGATTCTAATGCGAACTTTTAAGAACTAGAGAATGATTGATTCTTCATGGTTGTAAATCTATTCTCTGTCACTTGTTCTATTTGTTGGGACACTTCTTCCTTTATTATTGTATCATCGTGGAAGTCTATGTAATAGGGAATCAATACCATTAATAGGGAACTCAAGCATTCTGACTGCAGGACTTTAAAATTTATTGAGAATCTATTCTTGCGGTTCCTAATTTGTAGTTTATAATTTAGATTGCCGATTCTAGAGTTTACGAATGATGAGTCCCTATGCTCTCTATTTTTTAGCTGATGGATAGCACTTCTAGTTTTGTGTGTTGTCAGTAACTGGTCTCGTGTCTTCCTTCTTCTCAATAGATTTCTTCTTCACTGTAGATATTGATCTAAATGTCTGGGGAATCTGAGCTGTTTTAATTGGATCAATTTTGATTCTGGGAGAAAGAAGTGGTGGCAAACCTGTATTGTTATATATCTTGGGTTTGCTTTTGGCTAGAACTTATAGATTGTAAATTACTTTACATATCCCCTATCTTAGGGATGGAATTCATTATGTAATATTTAATATATTTTTATATTTTTCAATGAATGCTTCAATAATTTAAAGTGGTTTCTGGGCCGATGAATGTGTATTAATAGAATCCTCCTGCTTCGTTGAAATATTTCTTAAAGATGTCATCCTTCACCAAAAGTGCTTCTTGCTAAGCTTGATAGATCATTTCTAATTACCTCACTCTACTCGATAACAAACCACAATAATAAGGGGTAGAATAGCATTAAAGAATTCCAGAAAATAGATCCAATATGCCACCATTAGCCATAATATCTAGATTACTTTAACAATCTACTTGTATTCCCAATTATCATATGTGGTGATTCCTTCCATTTAATAGGCACTATAGTGAGGATGTCCCATACCCTACCCAGTTTTGGCAACATTGTCTGGGAGATAATATAATTTGAAGTGCACAGGAGGAGCAATCTCTTAGGGTGACCCTGAATTACATAAAATTGAATCCTTACCTACTAAGGCTCTACTGGCTGGATCATGATGGTAATATCGCGATTATTTTGATAAAATTTGAGCATTCCTCAATAATCTCTTCATTTGTTTTATTAAAAGAAAATATTAATAATTTTATATCATCCCATTTCTAAGTAATTTTAATTTAGAAGCAACATAAAAAGTCTAATCTTTGATATTCAACAGACTGTTCCTACTATGTCTATTCAATGCGTATCATTGATTTTCAGTTTTCTGAAAAAATGCTTACTTTTCTTAAACTCTTCCTTCTGTTATAAATTAATCTAATATATATCTCATTTTGATTTACACTAATAGCTTGATGCAGATACTTTTAATTTTTTAAATCGTATATTTACTTGGTAGTTTGAAAATACTTTCTAAATTAAATGTAAGAATGATATCGAATCTTATACTTCATTAATTCAAAAGAACCCACCTAATATTGTTTTATTTTTATATTTCTTAATCTCTTCAAGGATGGGATCTTTATTCATTATTATTCTTGCATTTCATTTTGTATTAATTTAAATTTGTATTCCATTTACTGACATTATTCAAATTCGTTTACTTTTAATTATTAAAAGTTCTAAATAATTAGATACATAAAATCTTAACAAATAAATTTATTAAGGAAGCCTTCTAATCGAGAAATATGTAAGAATAAAAAGTAAATTACAAATAAATCTTAAATAACATTTATTTAGAATCATTTTCTGATAAAACTTTTGATAGTTTGAAATGGTCTTGTATTATTTCTGTATTAGGGTAACAATTATTGACAAATAGTACTATTGAGATCTGATGCTAATGGTGGTTTCTTTGCAGATCTTCTTTCAGGACTTTAAGTATAAACATAATTTTGATGAATTTATATTGGCTTGATCAGAGAGTCTAATGTAATTTTAATAAATGATACCATTTTAATCAATATAAAATGGAGACTTGATTTCAGGGAGCATCCAATTTTGATTTTTGCATCCTTTCTACGGACTAAAATTCTCTTGCTGTAATTTTGATTTTCCTTTTTATTTATTTTAAACAGAGACAGCAACAATTTTATCATTATGTAAGGATAAGTTCTTTGCTCTAGTAATTTTGTAATTAGTATCAAACAAATTGAAATTTTCTGTATCAAACATACTTCTGATGTCTTAATCTTGAGGATCTCTACTTTGAGTTCTTTGAGGACTAATCGAAATCGAATGTTTAACGGTGACTTGAGTTTTTTTGGTTGGACTCTAATTCTAATTCTAATTTTAATTGCCAAACATAGTAATATTTTTATTTGCATAAGGAGTTTCCATTGTTTGTGTGAGTTAGAGGAATTTTAATTTCCTGGCTTTATCAGTCAGCGTAGTTATTTCTATGAATGGCAAACTCTTATATTAAAGAAATCTCTAATTTCTTTCTAAACTTGACGCGAATAGCCTCTCTACATTTTCGAGCTTTGATTAATGGTAAACTATAAGGTTAGAGCAATGTTATCTAATTTAATTTAAGCAATTACTTGTTTAGAAGCATAATGTCATAAAGTTTCCAAAAATCATTATCATAAAATTAAAACAACGTTCGATTTTATTAACTATTCAATTACCATGAAGGCACTGATCTCTTCATCTAAATTTGTGTGTTATCCTCATTTTATTGAGTTGCTTGCATCTCACATCTTTTATGTACTTTATTTAGTATAACAGCAAAATTCTATGCCTTGTAATTGAGAATATCTCGGATGCTCAAGACGTAATTAATGGCACTTTAATTCTTACACTTCTCAATTAACTCTGACACTCTGATCTAGAATCGGTGGAACAGTCTGCTTGTTAACAAAATAATTAAAACTTTTTATCATGATCCTGAAGTTAATAATATTTGTATTTATCAACTAGTTGAGGTATTGTTGTTTATAAATCATTGTCTTTTTGATCAATAAATAGTTAGATTCCTCTAAAGATAACATCCAAATCATCTGGATTAACTTCATTCAATTTATTTATTTCCATTTTATATGAAATAAAAACTTTATAAATGGATCACTCTTGACGACCTACGACAAGGCGATATTTCCATTTATCTTTAATTGTATCAAAACGAACCTAAAAATTATGGAGAGTGGCAAACCATTTAAGGCACAGACATCTTGTCCAAGAATAAGAAGCAAATACAACTATCATACCATTAACCCATTGTAAATGATTCAATTTATTCAATCATCGGAGTAGCATATTATGATGAAAAAGATAACACTTTAAAAATTATAGTAGAACATTTAAATGAATTATTTGACTTTGACATTGAATTGCATCAATATACATATGAATAAATATAAAAATTAGCTAAATAACAATGAATATATGTTATTAAGTACCAATATTATGCTTATAATGCACATAAGATTTTCATTACATATGTTATAATCTTGAGCGATTCTCATTGTCACAAACGAGCTAAATTACTCAATTATATTAAATACACTAATATATAATATTTTTATAAATTACATAAATCATTGATGAATACATATCTGCTGATATCATATCGAATTATGACAAGTGTTTAAAGATATCAAATTAAGTAAAACTAACTCTTATAATATAATCATTTTAAAAAGAAAGAAAATATATTTAACAATCTACAATTATAAATTTTGAATGTAATTTTTATTCATTTCTTACCTTTTTTATCACCCTTTTCATCCTCTGGTTTGGGACCAATACCAAGTAAATTATCTCTGAATTTTTAGTACTCATTTTCAAAGTTTGCTATTTCATCTAAGACTTTTGTCTATTCTGAATAATTATAATTATACATCGCCAGATTGCTTTGTTTCTTTAACAGGTTAAGCCTGGATTTCTTTTTCATTTTGTTATTTTGCTTATTATTCTCGTATTTTAAATCTCTCAGAATAGTAATTTACTCTTTTGACTTCTCTATCCCAAAACGATCTCATTGCTTTGACTTCATTTCCTTAATCTTTACACAAACTTTATGGAAATTCAAGGAGATGCAAAGTACCATCTGAATCACCTATAGCTACAATATGAGCCATATTGTCATTGAATTTTAATGATGTGATTGCACAAGCAACAACTTAGAATTAAATTGTCCATTTATGAGATTAATCCAACATATCCCAAACATCCAAATTACCATCAGTCTTTCCAATGATAATGACACCAGCACGATAAGGAGAGAATCCACCACAAGTAATGTGGGCTCCTTTCATAATGAGACTTTCAAATATTGGGAAGGTGACATTGTGTTTCCAAACACAAAAATTGAAATCATGTAATGTTAGTAGTACATCTTCAAAGAATGGACTTACATCCAGAGCAATAGGTGGTCTCATACTTCGCTATTATTACCAAATAGCTGACACCAATTGATTCTTTTGTCCTTCCTCCCCTTGTTTTTCTCCCCAATCTAAAATAAAGACTTCGCCTTCATCTGATGTGCCTGATAAAGTAGGAGTTTTTTAATCTATTTCAATTGATTTGAGAAATTACTTTTCCTGAATTAAATTTATCCTCCACCCATCACTCCTCCTCCTTCAGGTCTATACAATTAGATTCCATATGTAGCCTTCCAAGGAATGGTTGAAATCTAGTCGATAAATAGAAAATAAAATACATCTTATTATGTCTTTTTACTGTCTTTGTCAATCAATCTAGTGTCCCAGAATAGAATTTAACCATCAGAACTAATACTTGCAAATTGATATGTTTCTTAGGAGGAAGTAAGTATAAGGTGATTGAAATGCTTCTTATCAAATTCCATTCCAATCGGAAACCATTTCACAGCCAAAACAAAATTTTTGTGAGATGCAACTTATTTTCTCAATACTTCATTAGATGACCCAGCTTAATATGATGCTGGGTCTTAAAGAGCTGATACCATTTTAGGTTGCAATTCTTGAATTTCATCTTAAAAATAGTGAGAATTTGATGAATACTTCGTTCTTATTTAGTTTTTTAGGTTTTTTTGGATGCAAAAACAGAGAGTGCAGTGCCACTTAGATCCCACAACATAACTTAACCGTTGATAGTGCCACCAATAATTATATTTGGATCCTTGGGATTGAATTCGAAAGAGAGAATCTCAAGGGGAGACTACAGTAGGAGTACTGGTTCAATTGAATGAATATCTTCGAAATCCCAGAACACTATAAGTGATTTATGAGATTTCAATTGATAGATGGCTCTTTCTTCAAATATAAGGTTTTCAACGAAAGATTCAGCGACAATATACTTGGATTTGATTGCTTAACTAGTGGGTTGGAATTGAATGCATTATATTTTTTTGCCTTTGCAATTTAGATAACTGAAACTTTTGATTTCTTTGATCACATTAGTAAGTTCAGCATTTTAATCTTAAATTAGTTGTGTGAATTTATGGTACCTCCATTTTGTTCTGAAAGAGGCAAGACATTGAAATCGTCTTAATATATGTCAATGGTTTCATTTGATTACAACGCTTCCTCCATCAATGGATAAACTGTCTCTAAGAATTTAAGCAATTTAAAATCTTCGTCTGGCTGTTCTTGTCTTTCATCTCCCTCGTCTACTTGCAAAGCTTTATTTATTTTTCTATTCCAAACAGTCTAAGAACTGGCATCCTGAAAAGGATTGCATCCCTGAATCCCCATTTCAATGACCTTATTTTTGACAAGTTGTAGTGGATCCTTCTCTAGAGCCTTGATTTCTCCTGTTCTCTCAGATGTCTCCTAATCGCTGAATTTGAATGTCAAACTAAATATTTTATAAAGACTTACCCAAACTCCTTTCTCTTTTTAATAAATTACATCCTGATGAGAGGTCTGTCTTTCACTGTGAAAGATTGGATCTCCTAAATTGTGTCTTCTTCATGATCTGTTTTATAGGGTCTGGGTTCAAGCGGCTTCTCTTCCACAAAGTCGTCATCTGAAAGATCTTGTTGGAAGTAGTGAATAGTAATACATACCTTCTGGATCACTTGGGTCATTACTCATTAATAATATGAATATTAAACTAATTAGTGGGATTGCAAAATCATTAATTTTGATTTGCATACTTAGCATTAACTAATATTGAGCATCTCGGGAATCTTATTTCAGATAGTTGTTTTGAAATGGAAAGAACATGAATAAATCATCACTTAGGTGTTGTTGACAGTATCAATAGGAATTATTTTAAAGGATGTTTTTATTAATTTTAAAAATATTTGATTTATTTCGTTAGAATAGAGGCAAAGAGAAATTCGATTGCTTGAAATTGAAATATCGATCAAATGCTCCTATAGAAATATTCAATGACGAAGTAAGAATAAAATAGGTGATAATTAATTTAATTGGAAATTCATTCGAATTCGCAGTAGAAGGGAGTATAACAGTAAGTGTTAGAGATCAAATGATGGAACTTTGGAGATTCAATATCAAATACCGGCTTAAGAATTCAAAAAGAGGATAAAAAGATATTTATCAAGGCATTTGGTAGATTGGAGGATGATGAAAAAAATTAATTCAAATAGATCAGATGTGGATTATGATTATTAATAAGTAATATGATATGTGAGTCTCTTTCAACCAATAAGGCTGGCATAAAAATAGATTTGGAATTTTATTGAGACAGTTCTTTTTCATTCGAAATAGATTTATAAGACTGAATTTGGCACTTCGTTATTTGTGACAACGAGAGTAATAATGAGGAAGACAATCTAGTGGACGATGAAACCTAGCCTCAGACCTAACGTATTAATTCAAATCAAGCATTTAGATAGAGAGAATTATATTTATTGATGATAATCAATCTAATACTGAAGTTTTGATAAGGCTATTTAATAAAAAGGGAATAAATAAAATTGACTATTCAAATTATTGTTAAATGCCTTAAAAGTTTTAGATGAGTGGAATAAGAATCATATATGTTATAGAGTTATTCTCTTACAGATTGAAATGCCTATTATTGATGGTCTCAGCACATCCAAGATGCTTAAATAGTATGTGTATGACACGATGGCTATGATGACCATTCTTATTGCAGTGGGCGGAATATGGATTACAGATGAAACAATAAATTCTAAATTATGGATTTGCAGACGATGATGAATAGCAATTAAAAATCAGAGACATTGAGGAGATCATTACTCGTTATCCACAATGATTTAATTTTTATTAAAATACTAATTAAATTTAAAATTATCGTTAGATGTTTGTTTGTTGTGGAAAAAAGAAGAAGGATCGGAAACATGCTTCATTAGGGAATCTTCATTAGTTAAATTTAATTTGTTAAGATGGACTATACTTCGACAAGAATCTCAAAATAATTACAGAATTCAATAAAACAAATGTATTCAAATTGAATTTAATTGCATCTAGTTTTGTGATACTCTATAAGGAAACTGCAAATATTATTGTCCAATCTGTTTTAAATATTACGACTGTAAAATGCAATCACAATTTTATAGGTATGCTCAATACAACCTGCTGTTCAAATTATGTCTGTCATGTTTGTGCAGTATAATCTCTCGCCAATAAGATGTACAATTGTCATTATTGTCGAAATGATCACTGCAAATATGTAGATGTAGATCCTGCACATTAGTTAAAAATATACATAGATTCACATACTAAATTATGAATTTTATATTAATTAATATATACAAAATGTAAAAAGTAGATTACATCTTTAAGATTGTCCTAATCGGATCCCAGAATGTAGGCAAGTCTTCCCTTATGGCCAGATTCATAGATCAAGTTTTTAATGATAGTTACCTTTCCACAGTGGGAGTTGATTTTAGAATCAAGACCCTTTCCATTCACGATAAGACGTAACTAAGTATCCGCACTTATTAGTATTAAAATGCAGATTTGGGACACGGCTGGATAAGAGCGCTTTTAGGCTTTAACTTAATCTCACTATAAGGGAGCCCATGGTTGTATTGCAGTATATGATGTTACATGTGAAAGGTACAACTACACAATCTAATTATTTGTAGATCATTTGAGGATGCCAAGAAATTCCTTAAATTGGTGATCGAAGAACATGGTTTGATTCCTGAGGCATGCTATTTAATAGCAAATAAAGTTGATTTAGCCAATAAAAGAGTTGTAAGTAAATCAGCATTATGCTAGGTCCTGGCCAAAAATGGCAATGAATTTGCATAAGACTTGGGTGTTAACTATTTGGAAACATCTGCTAAAACAGGAGATAATGTCAATTAATTATTTTTGGATTTGGGCAAAATTATCTTGAATTTGGTGGATTAGAAACGTACTAATGCTCAACCTCCTGAAAATGATACTAGATTAAGAACATTAGATACATAGAAGATAGAATAGGAATAAGGTTGTAAGTGTTGAATTTATTGTGTTAAAAATCAATATAATTTATTAGTTTTTATTATTTTTAAAATAAATAAGTTATATGGGCATGATTATCAAATCAATAGATTTATTCTAAATTTCTCATTCATTCTATCATGATAATTATTGCCAATTTTTATATGAAGATCATGATTAACATTAAATAAATTTAATATACCATAATTAAGTTTTAATTATGATATCGAAAAGCAGAGTATTTCTTACTTTAAGCAGACCTTAAATAGCTTATTCCTTCTCACTAAGTACTAAATTCATTCTATTTAGTCAATAAACTAAAGAGTGAAGTTTTTAAAGGATCTATTTATAGAGCTATAGGTATTTTAGCAGGAATTTAGATTAGTGCAACATTTATTTCGCATTATTTTGTAGATAAATAAGTGATTTTCCCTGTTGAAGATTATCTGAAGAATGACAAAATTAAGGAAAATCAACATTACTCAATTGCTGGCATCATAAAACCAGGAACTATAGAAATCAAAAGAGGCACACTTGATGTGAAATTTATCCTCACTAATTTTGATGATGATATCACTGTTATCTATAGAGGTGAAACTAAATATGAATTCAAAGAGGGAGAAACAATTGTTTTAACAGCATACACGCCTGATTTAAAGATCAAAAACAGAATTATAGGTCTGGATTATTAGACTAAACATTCGATGGATGGATATATGTGGGAAGACAAGGTTGGTGTTAATCGTAATAATTATGGACTTAATTCTAAATTATAATCTTAATTATGACATAATATTCATTTATTTAAGTATTTGTTGCTATTGTCTTCTAATCCTCTTTTTTTTTATTTACTCTTATTATTATTGTTATTATTGGTGTTGTTGTTATTATTGTTTGATTTTAATTCCTCAATTTCCAATTTCAAAGTTTGTATTAATTATTTCTATTATTATCTGATAAATTCGCTTTTCTCGAAATTCTCCTGTAATCTCTATTGTTCTTATTCAATTTAACCATATTTTTCATTTTATTATAAAGCCTTCTTTAATTTTTTGTTTAATTGATCTATTTATTATTGCATTTATTAATTCTTTTGTTTCTCCTTAATTAATTAAGCCCTGTCATCCTCCCATTATTTTCTTAGTTATGACAGTTTAATTTGCAAAGATTAGACATCTTGTTGTTGACTACTAGTCCCTCTCTGTAGTGAAGTCTAAGATTTTTCCTTGCTTTTCGATTTGACTTGACTCATAGACTTTCTCTATGCTTTCGATTGAGACAATTTGTTTTCTGCACTTTCAATGTTCTTTTCTAACTATTAGAATTTGTTCTTCCTCTCCTCGTGAAATGAAGATTTATTGAGAGTTTTAGTTGACTGTTCTTGTTCTGTGAATTTTATCTATTTTTTGTGTGATGATTAAATGTGATTGTATTTATTCTTTAAAGGTGTTTCCTCATCTGAATCCTTAAACTCTTATTATTACACTAATTGATTTGGCTGAATTTGCTTTTCAATATTTTTTTGAATTCTTGCTTCAATAGTGACAATTTTATCTTGGATCTCATTCAAATCTCCATTAGTTGTGCGTTTAGTTTACGAGGTAGGATTATTACTCAAGGCTCTGATACTAGATTGCTGTATTGATTCCTATTCGAAATAAGATGAAGGTTAGGTTTTTTGTAGATAGCTTGGGACATTATTACATTTGAGCATATCCAGCTCTTTGTCTAAGAGAGTGTTAAGAAAACTTAGCTTCTCTTGAGGTATAGGACTTTAATTTATTTACATTTGAAAATTTAAATATATTACAGTTGTCATTTCTTTCTAGACTCAATTAGAATTATTAATAATCGCTTTTTGGTACCAATTCAATGAATGCCTCCATGAATTGATTGAGTAATACATCATCAGATCTCCAACACCAATTAGCACCAATTTACAACTAGCAATCTAACATTAAACTTCTTGATGAAAGAACATCAATTCTACTCAATCTTCTCTGAATTGCCATCTTCCTTGAATAATAACTCCTAGATTTCTCTTAACTATAGAGAGAGATTTTCATTTCTGTTTCAATAGTTAAACCATAAAAGATTTGGTCTCTCAAAAATATGCCTATTTTAGTTTTCTACCATTACTATCCAACCAGACTGTTGTTATAATTAATGATTCGCTGCATCTGAAATATTTCAAATTTTAATCATTTAATTCTTAATTCATATACTTGATATCATTAAAGTCTTTTACCCTTAGGCTTTGCAACAACAACCAATTTTCAAGTCAATCGAGAATGATAAAATAAAGGAATCTTCTTTTTTTTTTTGGAGGATCCTTTTGGATTTGCTTCACATTAAGAGTCGTTTTAGAATTATCCAAAATTAATTGCTGTGTATTTGCAACTATAAGGGTTATAATGAAAACCTCTATTGATTAATATATATATATAATTGTTATTCAATTCAATTTCTCAATTTTTTCTGGTATTATGAAGCTTTAGTCATTCTATTTAAATTTTTTCCACCAATTCAGAAGGTGTGAGTCATTAATCAAGTTAAACCAAGGTGTGAATGATTTCTATATTTTTTAAACAAACACTTACTTTGTTATGTTTTGAAAATTAGTCAAACTCATCTAAGGATACCCATTTGCAATCTTAAATTTCCTGTGGATTTCCATTAATCCTTGGCTAGTCTTATTGAATTTTCGCAAAATAAATATAATCCACTTGAAATAAATATTAGTAATACATTCATATTCTCCAAATTCTTCATTATCTTTAGCAGAATATATAATTTTTTAGACCAACTCAATAGGTGTGTCCTTGAGATCAAAATTTAATTCTTCTTGAGTTCTTTTTCTCACGTAAAAATCACTGCGTCGGTATTTCGTGACATTATCGTCCTCGTTTTCGTGATACAATTAGTGGCTACAACAGGTATTAGCCCACAATAAGGGAAATGTCTTTTTGGCATTACTACGTTGTTGTAGGAGTAATTTGTAATTTTAATCAAACAAAAATAAACTAAAGGCTCGATGAGGGTAGGATTGTTGATTAAAAATGTAATTCGTTGAATGAGCCAGCCATTTATCCATAGGTTCTTAAAAAACATTAAAGATTAATATATACTTTAGAGTTTGTCATTAAAGTCGACCAAAATCAATTGCTGACTTTATTGCACAGAATACTTATAAAGATTAAGAATTCTTTTCATTAATTTTTAAATGAGCGAACTTTAATTAATTCGTCCGCTCTATCAATAAGGTTCTGTTATGAAAGAATTAACGATAGCTTCCCTACAAACTGCAATGAGTTTTCTATTAGAATATTTGCCAATTACCATAACAATTTATTTGCTAGAATTCAAGGAAGACTCTTTATTGGTAGGAGCCTTGGGACTAGGCATTCTTACAACACAAGCATTCGGAATGGGAATATTAAATGGTTTAGCCACGGGATTGGAAACCCTAGTATCACAAGCTTACGGGGCAAATCATTACGAATTATGTGCAAAGTTGTATTATAGATCGTTGTTTTTGTGCACATTGTTTATGATTCCTATTTCACTATTCTTGATCTTCTCAACCTAAATAATATCCTTTATCAATAAGTACAAGTGCTGGTTTACTTTAGCAATACAGAATTAGCAGAAGAAACAGGACATTTCAATAGATATATGATATTAGCAGTTTACTTGAACGCTATCTTCGTGAACACCAAAGTATTTCTAAATGGTTAGAACATTTATAAATATCAATTCTATACTCAGTTTGTCACATGCATCCTTTTTGTTGGCATCAGTTACTTTTTGGTTGTGAAACAGGAGTTGAAAATAGTAGGTTGTGCATTAAGTCTAACTAGTTTGGATCTATTGAATAACATAATCCTATTTTCTTTAATTTTCATAACCAAATGTAGTAAAGCTACTTTATTTAAATTTAAACTAAGCTACTTAAAAAATACAATGAGATTTTTAAAGTAAGCTATATCTATAGGTTCTATCTAATGGTTGGAATGGATAAGCTTTGATTTTTATGTAATTTTGATTAGTTACCTAAACACTTCAACTGTGAGCGCTCACGTGTTGATGTCTAATTTCGCAGGCCTATTGTACCAATTCAGTTATGGCATTTCAATAGCATCAGGTACATTTGTGGGTAATGAAATGGGAAGAAAGAAAGTAGATATGGCTAAGAAATACACCAAAGCTACTTTCTTAATAGATGGAATCTTTCTATTAATTACCTTAGGATTGTTTTCTATCTTTGGAAAGTCTATAATTAAACTTTTGAGCGAAGACAAAATAGTTATTGAAGAAATCTCAAATTCCATGTATCTTTTAGTGGCATTTATTATGTTTGATGGTAATATTATTTGAATAAAATCAAAGGTTTTTAAGCCATTATCTCAGGATTAGTAAGAGCCATTGGAAGAGAAGCTAGTACTTCGATCACATTTATACTTTGCTATATAGTATTGGGAGGAATAATTGGATATTTTCTTTGTTACACAGTTGACATTGGACTTAAGGGAGTGTGGATCGGCATTGTGATTGGAGCATTGGTTTATGATATCATACAATTTCTTAATTTAATTTGGAAGGATTGGGAGATTTAAGCTGAGATTATTATTGATAAAATAATGATCTTGCATTAATAATAGAATGTTGTACTTTAAATTGATGAAATGTGATAAATATATTAAATGTTTTAAATTTGAATCAATTCTCATTAAATTAAACATTTTATTTCATAATTTTGATCTTTTGTTGAGTCTATTTCAAAATATAACTGAGTAGTTCTTGTTTAATAAAGAATTCCAATTTCAACTAGAGATATAGTTTTAATTAATACTGAAAAACCTTGCATTTAAATTTAAGACCTGATAAAGATCTTATAATTATTAATATTTTGAAGGGATGAGTATTAATGTATATAAGTAGTATTGGCAGTTAATATTGAAGAGATATCAAGCCTTTTTTGGTCAAAATCCTAATTAAAATATATTAAAAAAAATAAGTTTTTATTCAATGCTCTTTATTTTTCTTTAACTTTTCATTTTAACAAATTCTGAACTGATACAAATTTTAACTAGATAAGAAGCAGTTTTGGATGTTTTCAGTTAATCAGGCATAATTCTTGAATAATAACTCACAGAATAGCAATTATGCAAAATTATACCTTAACAATTAGTAGCAAATAATATTGATGATAACTCCATAACACTTATTAATAGTTATAACGATGATAATTTTAGTGAGGATTTTGAATATGGATCTTACAAGGGGAAAATAGGAAAAATTCTTAAATTTGTCTAAATAAAACGTGGGATACTTGTGTTGAGGGATGATGGAGAATTATATTTTTTGAGAATTCAAGACACAAAATTCAAATAACAAGCCACTTTTAAGTTAAGTATTGACCAATTATCACTTTAAACAAATGTGTTTATTGAATATTTTTATGATTAAAATTCAGTCTTGATTATAGGTGATGGGGAAACTATTGCATTAGATTTAGAGTTCGATGATGACGATCTCTTTATTAAATAATACAAAATTTATGAGTAGTGGCAAATCTCACACATTAATAGCATTGCAACAGCTGGTAATCTCATTATAGTAGCTATGAACAATGGCATAAAGATGTTTGAATTTGCTAATCATCAATTGAGCGAAATATTTCTAGATTCCTAGATGGGTGGCAGAATCTAAGATATCAAGGTATTCAATTAAAATAAAGATGATAATTATTTCATCTATTTGTTGGATGAACAATATGGTGTTAGCTAATACATTTATAATGTAGGTAGAAGTGCAATTTTGCAATTTAATGCTCATATGGGATAAATACCGTACCCTGGAGAAATTTTAGATGTTTATGGAGACATTCTAATGATCGTAAAAAATTAGACCTTATTTGAATTTCGCATAGATTATAGTAAAAATAGTTATGAGTTGATCAAGTAACACGACTTAGAAACAGACATAATTGACATCTAATTAACTGATACTTTTGCTATAATAATAGGTAGAAATGGACATCAGATCTTGTTTCACTCAATTCCTTCCACTTTTTCTTAATTTGAGTGGATGAACCAATTAGTGATACCAAATCTGAAACAATTAGATATCTTATCATTGAATTTAGATCTTAAATCACATAAAAACAATAATAAAACTACTCATAACATTATTGTTGGAATTACTTAACATAAGTTTTTCTTTTCTAAAATTGAGTTGGTATTAAATTTTGATGTATTATTAGTAATAATCGTATATAGAATGCTATTCTGATTCTACAACATAAGAATTTGAATTAACGTACTAACAAAGGTCTACATATTGCAAATCAAATCTGAAAAACAAAGTCTGCAAATTGAACAAGACATATACAATATAGTTTGTAGAACCAAAAGCATTCGGAGGTGGCAAAGATACCTATTTACTCATAATACTACTCTACGTCATTTCTATTGCATCTTTTCTAGTCTTAATGGGAACCCTTATCATCTTATATAAAAGATATCATCGAATTCCTTAAAGATAGAAGTTGGAAGAGAAGGAGGAGAAGGAAGAATAAACCTACTCAAGCACTACTAGACATATCAAAATGGCTTCTTCAAAAAAAATTATCTATTTGCCAAAAGTAGATCAAACTCCAATTTGTGGTGTATAAGAATAAATTAATTTCTAACTCAATGGAAATAACAATAATCGACCAATTACATAAGATAATTAGGACTTATCTCCTATGGCTTCTGAAATGAGATGATTATAAAATAAATTTCTTAAATTATAAGATAGTTTTTAGAATACCCTCAACACCAAATTCATCAAATAATGATCTATATTTCAGTCATTATTTTGTTAATTACCTTTACAATTTTTTGGTAATGGTAAAAATAAGGATTAATAAGTTTGCATTTTTATTGTACTTATATAATATATATCAATCTGTATGTTAGGATCCCTTTGTAGCACCAACACCTGGTTTTCCATGTCTTGTTGGTTTATAGGTTAGAGAGAATTCACCCAAATATCTATAAATATAGTTTTGCATTCGTTTATACCTGCCGATCATATCAAACTTAATTTCAACATTGCTAAATTATCTGCCATTATATACTCCAACGATTGATCCAACCATCTCTGGAACTACAATGGTATTTCTTTAATGAGTCTTGACCGGTTTGGGTTTTTCTCCTGGTAATGTTTCTTTCTTTGATTTACGAATCTAGAATTATGTGGATAAAGCTTGCTTACTTTCTTCATTAAATTTTAGAAGGCGTGCACTTTTTCACCTTAATTAGAAATTCTTCTTCTTTATCTTGCTCTGAATTATTCAACCAACTTATCCATTGGCAATTTGACAAGCTCTTCGAGTTATAATCCTCTGTAGGTGAACTTCTTAACACCTTTGAATTGTTTGTCCTATGTTTATTCAGCCATTATTTGAAAAATGAAAATAAAGATTTTAATATAATCGAAAAATAAATAAATATATATAAAATGCTAACTTAAGTCATTTTATATACAATTATGTTATAATACGAAATAATAGTAACTGCTGTCTAGTGCGATTGAAAATTAAACTATATTCAGGTCAATTATTAAGTAACTTCATTCATCTCAATATGGAATTAAATATAAATTGATAACTTGTTTGATTAATTCAAGTCAACAATATGAAAAGTCTGATAAGGCATTAATGTACATAATAAAATACTGAACTTTATTTTTCATTATTTAATGATTTAGTTTATGACAAATCATTATTATAATAATAATATCTATGTTAGTATCTCCATATAGGCGATTAGTGAAGAAGGACACCAAATCTATGAGACCTTCAATGTTTTTGAACGAATTTGACATATCTTCATTGTCATAATTAATGACAGTGAAAAAGGATGTCAATGAAGGTTCAACCAAAAGCATTGAGACTTTTGGCTCATTGACTTAAGTGAATGAGATATCAGAAAATGGAAGCACCACATTTTTACCTGTAATAGAAGAGAGATCTAAAATTCGATTCATAAAACCAAAACAATCTGCTACCTAAAGAGAAGTGTTGATAACTAAATCTGATTCTATTTCACCCCTAACGAAGTCAGAGGTCCATCTACCCTAAATCAATTCTATACCAACTTCTCCAACTAAGTTTTAAAAACCCAACCACAAAAGACATTTAACAAATTTTGAAGAATAACCTAAAAGAGTGGAATTTAGGAAATCCATTTAAGTGATCGATTTCATCAATAACATTATCACCAAAGATGTCATAGACGGGAGTGTTAAACCATTAAAGAAGAAATTGTAGAGACAACAAACCAAATTTATAAGGAGAGAATGAGAGCCACAAATCAACCTGATAATTTTTTGAATCTAATCTATATTAATCTACATTGTACAAATCTAATTATATATATTTACATCAGTGAATCAATTTAATTACTGCTACTCAACAGATATTTTAAATAAACCACATATATATTATTTTAATTGAAAAATATTGTTAGTACTATGTTCATTATTAATTGAGATTGACGATTGAATAATAAAATTTATCATTTTATTTTTAATTAAGTGATATTCAATTACAATGGGTGTTTTATTGAGTCATGAATGAAAATTAATTTGAAATAACAATTACTATTATATTTTCTGTTATATTTACCCTAATTATTCCTAATATTATTTACATTAATTAAGATGTCTGCCTAAATCTAAGTATGTTTAGACACGTTAGCTTTTGATTAAATCGAAGAAATAGTGTCAATCAACGGATAACCTTCAGTTTAACTAATTGTATATACACCCTTTAGTTAATATTGTTTCAAAAGTAAAGAATAAAAGTATGGTAGGTTAAAAGCCAATAAAGGAATTCTACGACTACGTATAACACATGCATAAACATGGGTTTATGTTGTTGAGCTTGGATAAGGCTTAAATTGATTTGCTCCAAACTGTGAAGGATAAATAAAAAACCATCATTGCAATAAATAAATTAATAAGTGAACTATTGTACAGAAGAGATCTGAATACAAAACAGAAAGTAAATGATTATTTTATTTAGAGACCATCAATTTATTGGGATTGAATTCAAAGTGTGAAGTTTACTCCTAAATTAAGGCCTTGGTAAAAAATTAATTTATTCAAGATTAGATTCCCAACATTGTCATGGGTTTCAAACTCACCGAATCTAATCTTACTGTATCGTAATTGATGATCATCAATTAATTCTTGATTGTAACTTTAGAGAATTAGAGTTAATTATAAAAGTTTGGCAAAATCTGGAATTTAATTGAACCTGAAATAATGGGACAGATGATGGTATTTTTAATTGGAGATATTACTCCTTTTCAAAAGATATTTGATAAATATTATAGCATCAAATTATTTTGTGTGGAAAATAGTAATTGAAAATTTATAATTTTAGTTCATAATAAGCTGATTGTAGGCACCTGTCAAGGATCTTTGATTTTATACTAAATAACCGAAAATTCCATTTAAGAATAAGCAATGATTTAGGTTCTAACTTCACCAATATACAGAATCCATCATTTTAATTAAGAAATTTATCTTGTAACAGATAGTCAAGTTAAAATTTTGGATAAAGAGAATTTTTAATTAATTGGAGGTGGAAGTCTGAAAAATAGATTGTAAACAGCGTGGATTACATGTTTAAACTTCGAGGAGAAAGACAAGCTATTATTTTTAGGTACCAATAATGTAATTGTAGGGACTTCACAGGGTTTCATACTGGTTTACAAAAGGACCGAAAAGTTAGAGTTTTTAAATTAAATAAATTTTAATGTGAATACTTCAATTAATTCAATTCAATTAATCGATAATTATCTTTATCCATGTACTGAAAATGGAGTTGCAATTATACAAATGAAATATAAAGACAATAAATTCTAATATCAAGAGAAAACAGCATTTGTAAGTTAGTTGAAGTTGGTTGGATTCAAAAAAACATAGTCATCAGTTTTTGGATTCACTTAATGTGGTTTAATCGTTTAATGGAACCCAGAAACCGGCTAAATGAATTAAGCTTATAAAATAGATAAAGAGTGTTCATTTGGATTGGAGTAAAATAATTAAATATTTATTGTGACAAATGAATAAATGATTCATATAGTTAATTTTTAATGAATTCCAAATTAAATGAAACCTTAATCCATATTTTATGAAAATTATAATTTTTATTTGTTTGTTAATTTAACGATGTCGAAATGGCTAGATTTGAGTCTGACATACAACTAGATCAATTTTAAGTGTTAACAACCAAAATCACGTATATTTTGTTCTAATAGAATATAAAAGGCAGTCCCATGAACAGTGTTTTTGAGATAGAAGGAAAGAAATTATATTTGGGAAATATTAATGCAGCAAACGATTCTTAATATCTAAAGCATCATAATGTTGGAGCAGTATTATCTATAATTGACACAAGTGATATTAAACTCGACAGATCAATCATTCATCTAGTACAAAAATTAATATTTCAATAGTGGATTGCAGCTGAGNTCGTAATTGATGATCATCAATTAATTCTTGATTGTAACTTTAGAGAATTAGAGTTAATTATAAAAGTTTGGCAAAATCTGGAATTTAATTGAACCTGAAATAATGGGACAGATGATGGTATTTTTAATTGGAGATATTACTCCTTTTCAAAAGATATTTGATAAATATTATAGCATCAAATTATTTTGTGTGGAAAATAGTAATTGAAAATTTATAATTTTAGTTCATAATAAGCTGATTGTAGGCACCTGTCAAGGATCTTTGATTTTATACTAAATAACCGAAAATTCCATTTAAGAATAAGCAATGATTTAGGTTCTAACTTCACCAATATACAGAATCCATCATTTTAATTAAGAAATTTATCTTGTAACAGATAGTCAAGTTAAAATTTTGGATAAAGAGAATTTTTAATTAATTGGAGGTGGAAGTCTGAAAAATAGATTGTAAACAGCGTGGATTACATGTTTAAACTTCGAGGAGAAAGACAAGCTATTATTTTTAGGTACCAATAATGTAATTGTAGGGACTTCACAGGGTTTCATACTGGTTTACAAAAGGACCGAAAAGTTAGAGTTTTTAAATTAAATAAATTTTAATGTGAATACTTCAATTAATTCAATTCAATTAATCGATAATTATCTTTATCCATGTACTGAAAATGGAGTTGCAATTATACAAATGAAATATAAAGACAATAAATTCTAATATCAAGAGAAAACAGCATTTGTAAGTTAGTTGAAGTTGGTTGGATTCAAAAAAACATAGTCATCAGTTTTTGGATTCACTTAATGTGGTTTAATCGTTTAATGGAACCCAGAAACCGGCTAAATGAATTAAGCTTATAAAATAGATAAAGAGTGTTCATTTGGATTGGAGTAAAATAATTAAATATTTATTGTGACAAATGAATAAATGATTCATATAGTTAATTTTTAATGAATTCCAAATTAAATGAAACCTTAATCCATATTTTATGAAAATTATAATTTTTATTTGTTTGTTAATTTAACGATGTCGAAATGGCTAGATTTGAGTCTGACATACAACTAGATCAATTTTAAGTGTTAACAACCAAAATCACGTATATTTTGTTCTAATAGAATATAAAAGGCAGTCCCATGAACAGTGTTTTTGAGATAGAAGGAAAGAAATTATATTTGGGAAATATTAATGCAGCAAACGATTCTTAATATCTAAAGCATCATAATGTTGGAGCAGTATTATCTATAATTGACACAAGTGATATTAAACTCGACAGATCAATCATTCATCTAGTACAAAAATTAATATTTCAATAGTGGATTGCAGCTGAGGACAGAGAAGATGTTTAAATAACTAGGTATTTTGAATAGGCTGCCAACTTTATTAAAGATCACTTATAACATACTAACGTTCTAGTTCATTGTTATGCTGGAATATCTAGGTCTAGTTCTTTGATAATTGCCTATTTGATAAGACATGCAGGATTTTCATTACAAGATGCTATTATTAAACTTAAAAGTTAAAGACCTCAAGTAGATCCTAATGATGGATTTATGGAATAACTTAAATAGTTTGAAGTGAAAGTAAGAAACTAAAAATAATGTAAAAGTGAAAATGGTGCTAAAAATGTTAGTAAATTCTTAAATATAAGCACCAGTATTGAAAAAAGTTCTATTAATTGTCAATAGAGCAACAAAAGCATATAGAATTATAACATCTATAGCAGACTGAACTCGATAACTAATATTAAAGAAAAACAATAACATGTCTAAAATCTGACAATCCAGAAATCAAAGACTTCGTTTTTAGATAAAACTTGTAGTCCAACTAATTTAAGTACAACTAATAAAAATGGGAAATCATTCATTTTGAACAACCTTCATGAAGATCCCTTAAAATAATATTAGAAAATCAAAAACTCTTAAAACCTATTAAATTAATAGATACTGGGAATGAAAAACATTTATAGCCAGCATGGAAGATTTCACTCTATGAACAATTGAAACTTCCTTTCATTTTTATTTATTGTTATTAAAGAAAAATTACAAAATTTAATCACATGTGTATCTTTCTCAACTCAACAAACACAGATTAATCCTACACAGTTAAGTATTGATATTTTTCATTTTTTTTTTATAATAAAAATAATTAGTTATTGCTTATTTACATAGCTTCCACAGGACCATATTTTCCATAATCTAAAAATTCATTCAATACGAATTCAACATAAGTATAATCTTTTCTGGAATCTATTAGATGAGCTTACGTATCAATATTCATTACAATAACCTTTGTATTATGCTCTTTATCAAGGTACCCCCCAACGATGAAAATCTATGTTGGATTTACCTACTAAGCAAAGCTAAAGTTAGGCAAAATAAAGTGAGGTTTCTTAAAATTAATTAATTGCCATTCATTATTCTTAAATTCTTCAACACAATTAAGAGGTTTATTATTAATTTCAATTCCTCCAAATTTGAAAATACTTGAATTATTATAGCAAACTAAGGTGCAACCTATACCTGGCTTCTGACAATCACTTAATTTCTACCACTTCTAAGTTTGTATATTATAGCAAAATGTGTTGGCTGTCAATAGCTAATCACTATAACCAGAACAAATATACAACAGCTAATTATTTTCTCTAATATATAATAATTTATCTACATATTACATATCCGAAGCCCCATCTATTAGTGTTGCATGAAGGGATTGATGTTACTTCTTTCAGAGCTGGTACTTCATCGTTTAATTCATAAACAAAATGAGTATTCATACCTCCAATCACAAATACTCTAAATTACTCAAATATTATAGTCACCGCCTATTCTGAAATCTATTATGATTAAAATAGGTCTAGTAACTCCAGGAAGTAATTTTTCATATTAAATAAGTTGGATTAAATAATATTTCTGCTCCAAGGAATTCCATATGCAATAGATCGAGGCTCTGGCACATTCAAGATAGAATATTATTTCCGATAGTACTCAAAAGTCTCAGAAAATGTAATTTTTAAGTTGTCCTTAATCTACTTTTAGGGTTCTTGAATGGACAATATTTAGCATAACTCTTATAATTTAATTCTTTTATGTGGATCCTATTCTACCATACTTTCTAAATATGATTTGTAAGTGTCTCCGTATTTCATTTAAATTTCTTTGATACTTAATTTAATATCCTCATATTTCCTCAATTGATCTATGTGTTTTAATAGAAAGAGTTATATAAATATTAGTCCTAGAGAATAGACGGCTTGGGAATAGATATGATTAATATTTTTAACATCCTTAACTAATTCAGGCGCTTGATAAAGTAAGCTTTCCTTTCTGGCTTTTTCTAAAGCATGTTGAGTTAATAATATTGGTATGCAATTAAATTTCATACATGAATCTGAACAAATCAAAATGCATGACATTGTAACAGGATTAAATGCTATAATTTATTGTTATTGTAAATAGTTAATTGACAAAATAATTGCTCTAAAGAACACAACGATGTCCTCTTTTAGTAATTAAATTTTTTTGGACTAAATTATCTATATTAGATTACTTGGATATTCTCTAGGTATTGATTTAAATTCTACGAATAGGTGTCAAACACTAAGATGAATTTGTAAAGTTTGTTTAAATTTTAATCAATCAACATATCATATGTCTGTTAATAAATAATAAGTACCCATTTGTCTATGCATAATAATCCATCAGCATTAATTATTTCATATTTGTGAATTTCATCTATGTACTTTAAGTGTTCCTTTTCATTTGAGATCAACCTCTCTAAAAGAAACATTTTGTTATTTTTCTTTCGATTGTAAACTTTGATGATTTTCATGTTAACATCTTCATCAATAAGTTCTTCCTATTCTAATCCATCCAATACTCGATCAAACGGAGTAAATTTCGAAATTTTTCTCTTTATCATACTGAAAATTAAAAAAAAAATGAGAATAATTATAATTGCATCATATTATGTAATATAAATTGTTGTCCCTTCTTCTGATATCGACAATTGTATTGTATATGAACCAGCCCTCCTAGCCATCATTTTAAAGGGGTTTCTCAAAGGATTTCAAAGCCTTTCTTGATTAAAATTATAAGCTGTGGGGCTTCCATAGACCTGACATCATTTCTGGATGCTATGGGTAATTGAAACATATATTCTTTAGCGGAGCAGAAACTAGACCTACTCAAAAGCCGTCCAGAATACCCATAATATTTATTCATGGAAATAGCGATGTGGCTGTAGGAGATGGAAGCTATGGCATTTATATGACAGGATTTAGTTCATAGATTGAATATTTTTTGAGCCAAGGATACGAGAAATAAGATCTATATGCTACTACTTGGGGAGATGCTGATTCTAACACGGCAAGCCTCAATTATCATTCAGAGAACTACCTTAAATACAATAGAGCATTTGTTGAGGCTGTTTTAGAATATACAAAATCTCCTTACGTCAACATAATTTCACATTCAATGGGTGTGACTTTGGCAAGAAAAGTAATCAAAGGAGGGAATGCCCATGATGAATTGGGTAGTGGAAGATATGATCTAGGGGATCCTCTTACTTCCAATGTCAAAGTATTTGTAGGCTTAGCAGGAGCAAATTAAGGATTAAGTTCTTGTTATACTTCTGGTTCCACACTCCCTACTTGTGGCATGACTAATGGATTCTACCCCGGATAACCACCTTACGTAGGAAGATCCAACTTCTTAGAAGAATTGGATTCCAATTCAGCTAAGGAAGGAAAATACATTGTAACCGGAAGAGCCAACTATGATGAAATTATTGGAGGAAATAACTTAGTTTGGGGAAAGTATACAACCAGAATTAAAAATGAAAACGAAGAGATCGTATTTAGTAGTGCCACTGTGGGTCACTTTGGATTGAGAGATGAGGCTGGACCTTAAATTTATACAATTCTAAAAAAATAAGGAGCTATAAATTAATGAATTCCAACAATATTTTCATTTAATATTCAATTAATAATTCTTTGATTCTTAAAATGATTTTACATTATGGTAAAATAAATTCGTTCTTTTAAAACTCCAATTTGCTCAAGCTTCCAAACAAATAACCCAAGGAATTCTATTAAGTAGTAATGAGAGTCTAATGAATGTTTTGATGTGACTATTGATCATTCTCCAAACATATTCATAAAAATCTTTAATAGTTATAATTTGGCGAAATGCTAAATAATTTCTAGACTATGATTGTGAATGGTATAGTATATATTTGATAGATATAATAAATTAGATAATCATAATTAAGAAATAGGATCCATCTTTTCGAATTTAGAGATTAGATATCTATTCCATATGTGCAATTTATCTGTTAGTAAAATAAAATCACATTATTATCGTGCCTTCTACTTCGAATTATCTTATTTTGTATATTTTTTTAGTGGAGCTAGCTTGTTTTACCATATTTCTTTTTATTAAAATACAATATTTGCATCAGTTGATTTTGGGGAAATGTCTCCTCTACTTTTTAGCTAGTTAATTGGTGACTATGTTATTTTCTTCATCAACAAACTTTTGAATTTTATTTATTTATTATTATATTCTTAAAAAAAGCACCGATTTGTTTTTAGAAGATACAATTTATAGATTATTACTTAATCAAAACTTTTTTAATATAATTGTATAAAATTATCTTTATAATCAATTAAATATCAAACATATAAATTTACCAGTACTTATCTAAGAGGCATAATAAGGGCAATCGTAACATTGAAGTTAGATGATTGGGATTTTTCTATTTGAATTTATGAATATAGATAGGCAATTTAGTATCTGTATTAAATAATTTTTTTCACTGATAGCAATATTAGATAAATCTTAGTGAACTATTATGCTAATTTAAGGTTGGATTCAAATTAACTATTGTTTATTTAAACAAAATTGATGTTAACAGAATTTATAAAAATCCATATTCTGCAATAAATGTCAATATTCAATATTGTCGTTTCTTGCATTTACATTTGATTAATTATCTTGAGATAATAGGTGGGTTTTAAAAATGCTAGAAATTCTCTATCTATTTTTTTCTTGTTCCTCGAAATCCACAATCTTCCTGATTTACTGATCTTAAATATTTTCCATTATTTGATATTATTTAAAATTCTATGCCTATTTTCATATTCTCTTAAGCAATCAAAAATTTCAAATTTCTTCATTAAATCATCGTTAGGCATTCAAAGAAACTTGTGCAAATTCATTTTTTATTTCATATTAAACAGCCTTGCAAATTTAGCAATGATTTTAATTCAGAGAAGAACTGTAGTAGTATTAATTAGATATATATCTGAAAAATTATATCCATTTTTCTGTTAAGATATAATCTTTACTTTTGAGTCTTTAAAATTAATTCCTAATAATAAATTAAATTAAAATGTTTATAAAATTATATTAACAACAACAGATTGACTCTTTACCAACGACTTCATTTAATCCTTCATTTTCGTTATTTTAAGTTAATATATTCAAATTAAGGTCATATATTAGTTTGAGGTTGGTTAATAAATAAATTAGTTCTTTATAACAAGATTAATCACCTTTTAATCTATTGTTTTATAAACACAATTAAATATCTTCCTATATTTAATATTCTGTTTTAAAAAGGATCATCCTTTAATTTATATAAGTATTTTCAATGTTATAAAGGAAATCATTTTTTGCTTAAATTAAATTTTTATTAATCGTTTTTATTATTAGTAATAATGATCATAGTATCCTTAAAAGGAATGAAACTTATTGCAATTAAGTCCATTTAAATTAGCAAGCAAGAAATCTTAATAGATTTTTATAGCAATTACATTTATCATATTGTGCCTCGAGAAAATCATATTTATTGCATCATTAAATTAAAATTATTATTTATATTTGAATATTAGATTGGATTTGTACTTAATATCGAAGGGATGTGTATAGAAATGATGATCTTTTTATTTAAAGAAGAGTTGTGTCCTTATCATCCATATAATTTATGAACCAAAAATTTCAAATATTTATAATATCACATTTTTTGAATCATCATGGATTATTTATTTATATTTTCAATATTTGTTTTTGAACATAACAATTGATGAGTTCAAAATCATAACTAAATGTACATTTGGAAGCTTTACATATTTTATAAATTGTAAAATAATCCTTGAGGCTTATTCTCTCAAAATAATTACAAGATAACAAATTATTTGTGAAATAAAATTTTCAGGAAATAGAATTGAGGGTTAATCATCAAAATAATGATAAATTGTGGCAAATGGATGTGTGTATTTTGAATGAATAATGTTATTGTTATAAAAAACCTAAAGATCATCATTAGGATTGTGGCTAATTCATGGATTAATTAGAATATCATAATAAATATAATTATAATTAGTGTTCTAAAATTGAATGACTTCAATATGGAAGAAAAGATATTTTAAGATTTTAGAATAATACTTGATCTCCAACATTAAGAAAAGTGAGAGGATTGTGATTGAATTATTAAAATATTATATATCAGTTAATGATTGGCACTCAGAAGTTAGATGAAGAAATGAAAATAGAAGTTTAGGAGGTTTAGTTATACAATCCTAAAATTCATATAGCAATAATTATTATAAGAGATCAAAGAGTTAATTCTAGGATTTATACATAAAGAGGGATTTCTATTAGCTTTTTGGATTAACAGATAGAGATTGAAACAATAAATTCAAGTATTTATTGGTAAGATTGATTCAGAAGAATTGTCTAAATATTATTAGCCAATGCTTTTAGTGCTAACTATATATATTTAAATATAAACAGTTTATATTATCAATATTCATAGAGTCTTAATGATTGATTTCATATGATCATACCATTTCCATGAGATACTTGATCTGAGTGTTAAAATTTGTGATGCAAATAATTATTCCATGTAATCAGTTCGTCGGTGAACATCTGAATGCTTCTTTTTCTTTTTTGTGTTTTGTTTTTAGAAATTTCATGTGCTATGCTATGATTGGAGAACCTTTTTAGTGGGGGGTTAAATTTTTAATCATCTTCATTAATAGGGCTTGTGTCCCCATTTAAAATGAGTTTAGTAATTGGATGATATTCAATACTCTACATAATAGTGCTATTTTAGTAAAAATGAATTTCGATATTAATTTAAATTACTGTTGCTTGAGTAAGGCATGTTTGATTAAAAATGTTAAAGATTTAAACCAAAATTATGATATTTTTAATTTAAAATTAATACGCACCATCCAAATTTTTAGAATAAAGTGAAGTTAATTAAACAAATTAAATAAATCAAAATATCAAAATAATTTTGAAAAGAATTTATGTTCTAGAATTTATTTGCAATTAATTCTATGATGATGATCTATTGAAAACATCAAATAAAGTAGATCAAGGAGATCTTGATCTTCAATGATTTGATGCAATTATTTTTAAGCCTAGACTTTAGGTAAGAAATTAAATCTGGATTTAAATTTGGAACTTTGTTTCATGTACGAGGGGATTGGTCCAAAGATTGATTATATAATAGCCAAATGCATTAAGTCGTTATTGCCTACTTTAATAAAAACTCTTCCTATATTGAGGTTTGTTTTTTGTATATACCAGTATATAATTCTACTATGAGGCAAGCTAGACTCCAAATGTCACTTGAGGTGTCCCAGGTGTCGCATCGCATAATGACTTCAGGTGCTCTGTATTACCTAGTATTGATGACGGTACTGTGATGTTCATTGGCTTGAGTGGCACCTCCCATGTCTATTAGTTTAACTAAATGTCTTAGTCATTTAATTGATCTGGGTACTTTTGTTGATTGGCAAAGACAACGTTTTCAGGCTTGAGATCGGTGTGTGTGATTCCGAGGGAATGCATAAACATTAGTGAGGTAGTAACTTATTTAAAGATTGATTGGATTTCCTTAATGTTGAGTGTATGTGATTGGATGTAATCATGGAGATTGATGTCAAGCTGTTTAAATTGTTGAATATGCTACCCTTTCAAGTAAAATACAATGATAGTCCTACCAAGTGAAGTAATCATAGAATTTGACGATACCCGCCTCACCGAAGGGGTCAAGTAACTAGATTTTTCTTAAGACATCCACTTCTGTATGATCAGTTTCGCTCAAGATCTGAATATTAATCTAATAACTTTCACAGCATATGGTATTTCCTGTTGGTCAATTACTTCCAAGACCATTCCGAATGTGCCCGAACATAAATATTTCGTTATCACATATTTGTCTATTTTGTCTCCGATTTCATAGTGGAAGTGGCATCCACTACTTGAAGAACTCCCTGATGAGCTACTGCTACTTGATGAACTAGAAGAAGAAGAGCTGCTGCTACTCCCACTGCTACTACTATCGGTAGTTGATCTAGCCATCAATCTACTTTAAATTGCTTAAATCACTTAAGTTTGGAGGTATCGCGACTTCTACTCCTGATTTTGTACTGCATTGTCTACGGCTCTGGTGTTTACATTCTTATTTATTTTATATTTTTATTAATGATTTTAATGAAATCAAACAATAGGCTTAATACCGGACACCGACTATCTGACAGTTGAACCTGAACTTTTCACAACTGACCTAGTCACTGTACTACTCGTAGTTACAACCTCTAATACATCTCATTCTCATACCTTTTGCTTTTTCAAGGCTTCTAGTTCGATTTCAGCATTCATCAACTTCTCCTGGGTCTCGCTATAATCATGGTTGATTTCTTAAAATTTTCTCTTCCACACTTCCGCTTCATTATTGACTTCTGTAATTCTTTATGTAATCACTTCACTTCTAGTTTACTGGATTAAGATTCTTAATCTCTCATTCTCATCTTCTAATTCATGAACCTAAAATTTAAATTTAACATTTACTCTTGTATTATCTACCTCTTTAACTATTTACACCTCTTTCCTCTTTTCTAATTCTGCAATAAGCGATTATAAATAGAGCACTTCATCTCTCCAAGGTGCCTCAATTTCTTCTCTTGATACTACTCCCAATCTTACTACTGCTTATGATTATGGCCCACAAGATGATTAACCACAAGGAGTGCAACATTACTAAGTCTAACCACAACCTCCAAGTAATATGGATTATCCAGGAATCTATTGGGTTTACAATTAGTAATTCGTGCTTAACACTCTGCTTTAGTATGAATTGTATTTTCCTTTTTTATGCCAAAATTAATATGTTTATGGTCTCTCTGATCTAGTATATTTTGTCGTCTTCAATTAAACATCACTTATAGTACATATTCTGTTTATGGGAGAGTAACTTATTTTCGTTCTTCTACAAAGGATTCTTGTCTAAAGTAATTACTCATAGCCCTATTATTTATTTCTTTAATTAATTATGGATAAACCAGAGTAAGAATGTATAATCGGTGTTTAAGATGCAGAAAAATAGAGCAGTAATTAACTATCATTACAGGGCATTTTATTCCTTGTACAGAATTTAAATTGAAAATCATTACAAATTTATAACCTGTCCTATATGCAAACACATTTTGGATAAAGTAATTCCCATGAATATATCCTTTAAGGCAGATATTCTGATTATTCTAACAGCAACCTTATCAAAATCAATAATTCTGTAGCTACTCCCTCCTAATAACTCCAAGAAAGATTTGAAAGATGTTAGTTAAAGAATTTTAAATTTCCATTTTTAGATGATCAAATAGGTACTTAAAATAAATAACTACATCTGATTGATTTTGCAATTAAAAGTAGACCGTCCAATAGAAAGCATGTTACTTTCTGGAGAATAATAATTGTACTCCTAATATTAAAGTAGAAATCGTAGTTATTATTGTGAGTATAATGAATATTCTAACCAGATAAAAAGAAAATATCAATCTTGCCCACATCAATTTAGGAGAGTCAATAAAGATCACCAAAGTTATAAAGATATCTAAAGTTATGGTATTATAAATGAAGAACCAGAATTTAAATAAATGTTCGTAGTGGTTAAACTTAACTTGAATTTTTTATGCATAAATAATAGTGTCATTGCAATGAGCAAAGAATTCAAAGGATCTTTATTTTTTTATTGAAACATTTTATATATTTATTATCAACGTAGAAGAATTATTAATATGCTCTTTTATAAACATTGTCTATGATGGGGATAAATATATTTTAAGCAAATCTCTATATGGTTTAATCGCTTTGAAATTTTATAGATTATTATTTATGAATTTAGCTTAATCCATATATTACAGAAAACTATAATTATTTATAAATGGATTTCTTATCACCTGAAAATGCTTGTGGACAAAGTCTTTTGATTCTGGTTGCAAGAGGAAGTGCCATTTTAGCTGAAGTTTAGAGACTTTCTGAAAATATACCCAAGATTATTACTAGTAAAGCTTAAGAATACAAAAAATATGAGAAAATCTTATTTGACTTTGAATACCTAAAAAATATTGATGTTCTTGAAGATGAGATCCAAAGAAACTAAGTATGATTTGATATAAAGTAGGAAATTAACGAATTGGATGAAAATTTTAAGAAATCGTATTTACCATTAGTAGAAAGATTTTATAGATTATTTGAAAGCATCTATTTGTATTATTCAGACTTGATGGCATTTATACAAGAATTAGAGGAAGCAGTTTTTATGCAATATTCTGTTGAGACTGTATTGTAAGATTCTGAAGGGAAAAGGTTATTTGCGGAATCGTTTTATTTATACGGATGCATGCTCTTATTGATGGACAGCTTAATCCCAGGGAAGGCAAGAGAAAAACTAATCATCTCCTATTATAGATATAAGGGAGGTTAAACAGCAATAGAGTTCATAAATGAAGTTACTAAACTTTGTGCTGAAACTGGGTATTAAAAAAATGGTACTCGTCCTGCCTTTTATCCTGAAGAATATATGGCTCGATTTTAATTACCCGAGAAACTCATAACAGAAGTGATCAATTCTATCAAAGATGAAGATATCTATAAATTTACTAGCATTTATCCATCAGCTGACCATAGATCAATCGCTTTATCAGTCCAGGGATCAATGTTGTATGTATTGTTGTTTTTCACACCAACCATATTAAATAATAAAAAGGTATCAAAAGATTATTAGAATTTAGTCAAAAATGAGAGAAATTGTTGACAAACATTTTTATGATTAATGGGTGATATCATTTTATTTGGGTTATTTTGTCGATTTATCTGAATAATGGAATCCATATCCAGCAGCCAGAGAAGCAATAAAAAATACAATCAATTTTGAATATATCTAAGAATTGGGAACGTTCTATCAAACTAAGTTAACAGAGTAAGTTAATAAAGTCCAAGAATATCTTTATGAAGGTTAAATGACCTAAGAATTTGTTCTAGACAAAATATCATCCTTAATGAATTGTGTTAGAGAAAGTAATATAGCTATTAGATGGATTTTACTGCATTCTAATACTAGTATTTCAAAGGCAAAAGACTTGTTGAATAAAATTGATAAATAAGAAGTTTTACAGTTGCTTTTGTAGAGTTCGAAATTTGAGAATCGTTTATTGAAAGCAATAAAAGCAATCATAGATAATAAATAATAGTATTGGGATGAGGATAAAGTTAAATGTGTTGAGAGAATGCAAGAATTATCTGATTATTTTAGTGGAAAGGCTTTGGGAAAGGTTAAAGCAGATGAATCATATATGCAATGGTTTACTGAGATGGGAAGCTAAATATAATCTTTAAATTACAGTGATAGTACTCATGCTGGTCGAAAAATTCAAAGATTAATTTAAGCATTAGAAGATATAGAATAATATCCTCAAATTTCGACATCTATACAAGTAAAACATTATTTGAATGAAACCAGGAAAGATTTAACACATATGGTCAAAATTGTTCATATCAAGAGCACTCTCCCTTCACATATTTCTTATATTGCAGATTTCAGTTACTCTTGGCAATGCTTAAAAGGATACAAAGATCTTATGTAGGCTAAAGTATAGAGCAATCCTCATTCTGCTCTCAGTCTTAAGACTACTTTCTAGAAGCTATCTTCAATTTTAAATACCCCTACTATTCGTATTATATAAGCTGGAAGTCCAGATTTAAATAGTGTCACAAAATACTATTCTGGAGAATTAGTAAAATTTGTTAAAGAAGTTCTTTAAATTATTCCCATTTAAGTTTTCGAAGTACTCCAAGATATTATTACATTAATTACATCAGTTTTGAAACCACTTCCTTCCAGGATAAATAAAATTGAGTTGAAGGATTATGCTTAATATGAAGATAGAACTCAAATAGCAAAGTTAACAAATTCAATTTCTGTCTTTACAGAATCTATTTTAACAGTTGATCCCTATTTATTAGGATCGATAGAAGTTAACCCTAGAGAAATGCTTGATTAAGGTATTAGAAAAGAATTGATGGCATTAATTCATAAGATCCTTGATTCTCAATTGATATTTCCCAAGAAAGATGTTTCAGATTTCTAAACAAAACTATCAAAATTAGGAGAGGAAATCAACGGGTTCAAATTAGCTATGGAACAAATATAAGATTTTGTTAATGCGTAAGGACTAAAGATGTTCACGGAGGAATTTAATCGGTTGATAGAATGCTACACTTCAATGGAACTTAAAGGTTTGATTACTGGGAATAAAGAGTTCGAAGAATTAAGTTACGACGAAGATATACCAATGCCAGATGAAAAAAGCAAACAGTATGGAGCTATCAATTTTATTGGAAGACTATTGAACTAAATAATTTTGATTACAAATCCAAGAGATATAGTATTTGTAGAATCAACATTAGGATTTTATGATAGCAATGGAAAAGATGTGTTAAATCTAAAAACTATAGGATTAATATTAAAGTGTATAGGCGTTAGCGGGTTAAATGGAATTGATTTGCTCCTTTGTTAGCATTTATCAAAAACAGTGAAAGATATTGTTAAAATATTAAAACTTGAGCTAAACTAAGAAAATAGGAATATTATTGATACTCTCATTAAATAAGTAAGGTTATTTACAAATTATGACGAAAACTATGACAAAGTTTATAAATAATTGGCAAAGTAATTTAGACCTCTCATTTCTAAAATCCTTTATCCTCTGTAATAGATAGGTTAATACATAAATCTAAGAAAGCTAATTTGTTTGGTATTATAAATGAAGGCTAAGGTCGGATCAACTAAATTATTCTTATGTTTAGAGACTTTAAATAATACAATAATTAATGATTTCATCAATCGATAGTATGATTCTACTATGGAATCTGATATTAAAACATAAATGGAAAATAACTTGTTGTTTGATCTCACAAAGCTATTTAATTATGTTGGGCTATCTGATCCTCTAAGAAAAATATATGCATTATGTGAAATGCCAGAGTATTATTCATATTTTAAGTTATAATAGGCATACTCCCTTAATTTTAGCTCTAGTGATTTTGCATCAATTGCCTTTGATGGATTTTGATAAAAAATTGAATTGCCTAATAAAGAAAGCAAAGGATACTCAATTTTAATATGAACCAAATTGTTTATTGATGGGAATCATTGGATTTTTGAACCAATTTAATTAATTGCATTCATCTTTATTTGTTTCATATTTAGGGTAGAGATTAAAATAAAATATTTAGATTTTACATAAAATCAACTATCTTCTTTATGTTACAATCGAAAGAACTACAAAAACAACCTGAGATTCTAGGGGATTTTTTTATGTTGCTAACAGTAATCGAAGAGATTTTCAGAATCAAAGAAGATAACTATGAAGTACGGATTTTCATTTAAATTAGAATTTTAAATAATTAATTCCTTTTGGATTATTCAACTATTTGAAGAGAGAGATGATAAAATGGTGAAAGAAAAGTATTAAAAACAACATAAATATTAAATAAGGAATATTATTAATTATAATTGTATTATTTTTTTAAAATTAAATTTTCTGAATAAACCTAAAGAAATGCAAAATAAAGAAAGCACAGAATAGTATAAATATTGACTAAGTTTAGTGATCACTTATTTAAATTGTTACTTATTGGTACTAGTGGAGTTGGAAAATCCTGTATGTTGATGAGATATGTCGATAATAATTTTACAAATAATTTTTATAACACAATTGGAGTGGATTTTGTAATTTATTATTTAAACAAGTAGAAAATCAAATCGATATTCTTAGAGAATAAAAATATAAAGTTGTAGATTGTAAAATTATATTTCATTTTGTTAGTGGGATACAGCAGGTTAAGACAGATTCAGAACAATCACATGTAGCTATTATCGGTAATGAATATTTTGATAATAGTGGAGCGCATGGGATAATCATTGTTTACGATATAACTGACAGAGAATCATTTGACTCTGTAAAAATGTGGATGTCTGAAATTGATAAGTAAACTAATTAAATTTACATAGGTATGCTCAAGAGGATGTGATAAGAATGCTTGTAGGAAACAAATGCGATATGGATGATAAAAGAGCTGTATCATATGAAGAAGGCGAGGCATTAGGTAACTTAGTTAGTTAACTTCAAGCGAAACAACTAAAATTGTAATTTATAGAAACATCAGCCAAATTATCAACCAATATTGAATAATCATTTTTGACAATTGCAAAAAATGTTCTGGAAAAAAGTTAAAATTCTATAAAAGCTGAATCTGGCTAAAATATGAAAATAGGTTAAATTACATCGACTTAGGTAATTGGGAATACAAATAAAAAAAGTTCACAATGTTGTTGAATTATAATTATTAAAATTAAACACGATTATGTTGGAAATTCGTTTCTTACCTTTTCTACTTGTGCTCACTTGTGCAATTATTGTAGAAAGGCCTATTACATAAATAGTTTGGTGTGGAGCTTCAATTATTTACACCAGGGAAGATGAAACCATACCTTAATTTCAGGGTTTGGAAGAGGAGAAGACAATATTTTTTATTACCGAAGCCCACCAGATATATCAGAGTAATGGAACTGTTTGGAATTAAATTGAGGGTTTATTTGAAGATATTTAGATTTCACCTGCAGATTCACGCGTCATATTTTTATTTGGACAAAATGGTTAGAAAAGTTATAGAACAAATGATTGTGGTGAAAATTTCGAGGAAATCGACACTAATGGCTTTTATGGATTTAGATTAAATAAAATGAGTTGGAAATGGATGCTAGCATTTAAAAAATAATAATGTGATCATTTTGACATGGATTGTAGAGAACCATATAACAATTAATTGTTTTATTCTGAAGACGGAGCAAAGACTTGGTTGCCATCATTTAAGAATTGTAGAGAAGCATCATGGGATAAGATCATAGAAGACATTACAGTTCCAGATGAAAGGTCCATTGTATTATTTTCATACGAAAATCAAACATAATTGATCTACTCTGATAATTTTGCCAATTATCATACATTAATGATTGGTGCTTAAGGGTACTATTAAACCAATAAATATCTTTTTGTGTTAACATCTTCCAGTAATGGGGGGTATGAATTGCATTACGGTCATTCTAAACTCGAAGAATTTTCAGAGAAATTAGTGGAGTTGCCATTATAAATTTTAAAGGAGTATTCTTATACTGTTCTAGATACTGAAAATGGTAGAATTTACTTATCAGTATCTCACTATTAATAAGAGCAATCAATAACTAATGTGTATATCAGTAATTAAATAGGAGAGGATTTTCAAATTGTTTTAACAAATAATGTGAGATCAACTTAAGATGGAAATTGTGATTTCGAAAAGCTTTTAGGCCTAACATCTACTTATGTTGCAAATACATATGACTAAAGAGATTAGAAAGATAAGTCAACTGTTATAAGTTTTAATGGAGGAAAGAAATGGGAATCGATAAAGGCCCCAAGATATGATTCAGAAGAGAATGTGGTAGAATGTGGAGGAGAATGCTCTTTGCACTTTGTAGGCAGAACTGAATCTTATAGATAAACTATTTATACTGTAGATTAAGCACCAGGTATTGTTTTAGGCGTTGGAAATGTTGGATTATTTATAACATAAGAATAAAATACTTATATGTCAGCTGATGGGGGATAGAATTGGATTGAGGTCAGAAAAGGATCTCATGTCTTTGAAATAGCTGATTTTGGAGGTGTTATTGTTATGGCCAAAGACTACGAACCCACTAACGAAATTATTTATTCGCTTGATTATGGAAAAACATGGAAAACCAAAATCATTTATGATGATCTTTTCATGGCTTAAAATTTAGTTACTGAAGCATCTGGAACTGTTCGATATTTTCTTATTTATGGCAAAACCGATAAAGGAGAAGGGATCATTTTAAAATTGGATTTTAGTGATATTTTCTCAAAAGAGTGTAAATCAAATGTAGATTATGACATCTGGAACTCCAAATGTATTGATGGGTCTTAAACTAAATACTTTAGGAAGAAAGATAACTCAGAGTGTTTTAATCCTAAATAGATGATTACCAAAAAAATAATTGAACCTTGTCCTTGTAAACGGGAAGATTGGATATGTGCCTAAGGTTATGTGAGCTAATTAGAAGGAGGAGAATGTCTACCTATTGTGAATATTACTGATTATTGCGAACCAGGAAAAACCTTTTTCAAGACTAAAGGATACATCAAATTGACTTAATGTCTAGGAGGGTATATTTTTATATAATTCATTAAGTTTAGATTTAGGAGGAACAGAAACTTAATGTCCAAAATCTTTCAATTTGAATGATATCCTGTTATATATAATAATAAGTGCAGTTTTTGTCTTTGTCATTTTAATAGGGTATGTAGTAGTGAGAAGGGTGCTAACTGCTGAAGAAAAAAGTCAAAATCCAAATGTCAACAAATATAATTAAATGGAGTTTTAGGAAGACGATGAGGAAGATTAGTAATTATGAGTTTTATTTTATTATCTTAAATATATATTATAAATTTCAATTTAAAATATGTGCTTAATCTTAATAATTTCTTAAGCAAACAACCGGTTAAAGTTCAGTGTCATTGTTTTTAAAGTATTCCAAAGAAATATCACGCTTTAGATAATACTCAGTAGAACAATTGTTAATCCTTACTAATTTGTCATTGTAAAACAGTTCTAATTTTTGTCTTATAGCGAAAGCAAAATTATAATTTTTCCATAATCTTCTTTAGACTCATTAACATACACTAAACCATTAACACAAAATAAATAAGATTAACGAATAAGTTTTGAATAATCTTTTGGATTAATGATATTTGATCCTTTGTAATTCCTACATAAGCCTGCAAATCTAAAGTATGAAGAAATTCAATTTCAATAATTTTATTTTTGAATTTTTAATAGCAATCAGTCTATCCACTTTCTTATTGCCATTTAAATTTAAAAAAGGCAATTTTATCATTTTGAATAACTTCAATGTCCTATTGTTTAATTTTTGGAAAATATAATTTATTACTATAACCAAGAGACTAAGCTAATTTATTGTGAAAGTTCTTCACAGATTATAAATAATCGTTTAAATTGACTGATCTTTAATAGTTTATTTTAGTTTTTTTAAAACATTTTGCCATGCTTTGATCTTTGAATTCCCTTCTCTATATAGAAAACTGGCAATTCTCACATTCAATTTCTACGAATTCACAAGAAGTTTTCTGTTATATTATTACAATTCTCTTAAGTTTCTTTTAACATTCTGAACACTTAACAATAATTTCAGGGCATTCTTTGTTATATATTTAAAATTTTTAACTTTATATTTGATAAACATAACTAACATTTATGCTAAAATAGATAATTAATAATATTATGTTACAATATTTTTAGGACAATTATCTTCTTGATTTTGCATCATGAGTATTTAAACTTCTGCAAGTTCTTGCCGCATAATCCCTTTTTTTGTAAATATTCATTTAATTCATGTTGTACTAGTTTTTTTCTCAATATCTCTATTTACACCATTTACATTATAAAATTTTAAAAAGACAAATATTGTCATGTAGATTCTTAACCTTTAATAGAATGTCTATATTGCATCCATCATATTCACATTTAACTTATTTGAAACGGCATGATTTAATTTGAGAGAAGTACTAGGGATATTTCAAAATTTACAGGCATCCATTTTATTTATAACAAAAATACATCAAGATCATTTAGCATATTATTTAAGACACGCTGTCATTATTTTTCTTTAAATTTATTCAACTTTGCGCAAATTAATTTCTAACTCCAAGTTGTTAAGCAAGTTTAACAAAAATGATTTCCACAACTTTCACACCACATTGGATCAATAAATATTTCCAAAAAAATCATAGATTTAAATAATTCTATTTATGGACTTCGGTTAGTTAACTAATCAAATCTTAACAATTACTTAATATAAATTATAATTAATTACATTATTTATGAGCGTATAGGAATTCATAGCAAATAAAAAGATGTTGGATGTAGAATGGAGATTTTCAAGTTTAAAATTCATATTATTTCAGTTGCTACTGCAAATAGTTCTAAAGAAAATTATAGCGATTGCTTCTTATAACTTAAGATCAAAACAATTGATAAAAATATGATAGAAGAAACCACTCATTTTGAATTAACATTAGCATAATTTAATGAATTGTTTACTGAAATCGAGAAGGTAAAGAATCTGATGAGTTTAATTAAATGAATAGCACATTATTTATAGAATCCAATAATATTGAATAAATAAGGTAAATATAATTAATATCAAAAATTACAATTATCTTCTTATTCAAATTAATCCCATTTCATCAAGAAGATCAAGAATATCTTGAGTCATTCTTGAAACATCATTCAAAGCAGTTTCCAAAGCAATTATTTCTTTTTGATTTTTGAATTCTGTAACAATAGCTTGCATATACAATTTATAGCTGCTATCTTCTTTTTTTCTGACATCACTTAGCATTTGTTTAAGCGTTGGAAACAATAAAAATTTTTACTTATTGTGTCCAATATTGGAGGATTTAGCTTGATGCTTGCTGGATGTGCTTGTATTAAGATCTTAATGCATATTCTACAACTTAAGAGATAATTCTGATATTTCTTTTTTAGCATTTTCTCTTTTTATATTCAGTTATTCTATAATCTTCTCCAATTCTGATATCTTAATAATTGATTATGATTCCACCGAATCAATTTTTCTTAATAAATCAAATATATATACTTTTCTAAAATGTTTATTGTGTTTTGCTGATCATAAATAATTAATTCTAATTATTAAATTTTTAGTTATTTTTCTTAAACTTCAAATTAATCAACAACTTTTTCTTTTTAATTCTGCTATTGTTCTAATTTTTCTAATTTTTATTTTAACTCATATAGCTCATTATTAGCTTTGCTTATTTCATTTATTAATTTAATATTTTATTCAGACAAATGTTATTTGCTTGATTACAAGTCGCATTATAATTTTTATATTGTATTTTTATCTCTTGTTCTCTTTTATTCTAATAATTGTAATTTACCTTCCCTCTATTCATATTTTGTTGTCTGTTGTTCTAAATGCTATTTTAATTCTCTTATCTCATCTTCAAGTCTTTAACAATCTTTAAATTTTTAATCACATTTAATTTTCTCTTACAAAACTTTACTTTCTAATTCTTTAGTTTTAGAATTGACATCAACTGAAAAATTATTCGTCAATGTAATTTGTAAGGTTTCAAGTTCTTTGTTGTGTTCAAGTTATAGTTACTAAATATGTAATTCCATCTATTATAGTTTTTAAGTATTTTGGTTTTAAAGCGAACTCTTATGTTTCTTTTCAGCTTCCAATGCCACTGATAGATCGTCATTCTCCTCCTGCAATCTTTGAATTTCTTCGCACATTTTTTCACATTAATTTCTCAGTCTGTTTAATTCTTCTTCTTGTTAATTATTTCCTTCAGTTTAAATCAAGATATCCTTGTGTTCTTTAGGTTAAAACTTCAAATAAATTTCTTTATACTGCTACTCTATCAATTCTTTCTATTAAATATTGCTTTCTAATTATATAATCTACTATACCATTCTTAATTTCAAGCTCCTCTAAATGATTTTTTAATTTCCTAAGGTTATCCTCCTATTTTATTTTATCACCTTCTATAAACTCTAATTACTAAGATACCGTAGAAGTTATACTTATTAATATAACGTTTATAGATGTTTTATGAATTTCTCTTACTTATTTATTGTTTCTTCCAACTAAGTAGAATTCATTTTCCAAACATCGCTTGAAATTTCATACTCCCCTCTCGAAAAGAATTCCTCAACAGACATTACTTTTTGTATAACCAATGATTTCTTCTTTTCCTTTTCTTTGTTAAAATACTTAAACATTATATTTTAATTGAATAAATTTTAACAATTATTTTAGATGGAAACTAATTACTAAAAAGAAACGAAAAGACCTTAACAAGGTAAATTTTATTTACATTATAGTACTTAAAATGGCAAAATTAAGCAATAACTACGTAGAACCAGAAGACACTTATGAACCAAAAAGAAGAGTAAAAATTTAGAGTACATTTAATTCATTAGAATTAGTATAATAATTAAATGAGGATTCTTCAACCTATAACGGAATTGAGTACTTTGAAAGTCTGCAATAGAAGTAAACAAGTGAAAAGAAAGAAAAGACTCCTTAAAAAATAGAGAGCGTGTCCTCAATTTTGGCTAAAGGATCCTTAAGAGAAAGATTTTCTAATCTTCATTTGATTACTTCTATTGACAAAATGCTCATGCATAGTAAATATTCCAGCTTGTGCCATTTTTTCAAAGAAATTGATGAAATGCTTTTATTTCTCCAAAGCTAATAAAAACCGCCATTCTTAAATACAATTTACGAATTATTGAGCCAAAATTCTAAAATTAAAGTCACTTAATAAATTATTCAATAAATATTGGAAATCTTTCCGAATGCTTATGATGTTAATTGGTCTTTGAATGAAAAATTAATAAGATTAGATAGAAGTGATTTGATCATAAAAGCCAATATAAAATCTCATGTCTAATTGGGAGAGCGTTAACATTACTTTAAATAGTTAATGTTTGATTACATATAAAAAAATGGGGAACAAATTGGCTTAGCAGCCTTACCCTAAAATCCATTTTAATAAAATCTACAAACCAAACCTTAAGAGACTGATGCATTAACAAAATAAATCCAATAATAAACTTAAAAACATGAAATTCAAAGTCAAGTATCTAAAGAACCAACATATTCTAAAGTCAGTTAAAATTTAATAGAAAAATTAAAATAAAAAAAGAAACTAGAAATTGTTTAAACTGATCTTTCTGCCCCAAAAAAGTAATTAATAGCTATATCCTCATTAATTCATCAATATTTTCTTATAAGAGATGTTTCAAATATGTTCCTAACAAATGTTTTGAAATACAGTCTAAATAGTTTAAAACAGTTTATTCTGGATGAAAACTAGTTAAAAACTTATATTGATTAATTAATCAAGTTATGTCCACATTGGATTCAACTAATTGACAATTAGAATGGTTAAATTTTACGGATGAATAGGGAAATAGATTTACCTTCTATTATTAGATCTATTGAATAAATGTGAATAGAAGACGCTTTAATTAAAAGTTTGAAATATAAAATAACAGCATCACTATATATATCAAGAACTATCTTCTAATACTATCAAAGATTCTTTGAGTTGTCCTTTTAAAGACATTACAACAAGTTCATATTTTTTCATATCCTTACTTAACTTCTTGGTCTATATCTTTCCTATAAGTACTGAAATAGCAGGATTGCGAAGACTTTAATTAAATTATGATTTATAGATCTCATTTAATGATTATGCAATTTATTCTAATCTCCATTCGAAGGGTATTGAACTAATGTCTACATGAATTTCTCTTTCATCAAATTGGCCATTTATTATCACTCTTATATTTTAAACTTGTTTCTAAATTTAAATTTAACCTTACCAACTCTTTTTCTGAATATTTAGACATCATTTCGATTATTTCCAGATTATCTTGTTATTAATTAGTATAAGCTGTCAACTCAAAAAATGTGATACTCTTTCTTCTTTTTTGGCTTTGCATTTCACTGCCTTAGCCCTAGATTTAATCATCCTCAAGCTTCTCTTCAATTACATTTGTAGATGATGGAGGACAAATTGCCATTTTTATTGATCTTTTTTCATAAATAACACTTCTATTTTCTACTCTTTTCTCAGGAGCAACAGATGACCGCTTTACATAATTACTTGTTCTAACAGAGGAGTATGTTCTCTCAACAATTCTCCCATCCATCGGGACTTACTTTTAAGGACTTGCCAACTTTCGCAAAGGTAAAGCTGTTGCAAAATGCTAATTATAAGATTATTTGCTGATTTATATTGATTAAAATTGTACACTTGAATTAAGGGTTTAAGGTGAGCTGATGATGTGCTATCATTTGCTGATTAATCGCATTCCTTAGATTTATACTTAAAACTTTAGGTAGTTGACTTTGCTCCCGATGCTTCCTTGACATATCTAATTCTTTAACCTGAAGAAGTGTTAAACATCGAAAAAACTATTTTTGATTAATATAAAATAAATAACAAATTCCTAATGGAGTTTGAATTAACTGGAACCAATCATAAAGCTGTTCAAGGTTGGCGATTTGATAATAATGGGTAGGAACCCCTTAAGCAATAATTAATTGAACCATAGGAACCCTAGATCCAAACATAAGGGTTTTTCGAAAAAATTAAGAATTAATTTAATGATCTGCTTAAACCACCAGATAAAGAAGTTGAATAAAGAATTATTTATCTAGATGGAAAGGTCTATCCTTAAAATAATTTGCCAAATATAGTAAAAAACTAAAAGTATAATATTTTGTCATTTGTTCCAATGGTGCTCTATCAACAATTTAAATACTTTTTCAATCTTATATTTTTATTGATTACGCTATCATAATTTATACCCTTACTTAAAGTAGGATTTTTATTTAGTTATGTTGCTCCATTAGCATTCGTGTTGATCCTAACGTTGCTTAAAGAAGCATATGATGATTTTTAAAGGTATAAAAGAGATAAAGAGGCTAATTCGCAAGAATACACATAAATTGGAAAAGATAAAACATTATAACTTTAAAGTTGGCAATTAAAAGTAGGAGATATAATAGAAGTTCATGCGAATTAAAGAATACCTGCTGACTTAATATTGCTCCACACAAATGATGTAACAGGAACAGTTTTCATTAGAACAGATTAACTGGATGGAGAAACTGACTGGAAATTAAGAAAAGCTATTAGGCATACATAAAATTATGGATAGAACAAAAATCTAACAACTCTCAATGCATCAATTACTTGTGAACCCCCTAAATTAGATATATATGATTTTAAAGGTTTGTTCAAGTTAGAGGTTGGTGGTGGAGAAGGCTAGAGAGAAGCATTATCCTTAGAAAACACTCTATGGTGTAACACATTTTTAGCCTCTGGGAAGATATAGGCTGTAGTGGTTTACACAGGAAAAGAATGTAGATCTGCATTAAATTCAAGAGAACCTAGAACGAAGATGGGTAGATTAGATGATGAATTAAATTAATTAGCTAAATTATTATGTGTATTGCTAGTTTGTACAGCATTTACTATTGTATTAAGTAGTGGCTTTTAAAATGAATGGTTACTTTAACTATTTAGACATGTCTTATTATTAAGTTCGATCATTCCAATATCATTAAGAGTTAATCTAGACTTTTCCAAATTGTATTTTTCTTATTGTATTTCTAATGATAAGGATATAGAAGGATCAATTGCCAGAAATAGTACAATACCTGAAGAATTAGGTAGAATTTCTTACGTGTTAACTGATAAAACAGGTACATTGACTTAAAACACAATGATTTTTAAAAAACTATCGTTAGAGAGGATGTCATTTTCAGTTGAAACCTTAGGCTTATTAAAGAAAATGATAAAGAAGCACTGCGCTAATAGCAAATATCCAATGGAAGATATTTTAAAAAAATATCAAGAGTAAGGGGGTAAGAAAATAAAGCCTTTTAAAAGAAATAAAGATTAAATTGTAAGAGATTTAATTTCTGCTTTATCATTATGTCATAACGTTACTCCTGTTGAAGAAGACGGATAAAGGACATTTTAAGCAAGTAGCCCAGATGAAATTGCATTGGTCAACTTTGCCGAAGATGTTGGTTTTAAATTAGTAAATAGATAGTTAACAGAAATAAATATTCAAAATGCAGGAGGAACACCAGAATCATATAAAATATTATATGAGTTTCCATTCACGTCAGAAAGGAAAAGAATGGGTATAATATTGCAGATGTAAGGATAAAAAGGTGCTATATTTTATTTAAAAGGAGCAGATTCAGTAATGAAATAGAAGGTTCCAGAAGTCTAAAGAGGATTTTTGATGGATGAATGCGAAAGTTTAAGTAGAGAAGGATTAAGAACTTTGGTGATAACTTAAAAATACTTAACAGAAGATGATCTGAAGAATTTTATCACAGAATTTGAGAAAGCAAAGAATTAAATGGAAGATAGAGAAGCACGTTGTTCAAAAGTTTTAGATTTTTACGAAAATGATATGGAATTATTGGGATTAACAGGAGTTGAAGATATGCTGTAGGAAGATATCTATGCAACTTTGGAATCGTTAAAAAATGCAGGAATATAAATCTGGATGTTAACTGGAGATAAAGTAGAAACAGCTTAATGCATAGCAATTTCTACTGGATTGAAAAGTCCTACTTAAGAAATGTTTGTAATTAAGGACATAGAAGATTCTTTAATCTTACAAAATGAGCTTAATTAATTTGCTCTTAAAAATAATAGCGTTCTAGTTATAGATGGATAATCCTTAAAGGTTGCTCTTGAGTTCCAGCACACAGCATTTTTTCATGTTGCTTGTAATGCTCCTGCAGTTGTCTGTTGTAGATGCTCACCAACCTAAAAAGCATAAGTCACAGAATTGATAAAAGAACATACTTAAAAGACAGTTCTATCTATTGGAGATGGAGGAAACGATGTTGCTATGATCTAAGCTGCCGATGTAGGTGTTGGAATAGTTGGCAAAGAAGGAAAGTAAGCAGCACTAGCCAGTGATTTTTCTATTTTAAAGTTTAAGCATTTAGCTGTTTTACTTTTATGGCATGGTAGGTTGGCTTATAAGAGAACCTCTGTCATGGCTCAGTTTGTCATGCACAGGGGGCTAGTAATCGCATCCATATAAACCATATTCTCTATTGTTTTTTATTTTGTGGCTATTCCTATTTATAATGGTTGGTTGATGTTAGGATATGCAACAGTCTACACAATGTTTCCAGTTTTTTGTTTAATTTTTGATTAGGATGTAACAAAGGAAAAAGCTCTCGAATACACAGAATTATATAAAGCCTTGCTAAAAGGTAGAGAGTTGACAGTGAAAACCTTTTTGTTGTGGTTGTTTAAATCTGTTTATCAAGGTAATAATTTACAAAATTATCTAGCTGCTGTAATAATGGTATATAGCTTTGCTGTTTTTTAAAACACATTTCTTGATTTAGTTACAGTAACATTTAGTAGTTTAATAGTAGCAGAACTATTAAATGTTTTTACAGAAGTGAATAACTTTAGATTTGTAATGTTTATTGCTGAGATGTTCACTTTAATAGTCTATGCAGGATCAATTATTTTCTTATAGAGTTATATAAATTTAGCAGATATCGATTAAAAATTCATAATTAATGTCCTTATTTTAGTAACAATCAGTTGGTTACCATTGCATATAATGAAATTAATATTAAGAAAATGGGATCCTTCAGAATCCGACAAGATTATGCAGAAAATTAGAATTAGAAAGTGATATAATTTATAATCATCTATTTGAATATGTACTTAATATGCGATCATATGGCCGAGTGGTCTAAGGCGCTGCATTCAGGCTGCAGTCCGAAAGGGCGAGGGTTCGAATCCCTCTGTGGTCAATTTTTTTATTTCTAGTTTGTTTAAATAAAAATTTCAATTCTATTTCTCAATTGGGCAAAGCAAATATATTTGATATATATTAAAAATAAATGAAATGAATGAAGTAAAGTTACTCAACTCAACTCCAAAGTTATTCAATTGTATTAATAAGGGCATTCTAAGAATAATCATTGGTAAGTTCCATTATTTGAGAAAATATTTCTTCTTTGGTTTATATAGCATTAATAATATTAAATTATTCTTCTTGAGCCATTTTATCAAAAACCTCTTAAACCTATTACTAAAATTCTTATTTTTCGTATCGTTCTGCTCCAAAATCTCCCCTATCCTTTAATTATTTAATTGGGGCTCTTAAGTATATTACAAGATCTGGTTTTGGTAAACCTGAATCACATTATTTACACCATTAAATGGGAAGTCCTTTTGCAGATGAAAATGCAACTCCAGAGTATGCATATCTATCACAAACAATATTGATTCCCTTATTTAACGTTTCGATTATGGTATTTCTAGATTCTTTATAATTAATACTTCGCTTCCCATCTATTTGCTGAAAATAATAGATGAATCACTTGATCATTAATATCTCTTTTTCCTTTCAAATAATCGGATATGATTAAGCCCATTGAAGTACTTCTGTCCGGAAATTACATTTTTTTTGCTTCAAGAGCTTCACTTAATAATTCAGTTTGCGTAGATTTGCCACATTTATCAAGCCCTTCTAGAACTATGAATAAGCCTCTTCTGTTATTTTTCATGATATTATTTATGTTTTCAAAAAAATAATTGGCGGGTTAAGAATTAGAGTTAAATATACATAAAAATGAAATTGATTTATAAAATACAGTTTATTATGTTAGGAAGAAAAAATTAATCAAGTTTAAATGATTTTATGAAACCTGTTTTTTCTATTTGGATTAATTTATTTTTCTAATTGATTTATTTTATCTTTTTATCATCCAACTCACACTCATCAAAGTCTTCTTAATCTGATTCTTTAAGTCACTAATCTTTAATAAATAATACTATCTTAATAAGTTTGCCTCCTATACAATTTCATAAAATACCACTACATCAAATTTCAATAAAGAATATTGAAACAACTTTTTTCAATTAATTATTCTATTTTCTGAAATCTATTAATTACATGATTAATAACCTTTCCAAATTTCCACCGCTGTGATGATACTCTTTACCATTTTAGGGAATATCAAAATTAATATCTATTTCAACAGAAGGAAAGCCAAGTCCCATTTTTGGAATTTCAGTAACGATTAATAAATTATAATATCGGTTTCTTATATTAATTGGGTATAAAAGATAATAATTTTTTATTGGAAATTTGAGAGAGTCTAATATTTGTTGTAACCTCTAAATTTACATGATTCGCCAGAGTAGCTGAAGATAAATACATTTTCTTTCTTTAGGTATGATATCAACAATTACAATAATTTCTTTTTTAAGATCCACATTTATGAATAAAATCTTTCCTGATTACTAGAAATATTATACGGATTTTATTTAAAGCCTTTCCTTCTGCAAGAGGATCAAAATCTCTCAAAATCACTTTAGATTTAATCAAAGCTTCAATTGCCTAGGGATCCTAAATCCAAATACGCAATTATCCTTATGGAAGAGATTAATTGTCTGTAGCTGGTTCTTAGTAGAATGGCTACACAAGTATTAATAGCCGGTTCTAGTTGGAGCCTCATTCGATACATGAGCCAACTAACCGTGCCAAGCAGGAGGTATTCTATCTCCAAGAGTATGATATGGATCAAAGTATTCATTAAATTCTGCCCATCTATTAATTTCTTTCACATCAAAATCTTCATAATATTTATTTCCGAATTAATCTTGCCCAACACATTATGTAGGCCCATTCTATCCTCCAACATTATGATTTGATCTTGATTATGCTCTATACATTTTGATTTATGTCTGCACAAATCCTAATTAATTTATTGATAATTGCCTTCTCTTTCATTACTAAAGACCAAATTATGTATTAACATTTAATTTAGAGTCCATACCCAAAGACCCATTTCTTAATTTAATATTATTTATTTATTCAATTTATCCAATAATAAAATAATAATTAAAGTCTATTCATGGGTGCTTTTTTAACTTTTTATAAGCAGCATAAAATCCTGTTTTTGAGTTTTGCTACTTCAAGTATTTTTTTAAGGTAATGCAGCAGTACTATTAAATTAGTGCAGGATTTGTATACTATAGAAATTAATAAAATCAACACACGAATGAATATTAAGGCTCATCAAACGCATCAAATATGAGGTCTGACAATCAAAATCAAAATAATAAAAAGATTAAGTTTGTTGATTTAGAAAAGGACACAAATTAAACTAGATTCACAGCTGCTATGAATGCATTTGAAAGTATCACTAATTTGATAAGGGTGAATTATATTCCAAATACTAATTGTTTAGAACCTTAAACAATTGTGGATATACTTTAATATACAATAGAAGTTGCAGGAGATGAATATATTAGAATAACACTTGCCAATAGAAAATAGAGAAGGATTTATAAATCAAATTCTCAACTTAATTTATATAAATAATACATACTGAAATATAATGAAGACATTGAAGAGTTGCTAGAGAAGTCATAAGCAGAATTATTGTAAAGATTAGAAGTTACCAAAGAGATATTTGAAGAAAGTATGCTAGCTTTAATGGAAAAAGGGTTTTTTTAATAATTATATATGCTCCAAGCTTCTGTTAAATAAAAAATTAAAGAAAAAATTCTATCAAACAAAGATTTATCAGTTTAATAAGTTAAAGAAATAATAAGATATAGTATTAAAATATTAAAACAGCAGCCAGAACCTTTCCAATACATAGTAAACTAAATGATGGTATAAAATTATTTTTAAGTTAGAATAAAAATGAACTAAAAGAGTACATACCTAATGCAATAAATATGATAGTGTAGGATTTTACATACTCAAAGTTTAAAGTTGAAGAAGAGGATCAAATTAAAAATCTTTAGAGACCAGGTAAAATATATTTTTATTTTAAGAATGTATGGGCGACTCTGAAATCCATCAATTGTTAGGGGAAATAGAAACTACAATGGCAGAAGTAATGAATTAATTAGGCCTAGGAGGAATAGATAGTATACCAGAAAATTTTGAAAATTTTACATGAATTTTTGTAGTTAACAATATTAACTAAATCACTTTCCTTAAATATCAAGTAATTGTTTAAATTAATATTGAACTCATTTAAAAATTAATATCAAGAAGTAATTTAAATATAATGTCAAAAGAATAGTTAAAATGTTTTAACTTTGAGTTAAAATAAATATTATAGTGCAGCATTTTGGCCAAACTATTGTTTCATCTATTTTTTGTATTAATTTACAATTTAAATTCTCAAATTCTAGGCACTAATCTTCTTGGTAAGTACTATATGATAATTTTTTTATTTTTTGATACCTTTTAATTTGATTTCCTAATAAAATATAAGAATGCGTTTTCTTAAGGCTATTTGCTATTTATATTAAAACATAAACCTTTTTGACACCGATTTAGAAACAAATATAATTTCTTATAGATTTTTTTAATAATCATTTGGTGTCATGAACTAAATTTTTAGATTGTTATAAACTAGTACTCTCGAAAAAGCCTTCTCGCAGTATTTTTATTGTTAATTTAAGTAACTTGTGATAAGAAGAACTAGTATTCCAAATGTGTGTTTTTTCATTCCTCATTTCATCGGATTGTGAAATAGAGATATATAAATATTTTTGATTGTTATTTTCTTCTGAGACTTAAAATGAAATTCTCCACAAGGCTAAACATTATAAATTAGTTATAGTTGTGAGGCGAACTTGAATAAGTGTGAATCTTTGAAAAATATTTTCCAAAAAGATTAAGTTTTCTTAATTTCTACTACTTTTGGCCTTTATTCTTTTGGATGCTAGGCTCGTTGGAGGTCTCAATTCGAGAATGGAATGTCACAACTTAATTATATAGAACTATGGTGACTGATCTAATTTAATTTTCTATAACCCTTTTTTCTCTTAACATAAGAAAAATCCTCTTTGTCTATTGGATAAGAATTTAACTAAGCGCTAGTCCTGAAAGTGAAGAAATGATTGCTGTAAACAAAAACATATACAAATATTGGATGTTGAATTTCATTCTAACTATTTTTGTCAAAAACCTATTCACCTTTCTAATAAAATCTTTGATCCTTAGTTGCATAAATCATTTAAATTAGAAGAATTTAAAGAAATTAAATTTTATATCAAATACTTGTCCTCTTAAGGACTCCTTAATTTACCTTACAAAGTAGTAAGTTTTATTAGAAAGCATTGATAATCTGAAACAGTTTATTATTCAATATCTTAATTTTTTTTCAGAAAATGGAAATTCCTTTGCTTTTAGCAATGAAACATCATTAAATTATGAATACTAAAATCATCAACTAAAAACAATGCCTAGATGAATAAATCCAGGTTAAATATTCTATTCAATTGATGGATGTTTTTTGACTAGTCAGTTTAAATTTTAGATTCTTAATATTTTGTTATAATTCGTTGGCCATTATTTTCTGCTCAATAATTCCTCAATACAAAATTAAAACATTTGATTGGACCCTCGAGGAGGAAAAATGTTTTGCCATTTAAGAAAAATAAATCTTTTTATTTGATGATCAAAGATGGATATTAAAATATTGTAAGCTAGGACATCAAAGAAATGGGATTACACACCTTCAAGTTAAAGTTTAGGCAGGAGATTAAGATTTGTCAGAAATATTTGATTTATGATTGATTACCAAATTCGAGAATATTGAGTTTACAATTTAATAAAGCTATAGAAAGGAATCAAAGAAGAAAAATAGAAGAGTTTCCACCCAAAGTTATTCAATATCTTTGGATTTTTGAAAAGGATTACAGAGTCAGAATTCTATTGAAAAATAACTAACTAATTGAAATATTAAAATTTTTTTTTTAAAGGATATCAAATCTACATCAGATTAAATTAAATAATAAATTAAAGAATAACTTAATTAATAGTTGAAATTAGCTTAAGAAACATTAGCCTTATAGTTTCAATTATATTTTTATAGAAATAATAGAAATTACATAAATTAATTGTTTTCATATTATAAAATACTTGTGATATTTAATGGTTATAGAAGTTTTTCAATAATTTTTTCACAAAAATATGCTATTTTTTGAATCGAATTTAATAACCAATGCATTAGAAGCTTTAAGAACTTCATTAATTTATATAAATATTTTTATAATCTATACAAGATAACATTCTTATCTAAACGCTTTCAATAATCTATGTTGTTTACCATGGCCTGAAATTTATCCATATTTGGAATGTGTTAGTTGTAGGAATTAGACTGATTAATTTATTACATCTGATAGATGGTAAGAATTAAAATCTATCAAATAGAACTTAGAAATCATCTCACTATTATAAAATCGAGTGAAGTAATTAAATCAGAATATTGAAATACATTCATTTATGTTACATTTAGTTCTAATCTCTCTCATCTAAATTGGGTTGGGTTTTATGTAAACAAGACATGAAGTAGGAGATATAATAGTTATGGTTTCGGGGGGTAAACACATATTGGAAAATTCAAGAGGTTATCCACGATAAATATAAACTCAAATAAACTTTTAGGTTGAATTTGATATATCACCAGAATTGTTTATATCACCACATTATTTAGACTGGGATCTAGAAATGCCTGCTGGATTCAATTTAAAAGTTACCCTGATAACAAAAACAGGTAATACATCAATATTACTATTAAAGGTTTTTTATTGAGTACACTTGCTGGGCTTAGTCCAGCTTTTACGAAATAAGGATTAGTTGGTTTGCATTTTAAGATCAAAGAATATCAGTTGTTACATTCTATTCAATTGAAGAAGAAATCCTTTAAACTGGTTCAGGTGAAAGAACAATTACATTTTCAATAGACCATAAACTTAAGGATGCAAAAAATGGGGTAATTTCTTTGATCGGTGCCAAACATACATAAGATGATCAAATAGTGGAAGTCAAGGTAAATTATCTCTATATTTAGATTTTATAAATAAGATCCTATTCTGTAGATGTCTCAGTTAGCACATATTCTGATTCCCAAGTCGAATTCGTAAAGTTCAATATTCTTTTGGGTACAGATGATTCTTTATGGTCATCTCCTGCTTAAGCTGAAATTTTTAATCCTTCACTAGCTGGAAATTTAGGTCACAGTAGTAGACAAGCAACTTTTGTAATACCATCAAATTACTTGGTTGAAGGTAGACTTCCCATATTTGCTTATAGAGGGTACAAATTCGATAAAGGCGCAAATGTAAGGTGTTATAAAACTGATGTAAGTTTAACTTCTAACTTAATTTACAATTTATTCGTCTGTATGATAATAGTATAATATTTAGGGTACACAACTGTGGCTTATGCTTTTTATAATTAAGCAGCCCTTTACTTTCCTAAAGCTAATGAGAAAATTTGTCAACCTAATTGTGCAGAGCTCTTTTCTGAATGCAATTATAGTGGTGATTCTATTAAAATTTGTAATAATATACCAGATATATCTCAACTTGGATGGTCAAAACAAATCGCATCCTTAATGATTTCCACAAATAAGATTTTATATCTCTTCAATTAGATTAATTACTTAGGTTCTGCAATATAATTCAAGGAAAACTAGCAATGCATTCAAGCTCAATCAAAATTATCTGCTAAATTCTATCCTGCAAATTCAATAATAAAAGTTTTATTCATCAATACAGAAATAACTAATAATAATTGCAATTATGTTTACTTTTACAGTTAGTGCAATTATTAAGGGACAAATTATTAAATCTAGCAAGGTAACTAATTAGATAGGTCCAATAAAATTTCTTTCGAAATTAAGTCAATTAAAATTTGTCCAAATGTAATTGTAAAATTGAGAGGTCCAACCTATTTTGGAGGTAATGACTAAGTATTTAGCTCCTCATAAATAAGTTTGCAGAGCTACTAAGTATGAATTGATTATAATAATTTAGTTTCCGTCCTACAGAGCTCCAAGTTGAAATAAAATGATATTTCTATTAAATTTATATTGACAATCAATAATCTTAATTCAATTGTCCTTTCTTTATAATTTGATCTGCTACGGCATTATTTTTGTATCACTCATTTTCATTAACCTTTGTAGTGTTTTTAAAATAATTTTGTTTTCTTTCTTAATGAAATATGGAGGAAAAAGTGGAAACCTACATGATGCAAAATCAAAGTTAGACAAACTGGATCAAAAAAAATATCTAATAAACTAATTTCTGCAATAAATTTTCTATCACATGAACTAAATTTAAATAGTTAGAATAATATTGCATTAAAATGAAGAAGATGACTCTAATTTGTAAATTTAAGAATTTTATTTTTGAGAATCAAAAATATTGATGAATATTATATAAGAAACAACTATTGAACGCAAGGGAAGAATTGGTTCAGATTGAACAACTTTCGGATATTAATTAATTAATGAGAGGTTTTCAAATATTTTATTTATTTTTCACATTTTAAATTTACTTTGATAAAAATATAATTTCATTTAACTTAACTAGCATTTTTGTATTTTCAAACATTTGTTTTTGATTTTTTTCTTAATATACAAGTTTCGCTATATTTAAATATCATTTACTTAAACCCTTTTGTTCATCGAAATATCTCAAACTTTTATTACTTACAATTAGAAGTATCTAACCTTTTGGTTCCTTTCAAATAAAGTATATATACTGGATCATCTTGAGTGAAACCAAAGAGTCCTTCAATAATTTAAGATAGAGGAATTATTTGAGGAAGAGTTTTTAAAACATTAATTGCGCAAGCCTTATCTTGTAGATTACAATGTATTATTCAGTTTTTATTTGATTTTGGGGACAANAACCTAATTGTGCAGAGCTCTTTTCTGAATGCAATTATAGTGGTGATTCTATTAAAATTTGTAATAATATACCAGATATATCTCAACTTGGATGGTCAAAACAAATCGCATCCTTAATGATTTCCACAAATAAGATTTTATATCTCTTCAATTAGATTAATTACTTAGGTTCTGCAATATAATTCAAGGAAAACTAGCAATGCATTCAAGCTCAATCAAAATTATCTGCTAAATTCTATCCTGCAAATTCAATAATAAAAGTTTTATTCATCAATACAGAAATAACTAATAATAATTGCAATTATGTTTACTTTTACAGTTAGTGCAATTATTAAGGGACAAATTATTAAATCTAGCAAGGTAACTAATTAGATAGGTCCAATAAAATTTCTTTCGAAATTAAGTCAATTAAAATTTGTCCAAATGTAATTGTAAAATTGAGAGGTCCAACCTATTTTGGAGGTAATGACTAAGTATTTAGCTCCTCATAAATAAGTTTGCAGAGCTACTAAGTATGAATTGATTATAATAATTTAGTTTCCGTCCTACAGAGCTCCAAGTTGAAATAAAATGATATTTCTATTAAATTTATATTGACAATCAATAATCTTAATTCAATTGTCCTTTCTTTATAATTTGATCTGCTACGGCATTATTTTTGTATCACTCATTTTCATTAACCTTTGTAGTGTTTTTAAAATAATTTTGTTTTCTTTCTTAATGAAATATGGAGGAAAAAGTGGAAACCTACATGATGCAAAATCAAAGTTAGACAAACTGGATCAAAAAAAATATCTAATAAACTAATTTCTGCAATAAATTTTCTATCACATGAACTAAATTTAAATAGTTAGAATAATATTGCATTAAAATGAAGAAGATGACTCTAATTTGTAAATTTAAGAATTTTATTTTTGAGAATCAAAAATATTGATGAATATTATATAAGAAACAACTATTGAACGCAAGGGAAGAATTGGTTCAGATTGAACAACTTTCGGATATTAATTAATTAATGAGAGGTTTTCAAATATTTTATTTATTTTTCACATTTTAAATTTACTTTGATAAAAATATAATTTCATTTAACTTAACTAGCATTTTTGTATTTTCAAACATTTGTTTTTGATTTTTTTCTTAATATACAAGTTTCGCTATATTTAAATATCATTTACTTAAACCCTTTTGTTCATCGAAATATCTCAAACTTTTATTACTTACAATTAGAAGTATCTAACCTTTTGGTTCCTTTCAAATAAAGTATATATACTGGATCATCTTGAGTGAAACCAAAGAGTCCTTCAATAATTTAAGATAGAGGAATTATTTGAGGAAGAGTTTTTAAAACATTAATTGCGCAAGCCTTATCTTGTAGATTACAATGTATTATTCAGTTTTTATTTGATTTTGGGGACAAGTTCCAAAATTGAAAATCAAAATAATCAATGACTCCTTATTTTATCATCTTTAACTAATATTAATTATAAAATATTTATGAAAGCAATTTATTAATTTTCCACAATTAAGCCTTTAATAGTTTCTGGCCCTAGTGGAGTTGGCAAAGTACACCATTATTTTATTAAAGGGATCATTAGTCACCAGATTGCTATAAAATAGCCAAAACTTTGTTTACAGTGTGAGTCTGACTACTAGAAAACCAAGACCTAATGAGAAGAATGGTGTCAATTATTATTTTGTAAATAAAGATGTATTTGACGAAAATATCAAGAACAATGAGTTTTTAGAGTTTTGTGAAGTTCATGGAAATCTATATGGCACTGCAAAACATCAAATAAACAATATAATAAAATAAAATAAAATAAAATAAAATAAAATACCTCTTATAGAAATAGATGTTTAAGGAGCTGAAAAAATAAATAAATAATTGAATAACTAATGCGAGAACATATTTGTATTACCACCATCTATCAGCATTCTAAGAGAAAGATTAATTGGAAGATAGACTGAAACATCTGACGTTGTAGAGAAGAGAATCAAAAACGCAGAAACTGAAATTGAAAAAGCTAAATCTTTTTAATTTATCATTTCATTGTTAATGATAATTTTGAAACCTGTTTTAAAGAGCTCCTTGAGCTTGTAAACAAAAAATATTAAAACCTCTGATTATTATCAATAAATTATTCATGAAAAATGATGATTGCTTCATTAATAAGAAGTGTAGTGTTTTATATTACAGATGTTTAATTATCTCATTATTTTAGAAATATTAATTTGTTTTAGAGTTTTTGAATCAAAATTAGAATATTTTTATGATAAGATTTCAAATTAAATCTTCATTTTTGGTTTTTTGGTATATCTCGTGAAAAAGTTTCATTTATGCTAATCATTTAATGATATTTATTATTTCATCAAAAAAATCTCTATTTTTAGAGTAATTTAGCTTATTATTAAATTTCTTTTATTAGTCTATCTAATTGATGAAAAATAAGAAAATTATCTCAGAATTTTTTACTCATAAATGCATTGTAAAAGGTACAAAAC